AAAATATACAGAAAACCATAACAACAGGAAATATATGTAAAGATTAAAATAATATTTTTTTAATTTCTTCATGTTTAATAACTAAGTTAATCATGTTTATTTATTTATTTGAGCTTAAATCAAAATAAATATTGATTTCTCCATTTAAGTGTCAATTGTTTGGCTACCAATAATCATCATTATTTTAATTACATTTATATTAAATTGAAAGAAACGAAATGGACTTTATTTGCTTTGATTCAAACTCAAACAAATTAATATAAAAATTTCTTACTAAATATTATCCATTACGTTTGCGTCGGAACCGATACCCCGATTGGAATTTTATTTTCTACCACAGCGAAATGAAATGTTACGCCTAAAACCTAAAACAAATTTGTTATCAGTATCCTATATTTCGATTCCATTATAATCGTTGACTGAATAAAACATACAAAGCAAATTTCGCCTTATTTAAACCTAGCAGAGATCATTGTAGTGGTCTAGATTGACGGATTCCAGTAAATGAAATACTAATACTCCATTACAATGAGTTATCCTTCACAAATTAAACTATATAAATAAATAAATAATTAGAGGCTTTTATTAAAGCGAAAAAAAATGACATTGTCATCTTTATAAAGTACAATTTTTATCCAAAATGTTGATATACATACTTAAACTCTACGAATGGTATTGTTATTGTTTACTCAATAGAAACTCTTTCAATTTGTGTTTAAATTGATTTAGGTTTAAAATTTTGAGGAAGTTTATTATATAGGCTAATCGATAGCACTCTTTTCTTGCCGTAGGAAAAATTTATCACTAAACCTAATTAATCGTAAATGACGACCAAATTTTCTCTAAAGTCAAGGAGTTGTCGAGAATCTGAAATAATTTTATGAGTAAATTGGGAGCATTGCAATATTAATGCATAAACATTTGTCTTCTTTTATTTTATAAGTTATAACTGTAAGAACACAAGCAAATATGACTGTTGTAATAAATTAGTTAAGTTGGAATATACCTTTTTAAATATTTAAGAAGTTCTCTAAAACGCAAATTAGTATCGATTGTTACTCCTAAATGTTTTCATGATGAGTAAATATTAGTTCGATATTGTTTAGTCTTATATTTAAATTTTCTTGGAGAAACATTTTTGTTACTAAAACATAAAAGTCTTGATTTGTCTGGCAAATTATGCGGAAAAGAAAGTCGTTTAATTATATCAAAGTGATCATTAATATGCGATAGTATATTTGGATCACACCAGACAAAAGTTCAACACTTGAAGAGAAAACATTTTGAATAAATATCCTTTGATTTCGTTGGCTCAACTAAGAAGTTATTAAGTCCAACAATTTTGAGTAACACAGGCACACCTGCCAATCCTGTATGAAACGCTTCTATTATATCACTGAGAACAGTTGCCACAGCAACCACAGTATTGTATCGTTTCCTAGTCCTAGTTTTGCACAAAACTTTTTATAAAATTTTAGACAATAGTGATAAAATATAAACAACACGTAAAATAGAAAGTTCCTTAGGATTAGTATTTTTTAAAATAGGTTTTTCCAAAGCCATCTTTCACAAATCAGGCAATTATTACCTATATTCAATATGGAAAGTTTGAAATACTAATTATTCACTTATTTTTTGCAAAAACTATTATTTCTTTCAAAAAATGTTGGATTCTTTCCACAGAATATGCTCATAAACGTCTATTTTTTAATGTTTGCGAAAACTGTTTTATTTAGAAATCACCCACCACTTTATTTTACTAGATAATTGACAAAGTGTTAAATATTTTCTTTTGACAACTTTAGTAATAAAGATTTTTTCCTGCTAGTCTCGACGACGAATGGTTTCCGAGTTACAGTACTTTGCATGCATATTTGACCACCTTGTACAAAATTTTCAATCCAGTTGCTATCAATCCTACCATCAACGTTGAAATCGCCAAGTTTTTGAGAATCGGTGGGAACTAAGTATGACTCAACGATTACAACCGAATAAGTTCACTTTTGATGTGACTTAAGACAAACTTTATATGGTTATCCATGCGGATCTGTAAATTAAAAAAAAATAACGGATGAAGTTTGATAGATATTTACAATTGGCAATAAATTAGTCCATTATAAAAAAATTTGTAACCAGCTATACTGACATATACAGCGTAATTTCGATTCACCACGCGTCTCTTAAAACGAACCCGATTAAAATTCGAAAGTGGTGATTCCGCTAATTTTAGAATTTATTTTTAGAGGAGGCAGAGGGGGCTTGCGTAATTTAAAAAGGCTTGAAATACTTAAATTTATTAAGTCTCCGCAGCACTTGTTTCCTGTTTTCGTTGTTTTTCCTGTAGATTTGGAAATGATTCATATTGGTGCGCTCTCTCGTCGTTCGTAATTTTAAACCGTTCGTTCATTCGCTTCTCGCATGATTATGTTAATACTATACTCAACGGTGACGTCACTGACTCTTTTCTAATAAAGAGGACTGTACTAATTTCGCAATTGAAGTGAAATATCACTTCGAGCAGTTTTGAAGAACTATTCTTGACAGTATTTGGCCACATTTTTTCTACTCTCTACTCAAAAATTGTGCACTGATCATTTGCACGCAAATTATCACTTTAAAACGACAGCTTCTTTAAACACCGTCGGGAGTCTGGGAAAGATCGGATGTTTTCGATAGATTTTAAATACTGATGGAATTTGTGCATTTGTGCTGTTTTGCAAAAATGTACCCAAAAACTAAGAATCACAGGCACTAGCTTATTAAACTCTCGCTTTGCTCGTGCCTAAACAAACTAGTAACTAAAGTGTCGTTGATAAAAAATTTAGCCTGATATACTATTTCATAATAGAAATACTGCCATGTTAAACTTTTTTTAAAAACTATTTAATTTAATTTGAATGAAGGTCTTAGAAGATCGGCAAACGTAGACACAATTGTACAAAGTTGCAATGGAGTTTAAAGCAAAATATTTTTCTGGGATTTTGAACAATCCTGTATTTATAATTCTATATAAATAAATTGTATACTCGATGAAATTGTAAATATTTTATATAGATAAATCAGAGATATACTTGAGATCCCTGAACCTCAATGCCTAAGGTAATACACACGTTTGAAAAACTGCGTGACTTAAATGTTTGATATGGTTTGATATCGCCCTCATTTAGCCCAATTTAGAGAAATTTTTTCATTAGTGTTCAATAAAATCGAAATATTTCCAATTATATAGAATGTTCCGTAAAAGCAGGGCAATACAAAAACATATTTTTTTAATCGAAACCTCCCTATATATTCTCGCATATTATGATTTCTCCCGATATGAGGCCATCATTGTTTTTGAATCTTAATTTTTCGTTGCCAACTAATTCAATTTGATTTCCTCAATTTGTATCTCCACGCCTTTTAGATTATCAAAAATGTGTTACTAAGAGTTAAGTAATTGTTTCATACACGGGATTTATAGTCTTGCCTACTTGACGAACTTTTAACTAATTTCCCTCATTTTTTTATCTACTTCCGTGCTTTTAGGCTACAGCCCCGCTACCGCTTTATTAAGGTTTCCCTATACCTATCCATTCAAGTTTTTTCGTAGTATTCGTTTTTATTAACTATTTACAAAATTATGATTTAATTCGCTGTTTGATCAAAAATACGTATTTGTTATTAATAAATAAAAAAAATTGATATTTTTTAGCTTTATTTGCTATCAGCCGATAAAGAACAATTATAAAATCAAATAAAAATAAAAATACAGACGAAGGAAACAATAAGAAACCGTTTTGAAGATTTGGGTGCGATAATGTAATTGCAATTTGACTTATGATTTCGAAAAAAAATGTTGAACTATGTATTCATGGTGTTAGTAGGATTATTGGGCAATCAATTACTAAGTCTCATTTTTTAAGTAAAAATTTTAAAGTGCATATTTAATTAATTTCGATTAATAAGGAATTTGTTCATTCACGGCTTATTTTTAAGAAATGAAGATTAAAATTAATTAAATTTCCAGTTCTGCTTTACGAAAATAATTTTATAGTAACCAAAAACCAATTATTAAACGTAAATGTACCACTTCTAGTGATCACCGGGTAGCGTTAAATTAAACTATTTTTGTAAATGATTAATAAAAACGAATTAACTTCGAAAAACTTGAATCTACCACAAAAATGATAAGAGAACCAATAGCTAAAAATTTCAAAGTAGTTAGATACCTAGTGTTCCATTGAAAATTCAGACGAAATTGTTATTACTATTAAATAGGCGCTTTACTGAATTCTTATTAATGCATGCAGTTAGGGTGCGTTTTTGATATTATGAATGGTGCGCACGGGGAGATATAAGAAATAATAAGACAGCAATTTTTATTAAATGTTTTCAATATTTTTTCAATAAGTTGGCAACATCGCATTAAAAATCGAAAACAATTATATTTTTCTATTGTCACACTTTTGGGAAACATCTTGTATAACTAAAAATATTTAGGCAATACGCTATTAAGTAGGACAAAATCTTGCATTATTGGGTTAGCTGTTAATTAAAAAAAGGGTATTTTTAACCAAAATATTGGACGTTTGCAGTAGGCAGGTTTTGAATCTGCGCTACGATAGAAAATCTGATTTCTAGTCAGACACCTTAACTAACAGGCCACGACTAAAAGTCTAATTATTTCTGATGATGACGATGTCCTTCGTCTCATCGTTCATTTTCCACGTGTTTTATAGCGTCCTAATAATTATTTAGGCATCTCAAAAAATATGCAGTGCTTATCTTAAAACGTCCCCGATGTACGAGGTCAAAAAACAGTGGGATCTTAAGAAAGGTTAAAAACATTTGATAAAAATTCATCCGAATTAGTAACAGCCGCATTTACTACATTATTATTAAAAATTCCGCATTTCGACATTCTGAGTTCTATTTAAAATTTCGTATTGTTCTTTAACAAATATGTGAATTAAAAAAACTCCCAAAAACCCTTTAAAAATTGTATTTGTAATTTTCAGACTTATCCAAAGAAGTGGAGCATATAATCGAAAAAGAAAATTTCGTTTTAACCTTGAAACACATCAGGCCGAAAAAACGGGCGAGAGCATCTGTCGAAACTCTTTTCACTGTAGATTTTCCCGGAGCGGAGGACAAATTTTCGTTGCGCCTGGATCGGAAAACAAAACATGGTAAGTAATTATGAATATATTTCAAGTCGATAAAACTTTCCAAACTAAATGCGACAAGCTTTAATAACTGTAGCCATCAAAATGCGCTTCTGTGGCCAGATTTAAAATTTATCAATATATGTTTAAGGAACAAGAGTTGATTTTACATGAACAGGTTTACAGATTAATTTTCTAAAATATTAAATACCCGAATTGTAAAATTCTCTTAATTATTGCAACGACAAGATCAGAAGAAAGAAAATAAACTTTCCCAGATACAGAAGCCGTTAAAAAAAGTTGCAATACTTCTTACGAATATAATACTAGATATAAATATATAGGGTGTTAAGTAAGATTTTAGGGACACGTTTTTTACTTCGAAATAAGCCTTTTTTTTCTATTAACGCTCTATATACAGGGTAACGTAACGAAGGCATCAACAAGCAACCCACGTTTTCCTTAATAAAATGACGCTCATTAGTGAGATACAGGGTGATAAAGTTCGACAAAACTTGGTTGGGTTTGCATTTTAATACACTAACTAACCAAAACTGGTCCCAATTTCAAAATTTGTTTCATCGCGAACCGTTTGATTTTGAATTTTTTATTCAGTGCAATAATTAGTCTCCCTATGTCTCAATGAGTGACGTTTTACTATCGCATTTTTTCATTATTTGAATACTCAGTATGCCTAGGCGTGTGACCAATTTGAAGTTATTTTTTATTCTGTTTAACAATGACGTTAAAAGAGGTTTTATTTACATTAATGAATATCAACTAATATCAATGTGTATGTATTCATTTCTAATCTATTGTTTACAAATTCTTACCGTTTTTGACTTAAAAAAAAATATTACAAGGCAAATATCTCCAAAACGGTATGTTTATTAATGCTTATTAGCTCAATATCAAATATACTTTAGTAAGATGTCGCTCATTGATATAAAGTGTGATTCATTGTTGCACATCGTACCTGCCCAAATCAAATTCTGATATACCTTCAGAGCGATCACAGCTCGCAACCGACGGGTGACTAAAATCGATTGTGAAAATGCTTCAGTTCTAGTTGATTTCTCGCGGCATAAAAGTCCAAGCTGGTGCATGATCTGATAAGAATGTGAAAATTTAAGAATGAACATGGATAAAAATAATAACATACTTTTTTTGGAATGCTATGAAAAGTATCTCTGCTTATGGAACCCAAGAGAACTTATTATTCGAGAAATGCGTCTTAAATCAAAAATAAAAAATATTCCAGCACGTGAAACACCTGCTCTTGTTATCAGATTCAAAAAATATATAGTCCCTTGCGTTTTCAATTGACTGTGTAAATGGAAAAGTTATGCGACTTTTTCAAGGCGTAATCGAATCAACTTGCCGCACAGCGAAAATCGACCCGTCTAAACTCACCTTTAGATAAAGAACTACTTTAAATCAGTAGTTATGCAAAGTAGCAAAAAATTACTGATACTTATAATACTTATCAACACTGTAATTTAATGTTTCAAATTGTCTAAAATGGTGTTACTTTACTTTACACGTTACAAGGTGTTAAACGATTGGTTATAGAGGAAGCATAGAGTTGACGAATGATATGTCATTTTTGATTTTACAATAATCACAATTGTTACGCGGGTAATGCTATTAGTGTTAACTGCTGATTTTTAGGCATTTTATGTTATACAGGGTGACTCACCACTAAAGCTTTCTTTCTTTATCTACAAATTATAAATGCAAAAGTTGTTTGTATAAATTTGGATTTCTGAAACAATTTGATGTTAAACGGAAACACAGAATCATCCATTCAAGATCGGTATTAAAAGAGAACTGGTAAACCAGATCACCAAATCGACCCCTGTATAAAACAAGTCAAATAGTCAAATAATATAGAAAATGTTGGAATTAAAAAACATTTGCATTGACAACTTTGAAAATAATCAAAGTTTGATCACCTTAAATAAATGAATGAATGAAAATATCAAGCTTTGTCGAAACCAATGCTGAATTCAGAATGAAATGTTTTCCGAAAACCAAAAATGAATCAATACCACTTGTGCTCTATCTTAAATAAGGAAGTTAGATGCCGAGAAATGGTTATGAGATATCCTGTATAGCTGCAGCACTTTCACACAAACAATTTTGTATTTAAAAGTTATTATAACTTTTTTCGACCTTTTAATGTAATTATCACAAGCCTCGAAAATATGGTCCAAAATATTTTCTTTATTATCATCTTCCTTTATGTTTTGAGGAATCCCACAACTGTATTAGTTTATCTTGTTGCTATGTGTGTACAAAAAATTAACTATCGTTTTAGTTATCGTCGAGACCCTAGAAGACAGTAGAAGTAGACAGCAACATTTCACAGTGGACAGTCTTCAAGAAGATAGCAATATTAATTCCCTCATTTTGGCTGTCAACCAATCACAACCGGGTGCCCATGCAACCCTATACATCGACTGCATTTCCCACGGAATGGTGGCCACGCCAAAGTCTATGAGGGAAATGTACCGTGGCATGAATAGAAAGAAAATAGAAGTGGCAAGTTTCACCTCTAAATCATATTAGTTATTGTTTAATTGCAATATTATAGTTTCATGAGAAAAAATACTACATGGAGGTCGATGGGCATAGAGACCTGAGATCAATCTTGAGTAGGAACGAGTGTCCATTGCCTATTGAAAGACATTTTGATACCTTTACCAACGAATTGAGCAACTCGCTTAGAGACGATCCGAACATTCAAGCTCAGGAACCTTCGTACGACGATAGAGGAGACATTCCGCTCGTGTCGACGTTAGAAGATGGTACGTTCCTGCTACATAATGGAAGTAGTTTTAACGGCGTGGGTTTTCAGTGGGCATCATAAAAGCGCTGAACCATCTGATTCGCGTGGTGAATTTGGAAATGCAAAAATGCGAAGCTCAAGCGCAGGCTTTGGAAAACTTGCGCCGCTTGATTGAGGAATGCGAGCTGTGTAGACGCCCTCCACCACCACCTCAGCGACCTACGTGCGCCACTCACAACCCAGGTTGCGCTCCGGGTGTAAGATGTATCGACACGGCTAATGGACCAACTTGCGGTGAATGTCCTTCAGGCTATGTTGGCAATGGTGGGTAGAGACTAAAGTTTCAAGAGATAGTTACAAGAAATTTTGACATTTCAGGTTACGAATGTCGCCCGGGAAGAAGTTGCGCAGAACGTCCATGCTTTCCCGGAGTAGAGTGCACGGATACGCCTCAGGGATACAGATGCGGCTCTTGTCCCAACGGATACGAGGGCAACGGGGAACAGTGCCGTAGGCGAAATCCGTGCGAGTTCAGTCCGTGCGCTCCAGGTAACTCGTATTCCTATGGGGATATCAATTAAGCATGAATAAAACCAAACTTACAAACACAATTTCAACCTCTCTATAGCAAAGAAATGAGTAACTTTACTAACAAATTTTTATTTGAATATTAAACCTGAATGATGACTTTCAAATTCTGAACTAGTAATAATCCGATCTATACGTTTGCTATGTGTCTCTCTTCCTTCTGTATTCTAGGGTATAGTTTCGGATATTGATTAATTAGTTGTATAGACATTTAGTTTTTGTTACACCACCTACCTCATATTTTTGTACATTTTATTTGTTGAAATACATTATTATTTAGTAACCGCTAAATAATTGTTTTATTTTTCGAAACAGGTTGCGCGCCTGTCTGGAGAACCCGCCACTGAAGCATCTTTTCTCAGCTTTTCAATATCCAGAAACGGATACCTTAGGATGCAGATTTAATAGCACGTCTTGTTGTTCGCACCTTAAGCACTTTACTTTGCACATGTATCTACTCAAATTCTCAGACGTAATTACTATTGCGAGATGCAAGCGGCTTGCGATATTATAGGCGTATTCATTTTTACCAATTCGTCTGGTGCAAGCTGGTTTTCCTTCTTCTCGATAAGAGCTTATAACTTGATAGAGTATTGTCAACTTGATTTTTCGATAAATTCAAATTGTATGCCTTCCAATGCGAGAATTTTTAAGCTCGCCCAAAAAATCAGGAGTGATATAAGTTAAACGTCGACACAAAAACACGAGGTACCTGCACATGCACCCAAAAATACACATTATCACAGTATTACACTAGATTCTATTCTAGTAGAGATGTTTAGTACCTATTTATTTATTTAATAAAACAATATTGATATTTCCTTTTTTATTTTAGTATAGATTTATGTAAGTGTACATTCATATAATGTGTAGCCCAATTAATCGGTAGATTATTTAATTACGAAATTCATCATTAACAGTAATGATTCTGTATGATATCAACAAAAAAATCGTTTTAAGGGTAAGTTGAAATGGATTTCCAACGTTCTACTAAATATGAGGCTAAGATTATTCTGCGCTATTAATTGGAACCACTTCGTAAGAAGAGGCTGTAATTCCTATCTGGTGTCCCACTATAATATGAAAAAATATTACTGACGAGGCCATGACAAATTTTTGGAGATCATTTTCAAGTTCCTAAAACGACGACTAAATGAAGCAACTTTTGTCGCAAATAAGAAAATTGGATTTTTAGAACATTTAGCCCAAAGGAGAGGAATTAAAAATAATGGAGTGATAATCTTCAGTCAATTTAGGATTTTCTTTGTCAACAATTTTGATTTATCTGCTAAAATGAGGTCGTTTGTTGTAAACATTCGAACTAGGTTTCATTTAATAGAGCTTTTCTTATCCTATATTTGAAGTTAAAAACAATAATAACAAATGTTTAATTGTAGACGATGCTGTCTCACGACGTATGTCTAATTCTAGCTAATAGTAAAGAGGAATAAAAGCTCAAAAAGTAAGCGTTTGTCAAAACAAAAATATTTATAAATAAAACACATAAACACTCAACTAGGTTAGTGTTAATTTAGGATACCTCTAGACGCCGTTGATTAAAATTTTCAGAACACATGAAAAAGAAAATCAATTTATTTTGATATCAATAATAATTCCATAATAGCACAAAACAAACTAATAAATTATAAGTAAGATGTCGAGATAAACAAGCTTTTGAAAAAGCGCTTATTTCTCTTGGTCTCCTCAATTTTTTTGTGGAGTCATAAGACTAATATGAGAGACCCGATTATTATGGGATAACTCATTACATATGTCAGCACCTGCAAAAAATATCAAAAACACTTAGACATGAAAGTTGTTTTGATTTACTTTTACTTTTAAAATATAATATTGTTAGATATACGGGATGTTTGTGTTTTCGTTGACAAGTAACAATTGTCTCATTTTAAATCGAACACCCTACACATTATTGCATTTTTGAATTCCTCGAAACTTTCTGGACATTTTAATATATAAACGTATAAAACATCCTGTACCTAAGGCTTCACCGTTTTTCACATATTTTAAACTTCACGTCATAAGCGACCTTTGCAGGTCTCAATATATCTATCAATTCATTTAAAAATATTTAAAAATCAGGAAATAGATTTTAGGAAAGATACTCGCACACTTCGATCACAATTTTTTGATGCCCATTTTTGCAGTAAACAAAAAATATAAAAGGTGAGTTGAAAAGTAGATGTCGACACCAAGTTCCACTGTTTAAAATATTCGAATCCTTTGTCAAATTTCATGCATAATTCATGTAGCATACCTTATACTTATCTCTTACTTTTTATGAGCAAAAGAATAAAAAACAGAAATTTAATTTTGAAATGAATAGGTAAATAGCTAGTACCAGTAAAGTTCTTAAATTGTTACAGTAAAAAAAAGTGAATAAGGCGTATCAAAAGAATTGAAATTGTAATTTTTATTAGATATGGAGATAACACGAGAACTCAAGAAAATGTAATTTGTTTAATGCATAATATTCAGAAAGACCCATTACAAAATCCACAGCGAGTAAAATTAAGAGAAAATTTCATGGCACGCCAATGCCATTATTTTAGTAGGTGTTGCAAAATGCCCATGACAATATGATTATCGGTTTAAAAACCCTTCCACAACATTACTCAGGATATTTTCAATAGTTTGCCTTGTATCTAATTTTAAATTTTAAATAATCTAAATATTGTGATTTTTTCCTTATACAGTTTTGATTTTAAATATCTCCCGAGTAAAAAATCCAGTGCAGTAATATCTAGTGACTTTGCAAGCCATTGTATGGCTCCCCTTCTACCAAAAAATTTGGTATTGACATCTACTTTTTGACTCACACTGTATATTTTTCTATTTACTTTAAAAAATGTGCAAGAAAAAATTATTATAAACTTGTGCAAACATTTTTCTTGAAACACCTGATTTTTAAATGAATTTGTTCCATATTTTAACCGTTGATTTATTTATTGCAAGGTATATAGTCTAGTGGTCTGTATTGATAATGTAAAAATAAATTAATAGAAGGTGATTGAAAAGTAATATTAAAAATTTAAATAAAAAAATCGTTAAATAAAGTGTAAGTGAAACCAAAACACGTTCCAGGTTCTAAGATAATAAAATAATATATAACAAAAATTAAAATATGAGTAGATGCATTAAAAGACAATTCACAACAAAGAAAATAAATAAAAAAGAGCAATGATGAAAGATTCTTTGTGTGAAGATATTGGATAAAAATAGAGAGTGTTAAACTTTATTTAAAAAAAAATATTTAAAAATCTCGCAATTTTTCATGCTATTATTTTTTAAATAAAAACCGCATCGTAGGAGAAAAAAATTGTGTCCCAATGTTTTTTGATGGACCCTAACGACCACAAAAAATATTTTCTTATTTCATTGCATAATTGGCATGGCATTTGTCTTTTGTTTGTTTTTCATAGCAATTGTGTTTTATTAGATATTGTACACTAATTACTAAATTAAGATTTAAAAAAGAACCATTCTTAAATGAATAATTTTTTCATTTCAATTGATATTAACAAAAAATTTGGGATATGAAAAATGGGGCCTATAAAATTAAATCCACAGCAATATATACACACTCATTTGTCAAAGTTTACAATACAATAAAACAAGATGTTTTGGACTTCCATTATCTTTATTATTAACACAACGTTTCATCTGGTCAAGTATCTCCACTAGTCTTCAGGTGAACATTAATAATTAAAATAAGTCAATGACGCGCGACCGAGGTAGGGGCGGCCATTGTTTATAGCTGAACTGCCAGTAATAAAATTAAGATTTAATTTCTCCAATAAACGTTATTAATATTTAAAGATGTTAAAATATTTGGTATTCCAGTGAATGACTGCTGCTGGTTTGAATTTTCCACACATTTTCCATCCATATCTTTAAGAGTGATCAACCACAACGTTGAGTTTTAATAAATTAATCAAAAACTGATGTATTACCGAGTATGTGTGGGTTTCCCCTATACTGAAGTCAGAATGTTTTTATTATCTTTGTGAACCCGAAGAAGGGGTGTCTTGCCATATAAAATCGTAGATTGTGCATATGTTCTATTCTTGCCATCCAAGATTATGAATGTTTCTTCAATGCATCTTTAGCTTTCGCGTTTCTTAGGACCATGTTTTTAAACCATTAAAGGATATCATTTTCTAGTCCTGAATTACTATCGTAGAATATAAGCAACAAAGCGTGAATCGAGGCTTTAGTGCGAATAAATTGTTTCCCTGATAATAATGCATAAAATTTTACAAAAACACACCCAGCATCCCTACAAATCATTCCCTGCACTGATAAAACAAATTCAAACCGATAACTCCCTAGTATTTGATTGACTTTGTGTAAATGCATGAATATTAAATTACCCGCTAAAAGTACTTGCTCACTTATTACTACCTACAAATTTTTATAGGTTCCCGGTGTATTCCCACCGAAGAATCGCCCTATTATCAGTGCGTCTCATGTCCTCGAGGATATTCGGGATCGAATTGCGACTACAGAGATGAGGTAATTCATCGAATATTTTGAATGCTTTATCTTTATCTATTCAAAGAAATGTTTTCTCAGTGCGACCTAGACAAACCTTGTGATCCGAGAGTCGAATGCATCAACCTCTGGCCGGGGCACAGATGCGGTTCATGTCCGTCAGGATATACAGAGAGACTGGAAAGAGGTAGACACACGTGCGTAGATATAGATGAGTGCGCAGATAGCAGAGCATGTCCACCACCTTCGCAATGTACGAACACTCAAGTAAGTGATAACATAAAAGTAAAAATGGGGATCCGAAGATAAAACAATGTCTCAGTAGTATCCAAAACGTATTAATACTATTTTCTTTTCCATTCAAAAACTATATTTATTAATAAATTACCGAAACAGTTGTAAAGATCGAAGTTTTGCCTGTATTTCCAATCTTGAAACGTCCTCTATAGAATATCTCGGAATTATTTATAAACATAGTGTGCAAAAACTTTCGGACAACGTTCTTAGTAATATGCATTCAGACCATACAGTATGCTACCAGAATAAATAGAAGAAACTCAAAAATGTAAATAATTGAATTTCATATCAAACCAATATACAATTTTAAATGACTTATTGATTTGCAGCAAAAATTTATATGTGTACCACAAAGTTCCATAATACTGATTGTGTCTTTTGTGATAATCCGCTAAAGCTTTGATGACAAGTGATTCCAGTCACAATCATTTTGGTGCTTCCGTTCCGTGGACGCGCTTATCTTAACACTTCCGAAGTTTTCTTAATGAGATGCGCCATTAAATTTCTTATATATAAACTGCCGTCAATTGTACTTAAAGCTGCTCGAACACATTTTAAACATTAACTCCGGTAATCCAAAAAGTTCTAAATATCAATGTAATTTTTGTGTTTTTCGAAATAATATTAACAAAATCTTAAGGGTCTTAACAAAAATAAGAACTGTTTTGTAGTTGGGGGGACACTAATCACAATACCTTGTAGCCTTCTGAAGAGCTTATATATAAAATCCCGACAATAGGCGTCGTTATTAAGAACCAGCTTTATCAAAAAAATATTTCTGATTTTAATTAGAGACCATAAAGTTCCACCATCTGTTATGGCGGAGTTTTATAGGAAAATACTGTATTTATTTCATGTTGATTATTGATATTGATATAGGTTATTGATTTAAATTGTAGTTCAGATTGTTCAAAAACGAAGATCGATCGCCTTGATAATTAGTACACAGTGGAGAACTCGTCAACCCTTCTCTTCTACAGCCATATTTCGCATTACAACCTTTTTTGCAATTGCATCACCTCTTTCGATACCTGAATTGAACAAATATAGCTTTTATTATAGGAGTGAAATAAAAAGTCTACCAAATGTGTTGCATACTATACTTTTTCTACCACCGTTAGTTTTTTGCTACATTTTTGCAAAACAACACGAATACATTCACTGACATGCTTTAAAATCGCCGAAAACATCCGATTGCTCCCAAATCAAGAAACTCACGTGGTAAAATCGGTGTAAAATTAGGTATTCTACGGAAGGGAGTAGAAAGAAGTATATAACAAAATAGTAAAAAAATGTTTTTGTGATTATGCCAGAAAAACGCTACCTGGTGGCAAAGTAAACAATCTAAATCGCGTCAGTCATAACACGATTGAAAGTCTAGGGAAAGTCCTTCTTATCAATTTCAAGTTTATTAAAATGAATTAAGCCTTTTAAGCGAGATTCGAACACCGCCCTTCTACCTTGCTTGCAGATAATGCACCAGCATTTAACAAAAATCATTTGAATTGGTCTCAGCTTTAAAACAACTTTAACCTTAACCATATTACAAAATTTGTGGAAACCCAGTTTTAAAATTCAAGAAAACAATTTATATTTCGGAAATAATTTCCACTCGATTTACTTAATAAACGTCAACAAGAAATTTATAGAATCGTCCATTTTCCTAATACCTCTTTGATCTCAACTTTTATAATCCCCATATCGCATTAATAGTAATTCCAATTCGGTCGATAGATTGGTGGTGTACAATTTATATATGAGATGCTTTTCTGATAAAATTTACCGTTTTAGCCTTGAATCTAGTTGTGTTTATTTGAACGAACTACTCCCTAGCCAATATTTTTCATAAAGGTTCCGTACAAAACTGTTATGTTCTTCAAGAAGTAATTCAATATCGAAATCTATTGAACAGTGTACAATCGCATAACAGCTTCCATCTAGATGTAGATTGTTTGTATATTCTTACATTTGGCACACATTTTTCCTAACAAAATGATAATTTCTATTATAGGGGTCATACACCTGTCAAACCAACTGTGAAACGAGATATTACAGGAACGGTTCAATAGGGTGTCTAGAGGCTGGCGATTTAACAGACGTCTGCGGCAACGGCCAAAGGTGCGACAGCAACGCGAAGTGCGTCAGCCTAGGTGAACCTTAAATACCGATCGAGAATCTTTTGTTAATATGCACGAACTGTTTAAAGGTTGGGGACAAAACGCCTGCCAATGTATCACAGGTTGGGCCGGAAACGGAGAAATATGCGGCAGGGATACAGATTTGGACAGCTGGCCCGATGAACGGCTGCCTTGCCGAGACGAGCACTGCGAAAAAGTAAGATCTTCTTTCTAGATATAGGGTCGCTGGAGGAACTTCGAATTTTATATGCTCTAATTAATAACTTCCAATATCTCTCATGACACAAGGGCAAACGAAACTTATACGTCGATGTGTTTGGTTGGTTGGTGTTATAAGCTTGCTAGTAAATTTTGGTATAAAACCTCCATCTATCTTTGGCAGTTTTCTAAAAATTACTTTACTTTCCTCATTTTTTCTTGAAAAGTTAAAAGCTTGGCTAAGTACGAAACGTTCTCACTGTATTACACAAGAACGCTCAAAATATTTCCCAAATTCGTATACCTAAATGTTAAGTATATCGAAATAAAACCAAGTTTGGGTAAAAATTGGCATATTTGCCTTGGGTATCCATGAAATTGTCACTCAATTTTATAGTACACCCGTATAGTTGCACATCATAGACATAATTTCGTCTCTTAATGAATTAAAATATAGCAGTAATAAATATTTCATTGGAGTTTTTTTTAAACACAAAATAGATAAAATAATTAGTTTCTCGAAACACGCTACAGATTCGGAGATATTGCACAAAATTAACCAGGAATTGACGAAAAATAACTTTTAACGATTTTTTACGTTGTTTTATTTATTTTTAAAATACACGCTGCTGAAGCCTGAAGGAAATTGACTCCCAATAAATAACTAAGGCTCTTAGTCGAAAAAATCTCTAGATATATTTCGATCTCCAAACTTCACTTTCGACATAAAACATCTTAGAAATGTTAAAGATAAAGGATATTTTAAATGAAATATGTCTAGCAAGTTCCGAAGAATTCTAAAATATCTTCTATTTCAAATAAGAAAATTATCCCCTAAAATATGTATATATGTAAATATGATGATATTTTAAAAATATAAGAGAAGTTGATATTTTACAAGTTCTGTCATCCCAAATACAGGCAAAGAGTCTTATCTTTACCTCAAAAATACGTCCTTAAATACGTTGTAACGAATTTATACGGAAATTTTAGTATAAACTGCTCAATCATTTTGTAGGATAACTGTCCAAACGTTCCTAACTCAGGACAGGAAGATGCGGACAACGATGGTATTGGCAATGTCTGCGACCCTGATCCAGATAACGACGGAGTCTTATATGACGTAAGCAGTTGGAATTTTGAAACTCTAGGTTATAATCATCAATTTCTTCTCTTTAGGATAACTGCCCTCTTCATTCCAATCCAGATCAAAGGGATTCGGAAAGAGAACCGGACAGAATCGGAGACATCTGTGATAATTGCCCTTACCTTTTCAACCCCGATCAGTCGGACATAGACAAAGACAACCAAGGTGACATATGCGACTCCGATATGGACGGCGACAATATACCCAACGAACAAGACAATTGTCCCAATGTACTCAATAGCGATCAGAGAGACAGCGATGGAGATGGTATTGGTGATGCCTGCGATAATTGCCCAAAAGATTATAATCCATCTCAAGAAGACTCAGATGACGATTTAGTAGGCGACGTTTGCGATCATCCAGAGGATATTGATCAGTGAGTGAAATATAAATAGAAACACTTCCTTTTTTTGCTCATTATAGTCGTCGGGAATTCTAATTTATTTCATATTTTACGATTTAGTTACACCTATTAACCCATGTCTAAATAACATCATACTACAACCAATTCCAATAAGGGCAACGACGTACGATGTTAGGGAAACGAATGGTCCTAGAAATTAGAAAAAAGTAAATTTTCAAGAGAAAATGCTGGGAATTACTTTCAAGTATCTGAAATGTATTTGCTTTATCTCCAAAGAGGAAACTTTTGTTCCAACCTTTTCAGGTATAAATATTAATATCCCAAAAAAGATTTCTCGGGTTTTAATAAACTTGGGGTGGTTGGAAAGGGTTTTTTCTAGGCAATCAATTATGCTGCCACTCGAGTCAGGTCATTGCGAAGCATTCCTTGCCACCAGACGGCGTTTTCTGATGTAATCGCAAAAAAATAAATACCGCGAATATAACTTTTTATCCGAACTTACAATATGAATAAAAAACTTTAAACTAAACAAACACTTGCATTTTATGAAGCATTCCCCGTTGTTACGAATCGTTTTTATTGACCAATTATCCTGAATTCCCCAAATACCCAAAAACGTCGATATTTAAAATCACAATTAAATATTGTTACTTATCAACATTTACAACTTTTTTTGGAGTAGCTGAGATTACCTACCACGCTTTGATATTTTCATTTTCAATTTATTATTATTACTTATTTTTTCATTAAAAATTAAATTTACTAAACTAACTAAAATAATTCAATTGTTGGAGACTATCGGGTTTTAACCTCCTCAAAAACCCACTAATACCTAAATTTGTGCAATTATATCATTTTGATATAATTGTGAAAAATGGAAAATTTTATTCGCAGTTGTATCCCGAAAAATAAGCGTTTTATGACTTATGTTATATGTTAAAACATTTTACAAGTTGAGTTAAGTTATGTTATAAAAACGGAATCACCTGTATATTTAATAGAAATCATATTACAAAAAAAATCTATAACTGAAATGATTCCTGCTTGTATGAAAAGTATTTTTATATGAATTATTATTTCTGTACGCATATCTTTTAGCGACGGAATAGGTGATCAGCGAGACAACTGCAAACATAAACCAAATCCAGATCAAAGCGATCTAGACAAAGACGGTAAGGGAGATGCATGCGATGACGATATAGATGGGGATGGAATTCTAAATCACTTGGATAACTGCCGACTTACATACAACCCTTATCAAGAAGACATAAATAGTACGTTTTTCTGCTGAATTTTCCTTTTTTTACTAGAGTATAATATTTTAAAAAATATATTAAATAATCAACAGAAACATCCATTTCAAATAATTGAAAAGAAGAATCTTTACAAACATATAGTACACTTAATATTATGTTCGAGTATTAAAAATGGGGTTTTATCACTTCAAAGAGAGCGGCCATAATATCGGAAGCATATGAATATTGGAAATTAATTAATTAATAGTTCTCAGTTTGTGAAGAAGCGGTCAAAAAATTCTACACCAATTCTATTTGAGTTACAGGAGTAGCTGCATCCTACATGCAACATAGTACTACAGAAATGCCTGGGCCAAGTGGTTTCTAAAAATCTTTTACCGAGTACCATTTGATTCTTTGAAATTTATTTGAACGATTTCGCAACTGTAAACATACTGTATGTATTACGGCCACAGATTCCAAAGCCTATATGTTTAAAGTTTATATCTACTATTTTTCCAACAAGACTCGAGCAAAATAGTGATTGTGCTATTTTTTTTGGAAAGTTAATTTTAAGTGATTTTTGATGGTTTTTTTTGGAAACTAAAGACTATTTCAGAAAGGTGTAGAGTAAAACCTCATTAGTTCTGCGAAGGAATTATGCAATTCCAATGCGTCGTATTATCCATTCACCACACTGAAAATATTACCCTTATTTTTTCTTAATCACTATTCACAAAATACGTTGTACAGAAATTGAGTTTTAAAAATTCATATTTTCTTGGTTATATGACAAACTGTGTCATTTTCTTCTCTGTTTTAATGACCTGCCGGACTCATTTTCGCCAGTTATTTAGTGTTACTTGCTCAATGGTTTGATCAGCTTGAACAATAGTTAAAGGTCGTATTGTGCTTTGCTACAAATTCTTTAATTTACGGTCATATAGCTCTATATTCTTTAGTCAGCAATTATATATTGTATTCTTGTAATTTTGTACTATATCTTCGACATATTTAATAAATTTGAGATATGTAATAGTTCCTCAAATTTGGTTTTGTATTCTCCAAGATGAAGTTGTAGTCTTCTCTATACGTTTTAAATTATTATTCTTAACTACTTTTAAATCAAATATTTTATCATTGCACCAAAACAGTCTCATCGTTTTTTTCTGAAGGTACCTTATTAGCCGTCTTGTTTTACCACATTTTTGATGCTTATGACCTTTATTAATCCACTTCTGATCAAAATAACTGTTTTTCTTCAGCTCTCTTTTCAACTATTTTATACTCTGCAAAATTCACAAACGAAAGCAGAATATATGTGTAGTGTGTTTTTAGTATTATGTTTTTTATGAAAATCGAGCTCCAGGCATCTTCATTAGTTTTCGTCTATTTACTTTAGAAAGGAAAGTTTTAATTAAAAGTTTTCTAATTTGACACCGTCATACGGTACTTATGCAGTTTGTTTAGTCAATAAAACTCTTAACAATAATAGGAAATCAACATGTTACTTTCACTATGTTGATTGAGCTACAAATTAATATTATTTATATTTGGTAAAAGGAGTTTTTTCTTTGCAAAATTTGACACGTAATGAGAGGTATTAATGGTAATTTGAGCTCTAAATCCACACGTGTCTGTCAAATTTCGAATTCTCTGTGGTTTTTCTCACAGAATTAAGTGTCAATATCCAACCGTTTTGTGAGAAAAAAAATGAATACATGTTACTACAGTTCCACTCAATGCTTCTCTGTTTTTGAAATAATATATTGATTATTTTAAGTCGTTAGTGCAATAAATAAAAAAGACAACGCCTAATTGTAAAGTCTTTACAGTAAATCGTATTGTTTTAGGAAACGGAATCGGTGACGAATGCGAAAAAGACTTCGATGGAGACGGTATTCTGGACACCTACGACAACTGTCCGAACAACTCTTTAATATACAGGACAGACTTTAGTAAATACCAAACGGTTGTCCTCGATCCCGAAGGAGAGTCGCAAATAGATCCGAACTGGGAGATTCACCATCACGGAGCAGAAATCGTGCAAACCTTAAATAGCGATCCCGGATTAGCTGTTGGCCACGATAGGTTTATGGGTGTTGATTTTGAAGGAACATTCTTCGTCGATACTGAGACCGACGACGACTATGTTGGGTTTATATTCAGGTAAATAGAGATTACTGTTGACAGCTGAACCATAGTCACATAGGATTTTAACATAGTTACCAAGACAATCGTCGATTTTACGTAGTAATGTGGAAGAAAAACGAGCAGACTTATTGGTTGCCGACGCCATTTAGAGCTATAGCGGAACCAGGAATTCAAATTAAAGTTGTAAATTCGGAGACAGGTCCTGGCGAATATCTTAGGAATGCGCTGTGGCACACCGGCGATAGCGAGAATCAAGTCAGGTTGCTCTGGAAGGATCCCAGAAACGTGGGATGGAAAGAGAAGACCTCTTATAGATGGTTTTTAAGTCACAGACCCAAAATTGGGCTAATTAGACTAAAGATTTTCGATGGCGAGAATATGGTGGCCGACTCAGGAAACATTTTGGACAGTACCCACAGAGGTGGTAGACTGGGGGTGTTCTGTTTCTCTCAAGAGATGATTATATGGTCTGATTTAGTTTACAGATGTAACGGTGAGTAAAAAAATATCATATATCGTTTGGGTATAAAAATGGGTTAATTCCTTTAGATAACTTGAGGGAAGACGTTTGGAAAGAGCTGCCGCCTAGGCTACGAAGCAGGGTAGATATTGATGACAGCGTATTTTACAATATTAAAAATCCGGACGTCTGATTTAATCTGTTCGTCGTGCATTCAGGCTTACCACAAAACCTATTTATTTGTACTTACAAAATTAGAAGGCGGTCATGACAACAAGAAATAAATATTTTAATTAATAATTAGAACTGAGCATGTACGTACATTAGAAGGAGTTATTTTGGAAATTCCACAGTTTATCATATGTTTAGTACTACATAACATTCTGTTAAATGATGCAACAAAAAAATTGGTTTGTTCAAACTAATATGTATAATATACAAACTACAACCATAAATCATGTTCCATTATCGCTAAACCTATCAAATGGTTAAATTTCTTATAGCGAATTGGTTTTGGCTGGTATATCTGAACCGATTGTTATAAATAATATAATATATAATTATAAATTATAAATAATACAGAAAAGAAGAAAAATAATTAATATAAATATAAGTAAAGTGTATTAAATATTTTTAAAAAATTGTAAAAATAAAATAAAATAAAATTCTTAAAAATTGACAATATTTATATGACGAATCTCCATCCGAACGGTGGCGCATGTTTTTTCAAATATTCTGTATTCAAATGCATACAATATTATGAGAAAATGCACATGTAACTTTAATTCGTATAAAAAACAAAACAGAGTTATAAAAGTTTTATTCCTAATTAGTTTGTTTGCACATTCCGAAACCTTCTTTCATTTCTTTTCTGAGTACCCAAGTTAAATTAATATTATGGACATGGATGGTAAATTTTTAATTTTAAATTTGAAAAAATTCCGTAATTAACAATTAATAAATTCTAGACACTTTTAATTTAATTAATTGTAAGCAAACAAACCAGATAGCTTTCCAATTTAATGTGCACAAAAATATACTTAATACCAGTGTGAGTAAAACATTTTTTTTGCGAATGCATTGGAATGAAACCAATTTAGATAGACTTTGACTATACATGGTGGACCAGGTTTTTCAAACTCTAATAATTGTAAGCATTTTGTCGTGCATAATAACGGTTTTTATTTTTTAATATTTTGCCCGAAAAATTATTAATTATGATTTGATCTGCCCTGTATATCGAACTATATTTGTACATTACTGAAATTATCAAGTCCTAATCAAGTTATTTCTTGTGTATTTTTTGTTTATTTGCTCTCAAATGTCAATGCAATTGCAAACTGCATGATTAAAAAAATATCCGCAACTGTGCCTGGATATAAAAATATGTACGGTCAAATTCTGCCCATTTATTTTATTATGATTAGGAGTTTGGTGTTTCAATCTATGCTTATATACTAATGATTTTATTTAGATAAATTATATAAATTAACATATTCAACTATTTATTTGGAGCCGTGTTAATGTGTACTAAAAATATTCTACTATCTAAAAATATGAAAAATCAATTTATGTTTGAATGCGTCTTTATTATTGTTAAAATGCAAAGTTTTTTTTACCAAATAATAAGTAAGAGTTTAATTTACTTTGATGCGTTCGTTGCATCGCACGGAATGAGCTTAAAACTTTTCAGCACCTTATTCGCTGCTTGATTTGCCTGGTATTGATCCTCTAAACCGTAGGCGGCAGATGAGTTCAGCGCATCAACGGTAGCTTTTAAGTTAATTTTCACTTCCGCAATATCCACAGCCTCAGCATGTTGTTTGCATTCACTCAACAAATTCCGTCTAACTGCTCGGGAAGTTTCTAAAGCCTGTTGAATTAGTTGCATCGGATGACCTCGATGACTACCTTTGGCGCAATCCTGGCAAATTATTTTGCCACACTTGTGACAGAAAAGAACCTTCTTTGCCCTATGTAGTGAGCAGACAGTGTTGAAATCTTCACTGGAATTATTGTCCTTTGTAGAGCAGTCCTGATTTATGCCCTGCAAGGAGACAAAAAATTTGTAACAATTTTTATTACCGTCAATAATATTCGTTTGCCGTCGTCATTTACAAAGGCAACTGTTTTAGAAAGTTTAAAAGTTTCTTAAAAGTGATATGATATAAACTGCCTACCATAATCATCCTAGAAGCACTGTACAAAAAACAACAACAGAATATTTCAAGTTAGGAACAAGTGACACTAAAATTAGCATTGTCCTTATTTATAATGGCAAAGGATTGCATTACCTGTTGAAATAACCAACCCTTTTACATTACATTGATTCATGTAATTACCATTTAATGACCTGTTCCTTGAAACCCTATTTAAACAGTTCTGAAATTCTAGATATACTAATCGTTTTGCGATACGATTGCCTTATTTCAATTAGGTCTAAACCGCTTATCCCTTAGAATTAATGTTCCCATTAATTACTAGGTAGTTTGTGAAGGTTAACGTTATATTTAATCGGTCAGTGGACATTATGGTTATAAATATAATGAAATAAATAGTTTTAAATTCTGTGGGTCTGTATTTAAAAGAACCGTAGTGTTTCCTCAGTATATTTATGGTCATTCCTAGCAAAATCATTATCTTTAAGTTTTGATAACTTAAGAACATTCACATATCTAGTACGGTATGTTATGTTTTTTATGTTTTTTTCTCTACGTTGCATATGGTTAGTCCTGTCTACAACTTTCATGTTGAGGATTTAAGATTATTTTGAAAGGCTCTTTTGTAACTCAAAATAAATAAGAACTAAAAGTTCAGATTTTCACGAAATTATATATTATGACATGACAATTGTTTCGACAACACCGTGTCTTTATCAAATGATCTGAAATTTTGGTTCTTATTTATTTTGACAAATGGATTTTCATCAAGTAAAAGCCACCTCAGTTCAATCTTTTGTAACTCCCTATCCCAATTGGATGTCTAGTTTTATAACCTTTTCTTCTCGCGATTACTAATGTTAATTAAGGTGGGCCACGAAAAAGTCTTTAAGTTGTTTATAAAACAGTTAAATCCTATTTATTTGAAAACCGAAACTAAAATGCGAAACAGCCAGTTCCAATTTAATTCTATTTCTTATGTTTGCGAAATATATACGGTTGACATTGTATGAATCTAAATATTGTGATAATTCGTGCGTATTCCCTTTGATTGATTTATTCTGTTTTCTTGTGGTTACGTGGAAGGGCGCATTTTGCGAATGTTCCCACTTCCTGTATCGCAACTTACATTGACATGTGTTGATTATCAGTAAAGACAGTTTTATTACTATTATTATTATCACTATAAATATTATTTTTTTGTTTTCTTTTTGTTATTCGTTGCCTCATGCTCAAAGCATAATAAGCTCCGATCTAAGAACAGGACTCAAGAAAAATATCAGTTATTCTAAATTTTTGAAAAGCTATAAGGGATATATGGGTAATTATAAGGGTGATTAAAAAAAAAACTTTTGTTACTATTACACAAATGTTTTCACAGAAATGCAAGATTTTCCGTAGCTAAAAATTAGTTCGATGTTTTTAAAATATACGTTTTCGAATAAAACTCCATATCGCTGAAATAATAACATCACGTACGTTTTTTTTTATGATAATTGAGCCATAGACATTAGGTCTCGTCCATCTTTACTTTCCAAAATTGTTCTATTTAAATTTTCACCATAATATAACCCAATGATACCAAAATTATAAATGTGTATCTTGAATCGATCTGTAGGTACCAGACAAGAGACAGGGAATAGCACTGTATTTTAATTTGGGCAATTTGTGAAATCTGCACCGTATTAACAGCTTTCTAGATAAATAATTTCGGCTTATATGACGTTAGTCTCTTTCTTCCAAATCTGCCATTCAATTTATTCCGGAAGTAAATACACAACACTATTAGATTTTTTTCAGCAACTTTCTTGAGTTCGTTATAGTACAGGGCGTTGTCTTTGTTTTTTTTTTAATTTTTGATACGACCTAAAAAACATTTCGTCATGGTCAATATTGCTTCATTTTCGTGTTGTCAAATTAAAAAGCACAGTATCTGCAAATTGGTCTATTATTTGTTAATATTAAACACATTTAATAAGTTATTGCCTTTCAATATACGAGGTCATTTTTTGCAACCAGATTTCAATAGCAATTGAACGTTTGCGCAAATATCCAACTGGGCGGCAAATAAATATCGCTTGATAAGGAAATCCTTCTATATTACAAAATATGTCTTAAAAATTTAAAGAACAGTATGGTTTAAAAATTATGATAATCCCAGAATTTAAAAATACATACATACGAATTGGGCAGTAACACTTATTAAACGAATTGACAACGATACGATTAAGAGGACCAACCATCTTTAAATTACATTCGATCGTAACAGACGATATTTATTTTTCGATTCTGCGTAAATGAGCTTTTTGCGCGACATCGAATTGTCTAATGTTTGTCTTCTTTGGCGATTTCAGTCAGTTCGTGATCCTCCGCGTTCAATTTATCCAATTCCGTCAACTGCCCTAGTTCACCCACACTTAAAATGTCCACCAAGCGTGCGCCTAGGCAGTCGCACATCACGTTAATTGTGGTTCGAAATCTATCCCTAAAACGTTTTTGTTCATCACCTGTCCATAGCAAACGAATGACTTACAGTAGCCAATCAACTGCAACAATATTGATCACCGCATCTGCAGGCAAACCAACAGTGTCTAGCACCATGACCATAGTTACGAGACCAGCTTGAGGTATGCCAGCGGCTCCTATACTAGCCGCAGTCGCTGTGAGACTGGAAATGAAAAAAGATTAAATGCCATTTTAGCTACAAAATTTCACACAAGTAAAATTTAGAGTGGATAAGCAATTTTGAATTATAGATGAATTATTTAACATAACGACCAAATATTTTTGACATTTTCTCTATTCATTTCAATATTTCGCATAAACCTTCAATTGTTTATAAATTGGAATTCTATTTTTTGGTATTGCCGAAAATTGACCAAAACGAATCATTGCTCACGCAGCGCCGACAAGCTTTTTACCATAAAACTGAGATCTTTTAAACTCAAATAATAACTTTATTCGGAGATCAGTCAGAAAAAGTACACAAATTAGTGATGAAAACGACGAAGAGAAGAAAAAATGTATAAAGTTTGGACTCCCAGTAGGGAGCCAAATAGGAATCTGTTGATCCCAAACCGTAACTTGGATGAGAAAATGCTATAGGACTTTTTATATTCTGCCTTAATTCTGCATATAAATGACCTCGAGGAATAAACATAAAAGGAAAGGAAAAATTAGTTCAGCGCCATTTTTTAAGGGGATTATCTCGAAAATTATTAGTGTCAACAAAAAAATGAAGAGTATCAACCACATAAAATAAAATATTTATGAGGAAGTGTGAGAATGGTCATGTGAATATTTTCTATACCTATGCTTCTTGTACATTGAGCTCTATTATTTTTTTCTAAATGGGCTTTGCTACAATTCAATTTTTTATCAAATCCTCAGAAACTGTTCAAATTGTCCAGGATCCTTTTTATTAACTAACCAAAACCAACACTTCTCTATTTTTATTTTCTTTTGTTTTTTTTTTTGTTTTCTTTTTTTGATGTATTTGTTTTCTTCTAGTTTTCTTTCGATGTCAGCATTCCATTTTCTAATACTATAGTTTTTTATTTTCTGAAGAACAGATTATATGAATAAACACTGTTCCAAAACAACAAAACAGTGAAATATAACCTGTAACTATTATGAGTTTGTTGAACTTCTAAATTTAGAGGCTTTCGGATTACGGAATAAGTTATTACGAATGTTTTACTTACTAGTTACCAAAGCAACTGATTGACATAGTCAATCAACTGCTGCTGTCTCGTCAACAAAAAAAGTCAACAAGCGAATTTTCTTAGCGAATACCACTTTGCCTTCGATCAGGGCTAATTTTCAAAGTAATCGTGAGTTCGAAAAAATTTCCGGCAGTTACGTAACTTCTTGTGAAAACATACGTACCAAACTGCAACGGTTTTGCCGAATCCCAAGCTAATGTCGTTTAGCTGAGCTATGAAGATGGCCGCCACAGCTTCGTACAGAGCAGTACCATCCATATTTATCGTAGCTCCCACCGGAATTACAAACCTGGTGACCCTCGGATCCACACCCATCTTATCCATTGTTTGAATTGAGATCGGCATCGTTGCCGAACTGCCAAATAAGACCCGTGATTACCTACGATTCCCGCAAGGAATCAGATTTACCTTGATCCGGTTCCAAAAGCGGTCGCTAGAACTTGACTCAACCCCGCGATGATCTTGAACGGGAGCCTCCTCAACGTAAAAAAGTAAATGACTGATAAGGTGATGAATCCGTGTATGAAGAGACCAAGCAGGACCGTGCAAAAGTACAGCCCTAATCTACCGACCAAATCGGCAAAGCTGTATATCTCTAGGACTTTGGCTGTTACCAAAAAGAAGACGCCCAAAGGGGATGCCCTGTTATAGAGACGGTAAAAAACTATAGACCCACAAATGGTACCCTTACCATATAACCCAGCTCGTAATCGTCATCATGGCCTCGCTTAAGGCGTGAAAAAAGTCCAACAAGACTTTTCCACGTTCGCCCATTTTACCCATGGCGATGCCGAATACTATGGAAAACGTAACTAGGCCTAGTACGTTCGTTGTACTCTCAAATTTTTCTTCAAATTTCCATTTTTCCGCTGGATATACGTCCTCGATTGGAACCTGACCAACTGCAAAACGAAAGTTATATTCCATAGAGATTCGTTGAATTTGGATTGCATGTTTCATTGCAAATACCTGCAGCAGTTTATATGAAGATAGTTTGGGAAAGTTTGGACCACGAAAATGTAACAAGAATAATCAGGCCAACCACTGAATGAACATTAGATGTTTTCAGTGTAGAATATTTTAAGCTTTTTTAGGTTTGTTTTATATGCGAAAGCCACTCTATTCTTCCATTTTTCTCTCCACTGGTATGGCAGTTTCTGATCCTGTTTGTAAAATATACTCATCTCTAGGGGTTTTCGAGATAATGAATATTTTCCATTATTATTGATGAGTTAGTGCAATATTTAGAGTATTTTAGAGTATTTACGAGCTTCATGTAGAACACACACACACAGTGTGATATACATTAAAAATTCGTATTACATAAAATTGCCAAAAAAAATTTTTTTTTAGAAGGAATATGCAGTTTAATATCAAATATTCGAACAGATGAGTAAAACTGCTTTCAATTCATATATCGTGTTCCATTATCGAAAGGGTAAGGTTTTCGAAATAAAAGCAGCTTTTTAACAAAATCTAATTATTTTGACATATTTGGAAGGTGACCATCAAATGTCATGATACATGTATTTGGTAGAAAACAAATGTGACATGAAGAAATTTTCAGCAAACTGTTACTTTTCATGTTCCCAAAATATCTAACGTTTCGTCAAGTGTGAGACACCCTGTATGTAACTCATTTCTGAATAATACGTTCCAACGAACTTTACAATGACGACTTCGAATTCTCCATTATGATATTTAGTCGAACTAATCAAAAATAACACATCTAGAGTCGAATATAAATGTATGTTTCCAAGGAAATCTATTTGGAGAGAATTTTTTTTGAAAATTGGAATCAAAATAATACTAATTTAAGAAAAGAATATTTTTATACTATATATCAAATATAAATCAAAGTGATTTTATAACAATTTACAAAAACAAATCAAGTACTAAAGTTTTAAGAGAAAAAATTACAATAAAGCAAAATCATATTTTGTTTAAAATATCTGAATTATATGTATATATTGGGTGTTATATTTATTCTATATAGACTTTGACACATGCGGGTGATATAAATAAGCAGATAAACATCTAGTTATTGTTTCAAATTTTCAACGTACTGTGACTCTTATTGTAGTTGATTCTCTCCAATTCATCCATCAAAGACGCGTTTAGTGCTTTTTTCCTTCTGTCGCTGCTGGAAATATAATCGAACAGTGCGCTCTTCATTTCTGAATCTAGGGATGAATTAGCTACGATGCTTCTGAGTATGTCATCTTGTCCTTTCCTGAAGAGGATGTCTTTTTTGGGTTCTCTTAAAATTGTTTGTGACTGCAATCATTATTTTAAAAGTTACATTGCGTTTTTCAGAAAATATGAAGTATTATATCATTAGTTTTAATGATAAAATTATGGTGGAAGAAAATGGCTATCTGTGTTATTTAGGAATAATATAGCAATTCAATAAGTATTTAATAAAAATGCTAAGTTTTGGTTAGTTGGATTCAAAAAAAGCAAAGTTTGCTCATTCAACAGTGTGACAAAGTACAAAATCTCGTTTGCTAAATGGGTAACACTTTGAAAAACGTCCTATATGAAATAATTACTTACGTGCTTTACGTAACTCTTAGTAATGCATTTGACAATATCTCTCTTAAAGTCCAACAATTACCGTGTCATATAAAATTTTCTTGGAGGGCTCATAATACACAAAAAGATATAAAGGGTTGTTCCATTTCAAAAGTTGTATAAGGTCCATTTCTCTAAACGGTGCGGATTTATAGATATAGCAGATAACAGGAAAACATAAGGAAAAATAAGTTGGCAACGTGGCATTACAATTCGAAAGAATTATTATTATATAAATATTTCTTTTACGGGACATTATTGAATATTTCAAATGTTTTTGATTGTATGTCATATCATTTTATGCAACACTTGTTAAAATAATATTTCAAAATTATGCTAAATTAGGAATATATTGTACTTTGTCACACAAATAAAAATTTTAATGGAAAAATTTATGGTATGTAGGTCAGAAAATATTGGGCACTATAAACATTTACAATAAACTTACTTCAATTTGGTGTTATTTATGTGGGTAGAAAAATTCGATATTTTTGATTTTTAACCAAAAATAAGAATAGGGAGTTAATAGTATTGGAAGACATTTTTTAAGAAGTTGAAACCATAAGAATTGATCGAGATATTTTTAAATTTGTATATTTGAATCACTTAAATGAGAAACCCGACGAATGCCTAAAACATAATTTTGGAAAAACTAAAAAAAAATTCAGCTGCTTTCAGTTTAATTTTTAGTTCAGATGTTCCATTTGTATTGAAATGAAGTAAAACGTACTTATAAAAAAATGTAAACAATTTATTGGTAAAGTTTACAGAAATCTAAAATTAAAAAATGAAATATCGGATTTCTAAAATAAGTGAATCATTTGTACAAAATGCTAAATATACCTCATTTGATATTTTATTTTTAGACGCATATTAAGGGAGATATTTAGTTAAAGTTTGAAATTCTCAAAATAGCTTTAACAGAAACTACAGAACATTTTTAAATATGTGCATTACATAAAAGTATAGAGATAATTTTATCATTCAAGTTTTTACATAATTTAACATTCTTTGGAGAGTTACTTTCGTTTAAATAGTTAAAAATTATAATTTCTTCTATTACTTCATTATTTGGTTCCCCAAAACGATAAGCTCGCGAGTCGCAGGCTACTACGAGACGAGAGATCCTGTTGTATGTATAACTAAGTAATGAGATAAATTATGCATGGTATATTATTTGTAATTCAATTGAATTAAGTAGGAATGTACACAATGATTTTATCAAATTCGCTACCGTAGAAAAGGAAGTTGACTAAGCATTGTGTGCACCATTAGGAACGTTTGTCGTGCCAAAAGCAGGACGTCTAAATTCACGGGAATGTTGCCAAAAAAATTATTAAAATAAGTATAGGATTGTCTCGGAGAAAAATTAAATGTAATCAAAACTTCATTTTCGTTTAGACCAGCGTGTTAATAATTCCAAGAAAGGACCAGTGTATTAAAATATAACTATAGAGGTGAAAAGTATGTTTAATTCATTTTGGGTTACCTAAAATTTAAAATGTGGTCACATTAAAATGAATAAACCATCTTTCTGCTGCAATTACATCTGCCATTTAATTTATTCCCTAAACTTTCAAAATAAGACAATATGGTGTACTTTTTCTAATGAAACATATATTCTGTGGCATGTACAAAGTTCGGGTGGACCAAATTAAACACTTTTAAAAGGAAACGTCCCTTTCTCCTATTCACCATCTTACAAAAAGTAAGTAGTAGGACAGAACTGACAATTTAGTGAAAATTTATTTAAAATTATAAGCTTAACATCACTTTCGGTTAAAACGTGGTAAAGGCGTACAAACAAGTATGGGGGTAACTAAATCTTATGTCACCCGATACAGTAGTATCTCGATGATAATTGATTTTAAATCGTTCAAAAACAAATATTGTATAGTAACCGTTAGTATAATATATATGATGAACTATTTCTTGTCCGTCCGTCAATACGTACCTGTCCGATACAAGCCTGAACCAAATTGGGGGGAAACATATTTCTGAAACGAAAAGGAAACGGAATTTCAAATATATGTAATATTAGGTGTGTATATTTCCTAACAAATACGGAAAAGTATAGCTTTTACTATTGCTATTTCTTTTCTTTTACTAATTGCATTAAAATAAAGGAGAAATAGATAATAACTATCTTACTCATTATTAATAGTAAAAGTGCAAATCGCAGTGTACCACAAAATAATCGATGGTTCCAAAAGATGTTTTGAAGTAAACTGTTGAATTCATTGTTCAAATTTTAGCAGTATAGCAGAACGAGTCTTATGAGCAATTTTACATACCAACTAAAAATTTTTGATATAATGTTCCAATTTTAGATATTCTTACTTTTTCGTCACCAGTGCGTGCGTCTGGAAAAGTACGAACGAATGAACATTAAGAAAATATCGTTTATAAAATAGGGTAACTGGTAATAGATGAAAATAATACTTATTTAGAAACTTCAAAAAATGACAAGTTTAGAGCTTTAATAATAATGTTTGGCAATAATGTGCAAAATGATACATTCTGCGAATTAGTGAGCAAAGTACATATTCATATATCTCATATTTAATTTTCAAGTTTGTACAAGATATTTAGTTAAAAAGATAATTCAGATTCAGATAGTAGTTTGGGGTGGGAAGACTTCAATCTATTTTATGACACCCCCTTCCCACAGCTTATTGTACGTGTTTTGCTATTAAACTAGGCATTTTATATTCTTGAAGCCTACTTTAAAATTGTTACAGTAATTACTTGATTTGAAAAAACGTTTTAAGCCAGTTCCACAGTATTTTGTATTAAGCTGTATTACTTATTTTTGAACTATTTTAAGTGACATACATATATTTGCAATTCGTCAGCGAAATAGTTTCACACGTCTTGATCACTCATTAAATAGAAAAATAACTATTACATTAGTTTATTCTTAACATATTTATATTTATCTGAAAAGTTGAGAAAAGCATCTACTAATTATTTATATAATTCGACTCAAATTGACGTAAAAATATAACCTTAAATTAGCCTAATAAATTTTGCCAAACTTGGGCGACATTTCAGTGCCATCATTCATAAATTGTGCCAACAATCATAAAAGTGTCTGGTCTCATCATTACACTAATATTTAGAAACAAAACAACACACAAAGCATATATTGAAATCAAGAATAAAGTTTAGACATTATTAGTTTGGCGTAAGCATCGTGTAGGTAACTCGAATCACTTATTTTTAAAGTTTTATTGAAAGGCAAGTTGCCAAACCATAAAATTTAATAGGAATCGAAATTTATGTTTGTAATTGCCCTTGTTGGATGAAGAGAATGCTTTGATTCATCAGCGAATTATGTTTGTAAAAGTATCTATAAATTTGACTTCATAAATCTACCACTACAGTAGAATAGGCAAAATACAGGGCTATTCAAAAAAGAAGAGCAGATTGCAAACAGTTATTTTTTCGAAACGACTAAAGATAGAAACATATTCCTACGTTAATGGATAGGAAAAAGTATAAAATTTATTATTAACACGGTAAAAGTTCCAAAGTTCGTGACGTTGGATAGGAACAGGAGGAGCAGAAGAGCAACTTTATCGAGGGAGGCCTCCCAATTCTCCAAACCTCATTCGTTGCGAATTTTATCTCTGACACACTTAAAGATCTACGACATCGAATTAATGAAGCAGTGAATTCCACAATCCAAGACCAGCTGATTCGTGTGTGGCAAGAAATGAGACATTTTTCGTGTCGTGTCGTCATATTGAATGCACAATTATGCACTTTTCTCTATCCATTAACATTAGAATCATGTTTCTATCTTTTGCAGTTTGGAAGAAATAGATGTTTGCAATCTGCTCTTTCCTTTTGAATGACGCTGTGTTTTATTGTTGAAAAAAAGGCATCGCCACAGCCAGTGCTATTCAATTTTTTTTTAATTTGCCGCAGTTTATTTCTGAGATTTGTCAAATTCAAACCTAAAAAAAGCGATGTTAATATGTGATTTCATATTAAATGAATAATTTCATTATTTCCAAAGCATAGTTTAACCATAGCTAAATGACCTGAGTGTAGTTACAAGCAATACGAGCAGCAGTGTTGCACCAAGGAGTCACCATACGTTCCTTCAATCTGGGCTTCCATATAGACTTCTGTTTTGGGGTAACTTATATGATTTTGGCAGAATTTGCTTTTACAAAAAAAGTGAATACATAGTATCTTTGAGCTATGAGCTATCGCGACAATTGCAGGCCTGTTTTTGTGGAAAATAATATTCTGACGCTTGCTGGCATATTTGTATTCGACTTATATGTTTTAATTTAAAGACAGAGATCTTTTCATCTACTGCGGATATAAAGATGATTGTATAACTAGGTGTAAATCAAAACTTTTTAAAAAAATGTCAACCAGAAATCCATTCAGAAATATGTTTTTCTACTCCCGTCTGTAAAATACCTAATTACGCACCGATCTAGCCAAGTCAGTTTCGTTTCTCACGAATCCGAGCCACTTCGGACAATTTCGGGACTTTACCGCAGGGATTTGGGAGCAATCGAATGTTCTCGGAGATATTTCCCGTGCTTTGAATTTTGACGTTTGCTAATTCTGACAGTCATGTCGTGTTGATTTGCGAAAATGTGGCCAAAAACTAACGGTCGTAGAAAAAGTATAGTATTCAACACGTTCGGGACAGTTCTTAACTCACTCGTTTATTAAACACTGGCTCCGCTCCTGTCAAATAAACTCATGAGTCAAATGCCGTTTACCGTACTTGTTGGATAATATACTATTTAAGAAGGCTTTTTATTCATTGAATAAATTCTAAGCGATAACACTATATTAAATTGAAGATACTATATTGCAGGTATTTGCATTTTTATTGTTAGTTTTAGAATACTTTAGAATACTTCGGTATATGTTATATGATATTGAGTTCGGTCTATCTATCTATCTGTCTATTCTATCTATTCGAAAAAAAAGTAAACTGGAATAATGTTTTTGCCGGCAGCTCCACGAGGTACCGAAAAAAAGGTATTGAGCCAATTTTACTTCTCCAATCTATTTTTAATAAAGTTAGGACACTTTTGTGCAATGGCTGCATACAAAACTGTCAAGAAAATTCAATCTGACGCATTTATAAACAAATCGGTGACATACCGCGTGGGACAAGAACACATCATACAACTATTAAATAGCACAATGAAATTTGGAAGCAATCCAGTGAATGACATTTCCGGTTTGGGAAAATACAATTAGTTGTAGACTTTTTGCTAAAATTATTAATGATGAAAACTTCTCTTTTTAAATACAAAACCCCATATTTCATTGTACCTTGAACAAAACAATATTTTTTCTCAAACGGAAATCTACATCTATTATGTCATAGAGCAGAAACCCCAGGCAGTGCGGAAAATTTTAAATATAAGACCTCATTTACATATGTATTTTATTTATTATTTATTTAATATTATGTTATTTATACATAAATAAAAGAAAAGCATGGGGCAAAGATAAACATTTCGACAGATATTAATATATATCCCAACGTTTTTAATTTCTTCTCTCTTCTCTTTTTAGATTTTCATTGTTACAATTTTTCCTGTTATCATTTTTTGGACGGTTATGTTTTTAATGTATTTATTACACATTATTTATTCGTGTAAAGATACCTGAGTATTATCTTTGCAGAAAACTGTATTTGGTTAGCGTAAAAAACAATTTCGCCTTCGTAACTCATGTGAAGCTGGTATTTTTATTATAGGCAGCTTTCGTAAACAAGAAAATATTTATAAATGGATTGTAACTGAACATGTGTGCCGTATTAAAGAGAAAATTCCTTCAATTCCTCTTCTACCTTCGATCTTCCCTTCAATAATTAATGCTTGGGCAAGTAAGCTTTTTGATGGTCTTAAACAGTTGATGTTCTCTGCCTGAAATTGTTTAAACGCCTTCTTACTTTTTGCGTTAAATAATTTCACATTTCAATGCTTCTAGTTTATTTATAATATTGGTTTTGAGCGGCAAACCCTCAACTCTTTAAATAAGTATACAAATCTAAGATGCAGATTAAAATAGATACACGAAAATATTTTCCTCCGTTTTATAAATGCTGCGCTAACGAAATTTCTTTTTAGTCACTCTCTCATTTCGCTCATTCTTATTTCTTGTTTTTACTAATTTCTTCTTTTTCCTTTTTTTAATTTTTTATCATTTTTTTGGTCGCTACTGCCAGCTAGGCCCGTGAAGTCTATTGATTTTCATTAAATCTATAAAATAATGAAACTTCCTCTTATACATTACCTTATCAAATCTAACAAAGTATCTTGAGTTAAGACGTGTCGCGTTAGAACGCCTTCAGACGTATGATCGTCCGCGGGTTTCCAGGGTGCCGTGCCTTCGCCAGGCCTTATTGTCACTACCAGGAAGATTCCTAAAATAACGGCGCAGATAGTCGTTGTTGCGTAATATAAAATTGACCTGAAAACAGACAGAAAACCACTAACGAAATGGAAAACATCTATAAAACACCCTAAACTACCTCCATTAAGCAAGATATAGGATGGAATCCAGTGGGACCTATTGGTTTTTCCTTTGTTTATTTTGTAATAATTTCTAAGAACCAAAAATTTTTGAATGTCTTGTAAGGAAGTAAAATAATGCGATTTAAGCTTAATATTAAGATAAAAGTAGCATATTAAAAAACAAAAATATAAACTATAACAAAAAGTTAAATACGAAAGTTATAAGACGTAAAAGTGGTCCATATTTTAACAATATTTTCAATTATACATAGTATTTCGCAAAAGTTTTGTGTTTTTTAAGGGACAAATATTATAAAGGCATATTTGTCAGCCAAAAACTATTCTCTTTCTCACTTAAACATGTGTGTCCCAACTTGTTTGGTTTTCGAGATACAGAGTGTCAAAGTTTTTGAAATATTATTGACAAGACCAGACACGCTTATTTCTGGTCATAAGTAGCGTCCAAAGTGAATTAATTGTTTCTTTGTCATATTTTAGGAGAACTTTCAGAATCAAGAGCGTTGCTGATATTTTGTTTTTGAAGTTGAGTGGTCGAGAGCACATTTTTTCATATATATTAATCTTAATTTCCAATATGTCGATTTGAAAAAAGAAATTAAGCTACGGTTGGGACAGACTCTTCGCTGTATTCATTTCGAAAAAAACTCGCAATGTTGGTCAAACGACAACTAGCTGGTTTGATTCCGACAACCCAATCCAAAGTAATTAATATATAAATAAAAAGAGACCGAACCTTACCCCGCTAATTTATTGTAGCAGATAAAGCGAAATGGTTCATACCATAAAAGAAACTGCATAAAGAGTATGTTGTTGTATTTTGTAAAAATCCCCCTTTCTTATTCGCCACATAAGTTGCGCCGTCTATCGGCCGATTTGATGTTGAAAGTATTTTCGGGAAATTTCTGTTTTTTTTTGTAAAATTATAATTTTAATATAATTATAATACTTTCCGAGATACGAGAAGTAGTCGAACGTTCGGTATGCATGAATTGCTTCATATTTGTTTTGTATCAACTAATTTAATAATTTAAAGAACATAAAACCCTTTAAATTTAATCCGTTTCAAAAACTATTTAGCCAACAAATTAGAGAAAGTTCTAGGTTAGTGTTTGCTAAATTTGTTCTAAATATTATTAATACTTTTTTGCTAATTATTCATTTCAATTATAACATTTACGTAGCTTTTCTCTTTCTTCGGGTTACATAGAACGCAAAACTAATTACTCATATTGTAGTATTGTTTGTAAATTCAATTCCAACGCTTATTAACATTATTCATCTTATTGTCAACAGTCAAAAGTCGTCGCTCAAATAAGCTTTAACTCTAAAAAATATCTGATCTGCAGTAAAAACCTGCTCGCAATTAAAGTAAGTGGCATAAGAACTTGATTATTAACATAGAAGAAATGCATTGGCAATAATTTTTTATCGTTATTGGCGGCATAAAAAGTATCCTTCAACTCTTGTCATACTACTACTACTACTCACCTAACTGCTATTTTTTTGGACAAACTTAAATCTAATGAACCGATGGCTGAGATGACGGAGGCCATCAAAAGCGGTATTATGAGCGCCTTCAGCATCCTTAAGAATAATTCACCGGGGAACGCAAGATACATGACCTCCCTCGGTGTCCAGGGGCTACTTGACATCGCCCTGATAAGTAGCCCGACCGCAGTGCCTCCGAACACGCCCACCACCGTCAAAATTGTAAGCAGATTTCTTCCTATACATCCTAACACTTTGTTGTCTGCCATCGTCTACGGAAGATTCAATCTGGAATGAAATGGGTGCTCTCTAACCAATCACCATCTCAAACCATTTCTGAACTATGAAAATTACTTTTCAATAGAGACGCTTTCTTGTACTTGGCGGAGCATCGAGATATTTATCTTTTTAAGAATCTACCCACGATTTTATGAAATAAAACTCCGTCTTAAAACACAAACTAGATCAAATGTTCAATGATTTTCCTAATTCCATGTTCGCCACTTTGTTACCCTTTAAAATTGATATTATTTTTTCTGCACACAACTAAAGCTTCTTTCTACATATAGCATTTCTCCAATTGCATGAACACCATTTTATAATATTTATAATTTTGAATAAAAATCCACATGAATTGTAAGCTCTTTAAAAAATCTGCCTATAAAATATCTAATTACACACCGATGCAGCGTGCTGGAAGCGTCACGTTAGTTTCGTTTCCCATGGATCCGAGCCACTTCGGACATTTCCGGAATTTTACCGCACGGGTTTGGGAGCAATCGGATGTTTTCGGAGATTTGCCCACACCTTGAATTTTGACATTTGTCAATTCTGACAGTAATGTCAGTGAACGTATTCGTGTTGTTCTGCAAAAATGTACCCAAAAACTAACGGTCGTAGAAAAAGTATAGTATGCAACACGTTCGGTAAATTTTTTGAGTCACTCGTTTATTAAACACTCGCTCGGCTCGTGTCAAATAAACTCGTGAGTCAAATGCTGTTTACCGCACTTGTTTCATAATATACTATTACCGAACGTGTGGCATACTATACTTTTTCCACGACCGTTAGTTACATTCACTGACAGGACCGTCATTATTGACACACGTCAAAATTCAAGGCTTGGGAAGTATCTCCGAAAACATCCCATTGCTCCAAAACCCGTGCGGTAAAATCCCAAAAACGTCCGAAGTGGTTGGGATCCGCGGAAAACTAAACTAATATGGTAAAGTCACGCTTCCCGCACGCCAGATCGGTGTGTAATTAGGAATTTTACAGACGGGAGTAAAAAAAAATCCTTTGTCAAATAAACGAAAACGCAAAATGTTGAAAGTTTATTTGTATTAAATTAACACCAAAAAAACAGCCCGTTCGTATTTAGAGATTTGACAAAATATTTTTTTCTACTCCCGTCTGTAAAATACCTAATTACACAGCGATTTAGCGTGTTGAAAGCGTCACTTTTCCACGTCAGTTTCGTTTCCCACGAATCCGAGTCAGTTCGGACATTTCCGGTTTTCTCTAAAACTTCTATGCAGTGAAATCGATCTAAACTGGAATGGGTCCTATAATGCAGTGGACATTGATTTCATTAAATAAGCTTGATTTAGAGGGAGATAGGTAGTAATGGGTATTTTTTCATTGCTTATATTATTTTTTCAATTGGTCTAGTTGTTTGGGTTTCTTGACATAAAATCATTTGTTAACGAGTATTTTGTGGGTGGGTGGGTGTATTGTGTGTCATTTCAATCGTTTATCCCTGTTTGAACCAAGTGGTTGTGAAACATTTTGACAATTTTTGTCGATGATGATCTTGTGTTTCTCGAATCCCTACTAATAATTTCATGCTAGTGTTAAAATAGTTTTAATAAAATAAATAATAACCGATCAAATTATTATATAAATAAAATATATAAAAATGATTATATAAAGTATTTCCAAGTAATAACGAAAATTGTTAACATAATTTAATTTTTTTATTTTTATAAAATACATTTACCAGCCCTCTTCATCTATTGTAAATTTAGCCTCACAGTTTAAATGCAATTTCAATAAATTAATTTATTTATTTATTTACAAGTCACAAAAAAAAGGAAATGCAAGGACTAGTTCAAGTTGTTCGTTACAAGGAAAGAGAAACTAAAAATAAAGATATATTAAAAGCTTAGAGCAAATATGTCCAAATCAAGGAACTCGTTTTCAACATTTATGAGTACAGAGTTAGAAGAGTAGTTCGCGTACACTCCATATATGATGAAAGTTTGCCTATTTCGTAGTAAGTAACGAATGCTGTTAAAAAATATTTTTTCCCGAAGAAACAGATTCGAGATTCAAAGCTATACTAAATGAAAGTTTGTTCTTCAATTCATCGAGGATTATATTTATTACACCAATATTTATTATTTAAGAAACCTTGGATTGCAGATAGTTGTAGCATATTCTAATATATATCTGACTAGACTATAAAAAGGTATTGTTAGAGACTATGTTAAGCTTTAATTGTCGGTAAAATTAAGCTTCTTCAGAGCATACCAAAAAGGAGCACTGAAATCACTGTTATATTCAAGTCCTTTACAGTTCGAAAAGTTAAATTAAATTTACACTTAGATTTACGTACTTTCTGACAGAACAAGCGTTTTAACAAGTTTTAGATAAACAACATGCGATACGCGCGTCGGTCCCATTTTGCATACACGTAATTGCATTAGAGGAACACTTTACTTCCCCATATTAAAGGATCGTTTTGATATGCCTCACTTTTCATTTATAAATTATTTTTATTAAACACTTCCTTTGCCGTTCATCACAGGCTTATATACACGCCTGTGTGTGTAGATACCTACATTTTCGTATTGGAATTTTGTCGAACGACGATCGCGCATGAACTTAAATTTAAGGTTCTAAGAATAGACCAACGTTTGCAAGAAGTTATTTTTTGTGACTTCTGGTAAATTTTTTGTATATTAACAACTGCATAAAACTTTTTTAAGGAACATTTTTTGAGTTGTCATAACTTGCACTTCAATAGTTATTGATCTAACCAGTGCGGTATGAGGTTAATTAGTAACGAGTGGGGAATATTGACAAGACGAGGTCGTAGACCGAGTTCTGTAACCACACGAGTATTGTAATGAGCCTGACCGCATGTGTGGCATATATGGTTTCCATATTGCGCATATTGTCACTCTTGTACATGGCATCCAATAAGATGTTACCTTTATACGTTATTACATCACTAGTAATGACCTTATTACATCACTAGTGTGATAATTATGTTTATTGTGTAACTCAAACAAACAAACAAACATACATAAACATATAATGTGGGTAGAGTGTAATATTATATTATGCAACAAGTTTGATAAACGACATTTTAGTTTAATTTGGCAAGAGCGGAGCGCAGTTGTGCGAGTTCTTAATAAATAAGTGCCTTTAAATATTGATTAAAAAAATTGTTCAAAAACGCCAAAGACCGCGCACTATTTTATACAGATGCTGATTCTATGCCACAAAGTTGCCAAAATGCCCAAAGTTTTCTTTCGGATTCTCGGCAGATAGCGCCGTAATCACAAAAAAAATTATCATACCTTCGTTTTAACATTTTTTTTCTACTCCCATGTACCAATCAGACGTGCTCAAAGTGTTGCTTTAAAATGACAGTTCCATTAAACACTGTTGGAAGTGAATTCGAGCATTTCCACTACTTTATTCACTGGTTAAGAAGGATCAAATGTTATCGGCATATTTAAAATACTCATGGGTGTTTTGACGTCAGTTCGTCAATCGTTTTACAAAAATGTACCCAGAAAGTAACGGTTTTCGAGGATTTATAGGAAAACTTCCGGACGTGTCGCTAGCGGCTCGGGTGGGGAAAGAGGTATGTTTTGATGTTATTGGACAGTTTTTTTGTTTAAAGGCATTTTTTTTGTTTTTTGATGAATTTTGTTATTCTCTAGATATTTCACCGTTTCCATAGACAAATATAATAAAATATAAAATATTGAAGAAATTTACTCAGCATTAATAAATAACCTATTAAAAAACTATTTTGTTTACGAGTTTGCTTAATAAAAAAAAGTTTATCACCGTGTTGCTTACGATATTCTCTAGTTAGTTTCTGGATACGTTTTTGCAAAACTGAACAAATACTGACTGGAGTGTGACGTGACCATCAGAACTGACAAATGTCAAAACACCATAGCTGACATCTACCGAAATGGGTCGACCGCTTTCAAACCCGTGACTAAAACACCGGAAATAACCGTGGCGCTTGATCCGAGCATTGTTTTTTATTTTAGAACAAAGAGTAGAAAAGCAAGCAGTTTTTGTTATTAAGAGATAGGGAGAACTACCAACGGGAATTATTCCGAGTCTATTATAAGGCTAAAATTTGTAAATATAAATGTAATATAATATAATGTTTTCCAAAAGCTTAGCAACTAAAAACTTATTTTTTCTAACTTTGTAAAGATTTTTTCGCCATGCCTATGCAATCATTTTTTTTTTCAAATAAAGTTCCACAGGCTACTACAGGGTATTACTATTCACAAATCTTCTGGATTCCTCCTGCTTCCGTTGTTGATAAATTGAACTTGCTGATGTTGCCAATCATCCTGTTAGCGTCTTCAGAGCTTAAGGTGATGCTAAAGAACAAAAGATAAAGGTCATGAAAATTGTTTCGAGACAATATCTTTGAAGAAGCCAACAGGCCAAATGTCAGCAAGTTCATTTTATCAATCGACGCAGAAGCAGAAGATTTGTAAATAGTAATCTCAAATCTATCGCTGTCTATCGAAACAATTTAATAGTAACAAAACCGTATTTTCGATACTCCTTATCCTAAAATACGGAATTATGCACCGAAAGTGTCACTCTAACACATTTACTTCGTTACCCACGGTCGTGGGCCACTCAGGATATGTCCAGCACTGTAGTCACGGGTTTGGGAGCCATCGGATGTTTTCTGTAGATTTTAACCAGGAATAGTATTTTGAGGTTTGCAAATTCTGATAGTCACGTCACTCGTCAGTTAGTTAATATATTCGTGTTCTTTTGCAAAAATGGACCCAAAAACTAATGGTAAAAAAAAAGTATAGTATGCAAAATATTGATGAACTTCTTCAGGCACTCGTTTATTAAGCTTTCGCTTCCTTGGTTCGCTCGTGCGAAATCAAACTCAAGACTAAATAAGACTAAACTTGCATAAGGTATTGTTTAGGTAGGGTATTAAATTGATTATTTAAATTTAAAATGTGAATATATCACTTTAATCCGTATTCCAGTGCTGAAGTATTTCAGCTATGTAACCGAAATATTAATATAGTGTAACAAACAACCAGATTTCATATTCCCATTATTAATAAAAGCTTGCCGCCTTATACAAGAACGTAATTTACGTTAACTTAATTCATTTGAATGACTTAGCATGGTAACAGCGAATGTATTTTTTAATTACGCATCGCATAGTGTTAGAATGTCATTTTTTTTATAAAACTTTAATTTGATCTAGTTGCCTAGGGTATTTAGAAAATTAAGATAATTTATTGCAGCTGTCAATTTGGTTTGTTTTTACTTTCTATTTTTATGCTTTTTGCAATTAGTTTGAATTCGATTATTAACTAAGTAGATCAGTAACTAGAGAATTAAAAAAAAAACAAACTAACGATAACATAAAACTTAAGAAAAACTTGCAATTTGATGACACGATACCAGGATAAAAATCATATCAATACGCTCTTTTTTTGGATAAATCTTAATTTAAACCAAACAACTCCGCAACAATGAGGACTCACATTCAACAATGCGAAATAACACTATTGGCAAAACGGATAGCCTAATAAAATTATCTCACAATTCTGAAACGAGAAAAATTGACTATAATTAAAAAGGACTTCCTGGTAAGTTAAAAAAATATGACGTATTTAAATTAATTTAATTATAGCCACTTAAAGTTTTTAATAACAGGGAAATGAAATGTGGTTTTTCAACTCTCTACTATAAAATAGCCAATTATGCACTGGTCAAGCTTACGAAAAATGTCACTTTTGTGAAAAATGAAAAGTTTTAAGCTAGACGCTTTGGGATACAAACCGACAGACCACGGCCTGACACCTCAAAAATCATATTGATTATTGAGAAAATTAAGAAGAGAGAAAGAATAAGACTAAAAAGTTGCAGCAAAACAATCTGTCTCAGTCTCGCCGTTTCTTAACAACGTTCGTGGGAGTAAATCCATAACTACAAACACCAATTCATCAACAAATCATTTTTTTTATAAAAAGGTTCCGCATACTATGTCGATGAAAGTTCTAAAGGCTCTCCATCTCCTGCTTGTTTGTGCGCCACCATTAGAAAGATCTAATCTCAATCAATCTCAAATCTTAATGAGAACAGCATGCTTAAAGCACTATCTGTCTAAGTATTATCGCTTAATTGCGAGTTGCACTACTCGATATGACAGGTTTCCACATAATAATAATGCTCTAACCGGTATGCAATTCATAAAACAAAAAATTGAGCGTGTTGAGTGTTATTTTCGAATCTTTTTGGATTACTAAGCTCAAATAAGGAACGAAGATTTTTGACCCTTATAAGATCCCAACAGCGAAGACGAGACTTCACTACCTAAATACTTGTTTCGCCTAAATGGCGCCATGAGAACTAGTACTAAGTGCCTGCTAGTAGTGTCCTAACTAAATTGGGATATGGGTGATCCAAAATATCCAAAGATTCAAAGATCCAACAGAAATCAGTTTTTCTGTTTTCTAACTAAAAAACTAAAAAACTCTTGGTCAGGTCGACTTACATTAACTAATTTGCAAGACTGTCGCTGTGACTTCTAAAAGATGTGACATACAATACTAAGATTGCTACAGACAGCAAGGGCAGTAATGTTATTTTAGTCATATTATATTTTCTTGAACTTGTTTTTAATTGCGACTGTTCTAGAGCATTTTTAAAAATATAAAAATATCGAACGCAAAAAAGCAAAACAATTGCAACAAATAAACTGTTTATCAACTTCAACCGTTTCAGTATCGCACCGCATTCGTGATTGCCGATTAAAATAATAAAACGCCCTTAAAAATAATTTGAAAAGTCGTGAACGCTTTAAAAATTTTAAAAGGTTTATGCGACTGTCAGATGACATCACTGACTTTACTGTCATATAAATCATAAATTTCTATACAAACATATATAAAAACTAAAAATTTGTTTGTTTAATACCATGTCATACAAATTCAATTCCAATCTAAAAAATATACAGTTTTATAAATCACTATAGTATACTATACGACAAGTTTGAATAAATGCCACTATACGAGTAACTAAAGGATTTTGTGTTGTATACTATTCTTTTTTTACTACCATTAGTTTTTGGGTACAATTTTACAGAAGAACATTAATACGGCCACTGAGTGACGTGCGATGTGACCATCAGAACTGACAAATGTCAGTGTCTAAGGTCCACCGAAAACATCCCATCGTCCACAACCCGTGACTTATATTCCTATTCTAAAAATGGTATTAAATTTCATTCAGGTCGCAATAAAATAAATCGATATTTATTTCTATCGCATTGGAGTTAATTGGTGTAAAATGTAGAGATAATCATAATAGTGTGGAAGTGTGTGTAGGTCAAAAACTGTAGAATTACTCCTTGGAACTCGACATTTATTTTATCGAATAAACCTATAGTCACGAGTTTTTTGGCACGAGCGGAGCGCAGTTTAATATAAACGAGTAACTTTAAAAATTCACCAAACGTGTTGCATACTATGCTTTTTCTACGGCGATTAGTTTTTGGGTACATTTTTGCAAAACAACACGAATACATTCACTGACATGACCGTCAGAATTGATAAATATCAAAATTCAAGCCGTTCGGTAAAATATCCGAAAACATCCGAGTGCTCCCAAACTCCCAGAAATGTCCGAAGTGGCACGGATCCGTGGGAAACACTATATTATTATTATCATTAAACGCTCACTCCGATGCGATCTGCTCGTGCCAAATGAGACTTGTGACTAAAGGGGCGTTTATCAAACCTGTAGCATAGTATACTAGTATACGACGTCTACCAAACAGCTGATCCAGAAGCTTTGGAATGTTTGTTATATTTATAATATATTTTTATGGTTTACTCTTTGCTTGTTTGTACATTCTTAGTTCCCAATTTTTTAAAATAGATAATAGATTTAAAATGAATATTAGTCTATGTGTAAAAAACAAGAGTTGATTGATGTTTGATTTTAAATTTCACTATTGCTGTATAAAAAAAAGTATTTCAAAGAATGGATTCCTCCCCTTCTCTAACTTACTCCCATTCCTGTTCCGTTTACTCTTCATACTATTTATGTTGCTTTGCCTAAATATTTTCTATTATATGGTTTTGGTATATTTTTACTCTGGTTATAAGATATTTGTGCTCTATACCCGGGTCGTGTTTACATGCCATCTTAGAGCGCTTTATTCTCTGGATACACATTATACAGAGTGGCGCAAGTACAACATCCCCCTATTTTAGCACAATTAAATTGTTTTAACGGGTGTTGCAGAAAATAGAAAGACATATATTGTAAAAATATTTTCAATTATACTGGATTTCCGCACAACATTGGCAAGACAAAAATTTACTTATTTAATTGAAATTGGATATATTCTTACATAAAGAAATGTTTATATGATACTTGAATTGAATTTTAATGCGACGTTACCAACTTATTGGGAAAAATTAGAAGATATGCATTCCTATTATCGCCTATATTTCTCCATCCGTACTCTTTATAATATCAAAAATGAAAATATGATCCAATATATTACTGTGAGGTCAATTAAGCGCCTAAGTAGTTATTTCAAGCGAAAGTCTTGCGCAATTCACGAACACCCTGTACCAATTATTTTATCATTTTTAGCTATTGCCACCTACCACTTTTGTAAATATCTCCCTATACATTCGATTCCAGTTTTTTCGCAATATTTTTGTCATACTCTAATTATTTACTCGAAAGTTGGCTTCTTATACTATGAAATTGTTTTGGTGAACCAAAATTGGAGAACTGTTGCTCTTATTTGCTCCAAATATGCCGTTAAAAAACGATATTCACTAATTACTCGAAATCAAATAAAGAATAGACTGAAATAGTAAACTGTCACTTAAAAACACTGCGATTAAATAATTATTTGTCTATTTTTAATATTTTAGAAGCATACCATTGAAAGATATAGGAGATCAAAGGAATACATTGAGTTGGCGTTTTGGGGGAAATGAACCGATTGCAAAAACAATTTTTCGAGAAGACTTTGTCACGTCTTATTATTATTATCATTATTATCACACACATCAAGACTTCCCCATCCATTTGCGATTTGGGGATCATGGTCCACGAACAAGATTAATTCTTCGCAATAGGCCTGTCGGGAGAAGATCGATCTCCGCAACCGCGAGACGACATCCCGTCGCATCTCCCGGGAACATCAATATGTTCGCATGCACCGACTATACAGCAAAACTTACTGTTCAACAGGTAATATTAAAGAACAAAGCTTATGGTGGCTGACGCCAGAGCAACGCAACGTCGTCGCTTATATCCAATCAGCACGAAAATGAACAACCGACGAATGCGACGCGTCGCCGCCGCCGTGAAGAATGTCCGTCGACGTCGGGATGTCCACGGATTTAACGCACGCGCGCAATTTTTTTTGTTCGTTCGCGAAACGACACGCACACAATCACGACCAACGCGATAACTGCACGGCTAGCTGCGTGATGTTCGGCACAGAACGGGCGATGCAATTTTTATCCCGGCAGCGAGGCCGGATGATCTATCGTGAATAAGAGGCTCAGGAAGCGAGCCCCCAACGAAAAAAAAACATGTTAATTGTTTCGGTGGCTATTGTTTGGATAACCGAAAAGTAAATCGTCACTCGATCGTACACTGGTGGACGGATCGACTATTTATTTATTTATTTATTACTTTATTTATTTATTTGTTTCTTAAACAAGTGCAAAACTTCTCTAGTAAATATGATAAACCTTTCATTATTGTAAATATTATTTCTATATATTTTATAAATCCATGGTCAAATGTTGTATCTAAACTATCTAACGCACAGGTAATAAAGACCTCAAACATAAAAAAAATCTGTTGGTCATGATAATTTCCCAATTATTATTCTGAAGCATGTGGCTGAGCTCATACGTGAGCCGCTTTCGTACATTAATAATTTATGATTTACAAACCGACACTTTTCCAGATATTTTAAAGAATGCTTTAATACATCGCTCACTGGGTGCAATAATGGCTTATATCAAAAAATAGCTATTTTTAGTTAATTGTGCCATAAAACTCGCACATTTGCTTTTTAACAATACCGGTACATAGTTATCTTACTTCAGTTCCGTTAGAGAGAGTTAGTGACTATTGAATTTCCCGCGTGACCACTCTCATATACCGGGTGACACAAGAAAGTGGGAACACTCTATAAGTTTAAAACGGCTTAAAGCGATTTGAAATTTGAAAGGGTTAATATAGGCTGAATGCCCATTTTTTTACAATATGTAGTCAATGGTATCACTTCCGGTTTGAGCGGAAACGACAATAAATTTCGAATTTTAAATGGCCCTATATTTTTTGCATTTTGGGATTTTGGGATTCAAATCGATAACACGACAAAATCGAAAATCAGATGAACTGTCAAAATTGTCAATCATGCCGACTTGATGAATAGAAGCAAGGCCACCTAAGTAATATTTTGTTTATATATATATATATATATATATATATATATATATATATATATATATATATATATATATATATATATATATATATATATATATATATATATATATATATATATATATATATATATATATATATATATATATATATATATATATATATATATATATTCTCACGTATTGATTCACGGATGGAAAAATGTGATGACACTATATTCCGGGATATCATCCGTTCGCTCGTTGAACTCCGACTGGAATCCTGCATCCGACTCGACTGGAATCCTGCAGACGTTTCGCCAAAATCTCACTTGGCATCTTCAATGCTCGCGCTCCGAAAACACTTCGAACACTGGGATTCCAGGATTCCAGTCGGAGTTCAACAAGCGAACGGATGATATCCCGGAATATAATGTCATCATATATATATATATATATATATATATATATATATATATATATATATATATATATATATATATATATATATATATATATATATATATATATATATATATATATATATATATATATATATATATATATATATATATACATATTCTCACGTATTGATTCACGAATGGAAAAATGGACACTATATTCCGGGATATCATCCGTTCGCTCGTTGAACTCCGACTGGAATCCTGCATCCGACTGGAATCCTGCAGACGTTTCGCCAAAATCCCACTTGGCATCTTCAATGCTCGCGCTCCGAAAACAGTGTTCGAAGTGTTTTCGGAGCGCGAGCATTGAAGATGCCAAGTGAGATTTTGGCGAAACGTCTGCAGGATTCCAGTCGGATGCAGGATTTGCAGGATTCCAGTCGGAGTTCAACGAGCGAACGGATATATATATATATATATATATATATATATATATATATATATATATATATATATATATATATATATATATATATATATATATATATATATTCTCACGTATTGATTCACGGATGGAAAAATGTGATGACACTATATTCCGGGATATCATCCGTTCGCTCGTTGAACTCCGACTGGAATCCTGCAAATCCTGCATCCGACTGGAATCCTGCAGACGTTTCGCCAAAATCTCACTTGGCATCTTCAATGCTCGCGCTCCGAAAACACTTCGAACACTGGGATTCCAGGATTCCAGTCGGAGTTCAACGAGCGAACGGATGATATCCCGGAATATAGTGTCATCATATATATATATATATATATATATATATATATATATATATATATATATATATATATATATATATATATATATATATATATTTATATAAAAACAAAATATTACTTAGGTGGCCTTGCTTCTATTCAAGTCGGCATGATTGACAATTCTGAGAGTTCATCTGATTTTCGATTTTGTCGTGTTATCGATTTGTATTATCATGGAAAACAATAATGAATTTACAAATGGAGGAAAAGTTGATATGTTTCTGATATGCAGGGAATGCAGAAAAAACTGTCGACAGGCGCGTGCATTGTATGCACCCCGCTATCCGGGACGTTGCCTTCCTGCACATTCTTTCTTTACAAAGCTGGAGTTGAAAATGAGAAATACACAAAATAATCCACATGATAATTTTATTATAAGTGAAGAAATGGAAATCAATGTTGTGGAATACGTCAACGTAAATCCAGTTGCGTCGCTAAGAGAACTGGCATTAGAATTAGACATCTCAAGAGAATCTGTGAGGAGAATTAAAAAAAACGCGGCTATCGTTCTTTTAGGCATAACCTTCATCAACATCTCTATGAAGCTGACTTTGTAAAAAGACTTCGATATTGTAATTGGCTGTTAGATATACATGACAAGAATAATAATTATTGTTAAATAAATTTTGTTCACTGATGAGTCACGATTCTCAAATAATGCTATGTTTAACCGCCAGAACAATAGCCTTTAAAGAATGAAAGAATTATTAGTCCTGGGCAGTTTCAAGAACGGTTCGGCATCAATATTTGAGCATGAGTGATAGGAAGGCGAATTATTGGACCTGTTTTTTTTTCATGGTGCCTTAACTGGTGCACGATATTTACAATTCCTAAGAAATGAAATTGAAGACTTGTTAGATGATTTACCTCTTGCCGTAACATTAAATATGTATTTTCAGCGCAGGATGGCGCGCCTCCCCATAATTTTGGAGATGCCACTGAACACCTACGTGATGTTTATGGGGATAGACTAATCTCAACACACGGTCCAGTCAATTGGCCCCCACGGTCACCGGACTTGACACCGTTAGATTTTTCTGTTTGGGGGCACGTAAAAGACCATGTTTATGTAGCTCCAGGGTGCGACCTACAAGAATTACAGCGGAAAATATCGACTGCATTTGATAGTATAACTCCAGAAATCTTAGGAAGGGTTACGACGAATGTAATTTCTAGAACCAGAGAGTGTCGTATACAAGAAAGAGGACATTTTGAAAACATTCTATGAAAGTTTCATTTTAAAATAAATTGGTTATTAAGTAAATATCTATCGCACTTATTTAATTTTTTAATTCAAATAAATACAAAACTTCAGTTCGAAAATAAATGAATGTGATGTTTCGTGTCAATGTAAAACTTGTCTTACAGTAACACACGTTGATATAACGCTTTCAAATCGATTCTACTAACAATGTTGAGGTTATATTTCCTAACAGATTTTCAATATATTGGGTTGAATTATCCCAAAAAGTGACAGATTTGAAAAGAAAAAATATATTTATATTCTCTTCTTCTTCTATGTTTATGGTAAAAAGTGCTTGTAGCTTACGACGTATACGTACAATACTTACGTTAGTTTTTGACTGTATCCCCGTATTCCAACCGCATGTCAACTTTTTACCCTAATAAAACATTTTCAACAAAAAAATCAAATCGTTGAATCTCAGAAGAAACTCTCCCTTGATTTTTTTTTAAATACTAATCTGCTTTTTTCTTGCCACTGCATGACCTGGTCGAAATTATCTTCTGCATTTTTAATCTTGTCGACTTGACAATTAACACAAAGCCACCTAAGTAATATTTTTTTTTTATAAAAATGTATTTACTTATCTGATTTTTTCCTTCCTGTGAGCGTTTTTTTAAAATGATTTTGAAAATTTTGATGTCAAAATGTTGCCATTAGACAAGTAAAGAAAAGTTTCATTTACAATTTTTCCCATGATCAGGTGACCCGGTATATAGTATTTTTGATGGTCAAGGCCTCCTAGACACAATTTTCAACAATTAAATATAAATTAAAAAAAAGAAAGATCTCCTGAATAAAAAAATGCAAAAAATGTAGGTTGTTCCATTTAAAATTCGTTTCCGCTCATATTGTCAAAAAATTGCACATTCAGTCTATATTAACCCTTCAAAATTTCAAATCGCTATCTCAAGCTGACTGACGTTTCGCCAATCATGCTGTTGCCTTCTTCTGAGCTTAATTGAAACGGGATCGCATTCTACTCTGTACGTACTTATATATTGTTTGAGGGGGGTCGGATTTTCTATTGATAAGAATATCCTAGAATGGGAAATTATTATTTGTTTCAAATTTAATATTAGAAAGTAAATGGCCAAGAAAATCTCGGAAGGATTCTTAACCATGAGGTCAAATAACAAAAGTATCATCAACATAGCATTTCCTTTAAATAAATTTAACCGTTACAAGAAAAATATGTTCCAGACAAGCATTTTTCAATTAAGATGAGAAGGTTTGGTTCCAGATTCTCAAAATTTTAATATATCTGAAATAATGTTGAGAATTTCAGGAATAAGCACTTTAGTAAAGAGGTCTACGTCTACATCAAAACTAACCAGAATATTGTTTGAATCTAATGTAGCGGTTTGTAATTGCTCAATGAAATGAAAGGAACTAAGTATGAAACTATCAGTTTTCCCTGGTTTTAATATAGATATTTTGCTAGAGAATATGTTGCAGAGCCAATGGTCCTGACAATAAGTAAATGGGGTAATCCTGACTAGTGAATCTTAGGGAGTCTGTAGAGACGAAGGTAGGTGACAGACTTTTTCACGGATTCTGATAGAGAAGAAGCCTTATAACAGATTTAAGATTAGAAGACGTAGGATCTGTTTTAAGTTGACGATAGGATCCGTCGGTAAGAATATATCGAATTTTTTCATGATAGTCCTTTACCTGCTTTTAGAATAAGGATGTCTAGATTAGATTTAAGATATCTTAAAGCAATGCGTTCAGGCTTTGGAATATCAGATACCTTTACCACAGTGTTTGGTAGTTGAGAAGTGACTGTTTCACTAATGTTGACGTTAGTTTTTCAAATTTTTGAATGTTATTCTGGGTAAAAGATAAACGATGATTTTCAACTTTGTCATGAATCATATTTGAAAGAGTATTGTTACAGTAGCCCGTCGAAGTGTCTTTGAAAAATTAACAAGCCTTTATAAAAAGGACACCAAGCGCAAAAGCAGACTCAGGCGATCACCGACTGAAACTAGTAAGATTACTCTGAACACTGAATTTTTTGTTACGTTGTGGAAACCATTACCTCGAGAAAGAATTTGTCACACCCGCAAAGAAATAGATCATATCAACCAAGACTTATTTGTCTTTACATCTTAAACTTGCTTCAACACTAGCGAAACCAACAAAGTCTTCTAAACTACCAAACACTGTGGTAAATGTATCATTGCACAAATTTCGTCCTTGCCTAACGTATTATCCCAAGAGAGGAAATTATTTCAAATATCGAGTATATCCTAAACAAACTGCCATACCAAACAGCTAAGGAAATTCGATTTGAAACCGCAAAAATACTTAAAAAATCCAAACGTACTCATTCCAATATTAAATAGCTAAACGCATTCCTTTAAATTCTCTAAAATTTAATTCCGACATCGTAATCCTAAAAGCGGGTGGTGACTATGAGGAAATAATTCAAGATATTCAATTTAAAAAAAAAATCCTACGTTTTCTACGGAACGCAACCTAAAACGGCTATGTCTTCTTGATTATCACCAGTCATCGCTAATATATTTAGGGAAGCCTTGGAGAAGAAAGCCCTCGACACCTTCCATCTAAAATCAAAATTGTTGATGATGCTTTTGTTATTTGTCTCATAATCAAGAATCCCTCCGAGCTTTTCTTAGCCAGTTAAACTTTTTACACACTAATATACGTTTTAACATTAAATTAGAAATCAATAATGCGCTCCCATTCTTAGATATTGTTATCTTATTATATAAAATCAGACCAACGCCGCGACTCAGGTCTTTACCTTTCACTAATATGGGAATCAGTCATCCGCGATAATGTTAATCCTTTATCTCCTTTATCCTTCTCTCAGACCTCTTTTACCTCTCCCTCTCCTTTCTCTTCGCCCCATTCAAATAATATATAAGCAGGTACAGAGCAGAATGCCAGCCAGTTTCAGTTAGGCTCTGAACAAGCCAACAAGATAAATAGAACGCACCAAAAGGTGCAGACGAAACTTCTTTGGTTTTTTGGTTTAGAAAATATGGAAGGTGAAAAGAAAAAACCGCTTATAATATTCATGACATTGGGAAAATTGTTTTTCTTCTATACACCCCTTATATTGCCATCTATTAGACCAAGGCACTATTCAAAATTTTAAGATGCTCTAGAGAAGTTAAGATTTTTTAACATATGTAGATAGCGGTTTCCCGCTAGACCACATTGAAATCAACATTACCTTAACCATCGCTTCAATATGGTTTTCGACAACATGGCGAAATTTGTCAAAGTCAACAATAAAGAATTGCTTTTTTAAAAGCTGGAGTTCCCTCTTGTCCAACTGTTTGCTCTCTTAAATAATACTTTTTTGGATCTGAACCAATTTTCATTAATTGATAGCAATGTACCCATAGAAAATGGAGTACTGAACATCGTCGACTGTATTAAAGAGCTATAGTCCAATACATGATGAATAATCATGCCTGTAATAATGTAGTAGTAAGGAAATTGAAACACATAATATACTTCTGCATTCTGTTGTATTGCATACCGTCTAATTGTAATTATATAAATAATAGACAAATATTACATAAAAATAGTGGTTAGAATTGTTTGAATCTATGCTATTACTATCATGCAATGGTATAATTAATAGTTTTACATTATTCCAAGCCTTTTATAATTATTTTTCACTTCAAGTACAAGATTCACACTTTCTCTCAAAGTGTTCTCTGATATTAATTTATACTGAGTTTTAATGACGCTCCAACCAGCAAGAGAACAATCAAGCTTTAGTGAAGTAGTGAGATGTGAACAAGAAACAGAAATATTTCAGCACTAATTAACCACTGATCCTCAAGCATAACAAGAAATAGTATATCTATAGCATGATTCCAAATATTCAGACCAATAAAAGGCGTCGATGAAGAGACCAAAATTGTAATTCGAAAGAAAGTTCACTCTCTTAAAAAATAAATGGGTCTCCCATTAGACAAGATGACACTTATAAATAAAATGAGTCCCTTTAAGAAATCGAGATTTTGCTTGGGAAAAGAATGAAATTGTTTGCAGGCTACGAAAATACTTGAGAAGTATTACACAGGACCGAGTAAATATTGGACGCAAAGAGAGATTTTAAACAGGTCTGCTGACTTTTCAGTGGTACCAAACTAACCAACAACAAGGACAGGCATACAAAATACCATTCGAAATATAATGCATCAACTACTAGCGCCAGTTTTCTCTACCGAACAAAGAATGGAACAATGTGTGGAAATTGACGAGAGACAGTTTGAACCTATATTTATTTGTCGTAATAAAATATGCATTACCTTAGTATTGCACGTTTGATGATAAAAATTGCAAAAATAATTTATTTCAAATTCTTTTCATTTCATTGAACTATCAAAATGTATTACATTAGATCCAAACGATATTCTAGTTAGTTGCAACGCAAAATCTCTCTTTACTAAAGTCAGATATATCAAAATCTGAGCATCTGAAACCAAACCTTCTCATCTTAATTGAAAGATGCTTCTCTGGAACAGATTTTTCTTGTTAAGGTCAAATTTATAACCAAACATAGGGAACAGTTACGGATTGTCCATTATCACTAGGCATCGCGAATATATTCATGGAAGCCTTTAAGAAGAAAGCCCTCGACACCTTCCATTTAAAATCAATAATATGGAAACGCTATGTTAATGATACTTTTGTTATTTATCCTCATGGTCAAGAACCCAACGAAATTTTCTAAGCCATTTAAACTCTATACACTCTAACATACGTTTTACCATTGAGTTGAAGACTAATAATATCCTCCCATTCTTTCATATTGTTATCAATAAGAAATCAGACCTAACACTGGGTCATTGTGTTTACAGAAAACCTACGCACCTAGACCGATACTTTAATGCATGGTCACATCACCATCCGGCCCAAAAATCATCATCATTATTAACTCTGTTGTTTACAGAGCTGTGAAACTCTATCAATCCGAGTCATTGGAGCGAGATTTAAAACACCTTACATCTGCTCTTCTCTCTAATAATTTCCGTAATACAATTCACCACAACCTTGCAAAGACAATGTGACCACATCAAAGTTTTTGTCCAAAAATCTATCAACATATTCGATCTTTCAAAGACAAAATTCCTTTTGAAATATCAGTAGTCTACGTGGGAAAGAATACATTGGAAACAGGACGAAAAATACCAACTAGGCTCAAAAAACATAAAAGAGCCTTAAGGCTACGACAAAAAAACTCACCAGCAGTTACCGAACACGACCATGGAAAAACTAAAATTTCTGCATGTAATTAATTCTTCTACCAAAGAAAAATCCGAGAATCCATAGAAGTTTACACGCAAGCAAACAATCTTAACCACGTCTCAATTCAATTCAATTCAATATTTATGCCCCTCTTTTAGCTTCGTCCCCTCAAACAATATATAAGCAGGGACAGAGTAGAAAGTGGGCCAGTTTCAGTTATGCTCCGAGAAAGCTAATAGGATGATTGGCGAAACGTCAGCAAATTTGATTTATAAAAAACCGTCGCAGAAGGAATAAAGAAGCAAAATATGTGATACCAAATTCATGAGCAATTTTTGTCAATTATTCGGACATCTATTAAAATTAGTAAGATATAAACAAATTTTATTTCATTTTGTCGTTTGTAATAATAATGTATCTTTTTGTACAAAAAATCAATAAAAATTATAAAATCATTTTTTTCCAATGCTTATTTGAGGGACTTCAATTATTGTTCTACATCGGGGCCCAAAAATCCTAGAGCCGGCACTGCTTTTATCCCTCCGTAGTAAAGGCCGTTTCAAATGCTGCGATAAAGCTTGCAAGAAACTTACCTGGGGACAAATGTGCAACTTTTGCTGAAATATTTGAGGTTGACAATGTTGGTTACGTTCAATTTGTCTGTTTGATGGTGGTAGACATATTTTAATTGCAAGATACTTGCACCATGTCACGCAAGACAGTGTACAAATAACCCACAACCCGGCAATCTTCTGCTTCACCATCTTGCAGTAATTTGACAGTCAGTATTAAGAGGTCATCATTTTAAAAAAATGCCGAGTAACGAGCACCATCCTCACCTGGGAGAAGTCTCAATAGTGAGTCTGTTGAAAAAATATATATATAATTTTCAAATGTATTGCTTTTTTGAGACGAACTCAATGGTGAAAGTCCAAACTCGTTATCATCTTTTATTTCCAGCTAAATCAGCCAGTTTAATTTTGATTAATTTGCATTCGTTTTTCAAATTACAAAAAATAGACATTATTTAAATATTAGGAGAATTGTACCCAATTATAATGACATCATGCTCGTCGACATTTTCACTCTTGGACAAAATGTGATGTCACCTTGAGAATACTAAGGAAACAGTTTTAATTTTAAGAGTAATGAATACTGCACATTACCTTAAATTCAGGTATATAAAAATACTGCTTTGCTCTCACCGACTTTTAACATTTTTCAGTTAGGTAGTGAAAAACAAAATAATCTATGGTTTATGATGGTTTTCATACACCTGTTCGCACAATTTATACAAGCATATGTGCATTAATTTTAGGAAATAACGATCCTATATACGAAATAGCAAACGAAATAATAAGCTAGTGTAACAAATGAACACCCTCACTACCATCTATCCGCGCATGGACGAATTAACCATCGACCAGAACGCCTCATTGAAGTATATGTGTACGGTTCCGCTAGAGTGAGCCATAACCACAAATTAAAGTAACAAGAGGTTGCTGGTCGAAGACGAGATGGCTCCCGGACTTAACAGTTCCTACAAATTGGCGGTTCCAACTGAGGCATATAACGTACCAAACTAACCAAAACTCGTCGTTGAACATTTTATAAGTGCTGTCGTGTGGACAGCAGTTTTTTCGCGGATCTAAGGACAATGATAGTGCATTTATGGACGCGGTTGAAACTTACAAAGAATTTTCTCAAATGTCAGACATAAACGCGTTTCGCGGTGTGTCAATGCTCCTCAATGGTTTTGCTGAAACATAGTGGTAAGACGTAAAGGATTCTGTAAAAGAGTGGCAAGACGCCATAGACCTTTTGAGGACAACCAAGAAATCTCCCTACAAAATTTATCTGTTTGCAAGCAAACAAGACACAAAAACCAACTCTGATATTTTTATTTGCCAGTGTTGTGCGACTCTAGCGCAACTGCCTTCGGGAACGCTAAATGAAGCAATCCAAATTGACATAGTTAATTGTCTATTGAACAGACGCATACGAGAAAAAATTAATCGCGATAAAATTATAACTTTCAGCGAACCCTTAACCGAATGTCCTGCTGTGGAGAAAACTTTTATTGATAAAATTGAAAGCAGAGTAAACCATGACAGTATGAAACGGCTGAAATGTACATTTTGCAAATATACAGGATACAGTAAAGACGAATGTTGCAAATTTCTATCATCGAAACATTCAAGTGGCGATCGTTCTGAAAAAACAAATTCTGCAAGCTGCAGAGGTGCAAAAGACACTCCTTCGAAAATAAGTGATAATTCAGTAGTACAAAAACATGCGTTCAACACCAGTGTATCAACAAATACACCACTTACATGATATAATGGCGGAAAACAAGAATATATCCTTTCAATTGCCTTAGGTGCACAAATGTTGCCGCGCTGGTAGAATTTTGTCCTCTAGAAGACTTAAATCCGAAAATCTAACGTAAACTACAACCAACGACAAAATTGGAATATCAGATACCTTCAGAACAGGTTTCATTGACATAGGCGTTGGTAGTGAACAACAACAATCGTTTAAAAAATTGAAAACGGCTCTTATAACTGCCCCAGTCTTGCAACAAAATGATGGCAGTAAACCGTACAAGCTACGAACGGATGCATCTCCTTATGCACTGGAGGCAGTACTTCTCCAAGCCGAAGGCCAAAAACGTCCTGTGGAGTATGCAAGTAGAATACTGATCTCAGCAGAGAAAAATTACACAACCACAGAACCATGTGAACATTGTTGTATGGAGTCTTAAGTAATTTAGAGGCTATCTCAACCATTCTTCAGTTATCGTGAGAACTGATCGTCAACCATTTAAGTGGCTTCTGAACTTGAAGACACCACACCAACAGGCCGACCAGCGCGTTGGGCCTTGATGGTCCAGAATATCCAAAATGTTTTAACAGATATGCTATCAAGACCGCATTGTACAACGCATGAAGCTAGCACCACTTGTGAAGTTTGTCTAGTTACTGTAGACCTTCCACGAAGAACACCAGCTGACTGACGGACAGAACAACTGAAAGATCCAGCTCTAAATAAAATTATCGAATGTTTTGAAGACATAAACAGTGACGCGATTATGCTCTTTGGACTGTACGAGGTTACATTACAACCCAAGGTGTGCTATACAGTGAATTCGGAGATCCCGAACAAGCACAGCTCGTCGTCCCCGTCCCACGAAAGAGTTAGAATCCTAAAAGAACACCATGATGCTCCTACAGCAGCTCATTATGGCGCTGAACGAACTTTAGAGAAGATAGCAATATTTTACTACTTTACAGAAATGCAAAAATACGAGAATATGTGAAGAATTGCCCAGAATGTCAACAATATAAAGCTAGTAATCAAAAGCCAACTGCTTTGATACAAACGCCAATTTATGCGCAAAGATTTGAAGTACTAGCCAACTACCTTTTTGGACCTCTGCCATCTCATGAAAATAGCCAACAATGGATATTCATCATCAAAGACTACATTAGTGAAAGCAACATCTAAAGAATGTGCCAAAATACTGATAGATGAGATCTTTCTGAGGTACGGTTTCCCTCTAAGAACAATTTCAGACAAGAGTGTACAGTTTGTATCCCATGTTATGCCATAAGTATGCCACTGCATAAAAATTAAACAAAATTTGACGCCATTGTTCCATCCTCAAGTGAACTTGGTAGAACGAAAAATCGAGATTGAAAACCACGCTTAGCAATGTTAGTAGGAGATGATTATACTACCTGGTCGGAAAAATTAGCAGCAATACGATTTGCAATTAATTCCACCAAATGTGAAACAACAGGTTTTACACCTTCCTACATTACTTTCACTCGAAAATTACGAAGCCCAGACGAAATCAACAACAATTTCCTATTGATAGGTTCAGACTGAGAATTTTATTCCACAAATTACACCATATCTAGATAAGAAGGTGGCCATTACATTAAAAGAAGCTTGCGGCACCAATGAAAAGCAGCAGGACATCCAGAAGAAATACACTGACTTGCACAGATGTCCCTCACCTTTGTACAAACTTTCAGACAAAGTATTGGTTAATTGTTCCCCAATAACCCTTATTGTGGACCAGAGGAGTACAACCAGCAGTACCATTATGAAAACGTGGACCATCCAGGAAGCCACACCTGCAAATCGTTCTGGTTCCTTGTCCATGCCTGCCTTGAAACCACCATCCCCACCATCTATCTGCCCATAGACGAATTAGCCGTCGACCAGAACGCCTCATTCTAGCGAGTGAGAGACAGGGTACCAAATTAAAGTAACAAGAGGATGGTGGTCGAAGACGAAAAGATGGCTTCATTTGAATAGTAAATTGTTTAAGTTGGGTTTTGTATTTAATTATGCTCCCGGATTTAACAGTTGCTACACTAGGTATTTATCTAGAGTGAAATTCAAGTTACAATACTGTCACTCCCACTTCTTAGAAATATCTTGATATTCACCATCAGGCTGATCATAATTTTCTATGGGTGGTGTGTCAGTAGGGCCATTGCTTTTATATGGAATTAAAAAAGAGTCAATCTAAAACAAAAATCACAGTTGCCAACAAACATGTTCACAGAGCACTAGCAAAAAATTATGCACCTGAATTGCTTGTTGGTACAAGGTTTCAGATTCTTTTCTTAGTTCATCAAGTGCATATTGCTGGGCAAACAATAGTCTATCCAATATTTTTAAATCAGACAAATGCTGTTCACGTTTGTAACTACACCACTTTTGTTCTAATAAAACACGTTTGTCTAAAATTTCTGGTGATAAAGTTATTTCCCTCTGCCTCTTTCTAAAACAATGAAATTTATGTGGCAACTTTAGGGCACTAGCTGGATCTGAAATAAATTGGTATTAATATAACTTACGTCTTCTCATCTAATAGAGCTAATGGAACTTCGCATTCGTCGATAGGTTTATATTGCTTCGTGTTTTTCTCTAATCTCCTAATTTGTCTTTCCAGTTTCTTCTTTCTCCTTTCTTCCCTAGCCTTAAGAATCGCCGGATCTATACGCTTTTTCTTTTTTAATGGTTCTGCTCTAAAACACAAACAGTAGCGCCTTGGAAGAAGCCAAAAAAAAAAACAAGTTACAGTAGGCAAGGTGTAAATTGGAACAATAATGGAGTCGAGGTTGTTAAACTGCGTGATAATACTAGGGACGACGAAATGTTTGCAAATCTGAAAACAGATTTATGGTACCATAGTCGTACAATACGATTAGAACGAAATTTAACCTGTAGAAACTGGCTACTTTCTTAAATAAGGTCATTGCGACTTGTAATTCGGCACGGCTAAAAAAACAAATTAAAACCAGAAAAGCAGTTTCCAGGTTTTGTGCAAACCAAATAAAAGAGAAGAAAGGAAAATACTATTTGCTCTAGGAGAGGCAAGTTTGCTGTAGTCACCCGTCCATTTCCGGCATCCGCCGAGGATTATTCTTTTGGTCACAGATCAACACAAAAAAAATTGTATCAACATTTATTCTCAAAATGCCGATAAGGCTACTAACTAACCATATAGCTACTAGACTCATAGAGGCCCTGCCTATGCTAATAATACAGAAACTCGTGAATCTGCTCAATATGCGCGTGCGCGAGATTTGAAATTTCGTATTTAAAATTGCATTTTCTGACGTTCGACTCATAAGGCATTGCGGCTTGCGGCTTCGAACAACGAACATTGCCGCTGGCAGGTCGTCAATGTCTGGATGCTGCATTTTTACGGCAGTATATTCTCAAAATATGTCAAAAACCCATTAAATTTTCAGGCAAAAGGAATTAAGGTATAAAAAGCGTTGTTAAAAAAATTTGCGACAAGTGCAGAGTTAACACGGATCGGCGTCCTTACTATAATTCCGTATCTTGGTGTTTTGGTTCTTTAAGCGATATATACCCGAAACCTGCTAATTTTTCCAGAATTTGTGCCAGCAAATCGCCGCAAACAGTTTCTTTTTATAAACTTATTGAAAATGTAAATAATGTCGAATTCATGAAATGTGTAAAAGTGTAAATATAACTTTGAGGTGCTAGATATCGCACTGGAAACATCGTTGAAAAAATGTTCAACAAGCACCTCGTATAGACAGAACGCACATTCTCTCATCGCAAGTCTAGTAAGTTCAGAAAGGTTCGCCTCCCAAATATATAATTATGAAAAATACCAATCTACAATTTCGTTAAAAAACTGGAGGTTTTGGAAAATGTAACCAAGAAAATTAAAAACTAGTACAAAACAAGTCAATTAACAATTAGCCCTAAATGTATCAGAATTAAAACTACCAAAAACTAAAAAGTGTCGTTTATTTTCTCAAAATTTAAAAAACATTTTGTTAGCCAAATTGCATATTGGTTTGCTTCCCTGTTAAAAATATTTAACAGCAATTATTAAATGCTAAAAATACATGTAGAAATCGCATTGTTCCTACCAGGCTTAAGATACTAGTATCAATTCACACAATAATTTAGCTATTTTTTATTGCAATCTGGATTCAAATGTAAATAACCAAAAATTACTTTTCCAGAAATGCTCGAGATTTTTTAAAAGTGTAAGTTCACATGAAACATTCTAAAAGCCCTATTAAGAAATATTTTTTACAGATGCACACTCCAGACGGGTTTTGCAGACAAGATTGCGGTTTATGCCACAACTATGACTTACCTTTAATTACAATAGCATTTTATATAGTGTTTTATTAACTTGTTTTGAAGTTCACAGAAGATATAGTGGCATTGGTGAATGAACACAATAATGTAAAAATATAAATGAATAAATACATGAATTATTTAATAAGGCCTTTATTGAAAAGAATAAAATAGATTGTTGCTTATAAACACAATAAGAAATTAAATAGCATATTTATTTTTTATTTGCACAATGGCGTTCTACAGAAGATGCTTCAGTGTTACTCTTTTCAAGGAACTCTTTTATTACTTGATTTGGGAGGATCACCACCTTTGAAAATTGCAAAAAATGTTCACTTATAATATATTAAACTATTATTAATTATTAGTAGAATAACTAAAGCACAATTTTCATTAACTGTAAATTCAAAACAAAAATTTAATCTGAAGCACTTTACTTGACAATATGTTACTATGCCTTAACTGATGACTGGTGGTTATTCTGTGTTCCGACTACCACTGAAGATTGAAGATCTGCTGGTGTCTGCTGTCGTTTTATCTAGCAAAGAAATTATTATTTTGACTTGTTGGAAATAAAGTCGAAAAACGCCCCCCTATCAACAAAAATTTCCCTTATGTTCAAGAAACAAAATTGTTAGTCAAAATTATGCATTAAAATATCATTATTTAGACTGAAAAAAAATTGATAAACCAACAAAATAATATTGAGGAGGAATGTGGAATTATTTGATAAATTTTAACAATCGGATTTGAAAAAAAAGGTACCATTTGGCACTCTAAATATGGGTTGCTAAGTTTCATCAGCAAATAGAATGACCGAAAAACAAACCAATTTACAACTGATCACAATATCCACCTAGAAGACACTGCACTGCCTGCTTTACTTTATCAAGAGTTTAACACCTCTTCTATAGCTTAAAGGAGTGATGTGATCCCACATACGAATGCTCTTTGAAAGTTATCAGCCTCCCTCCATTTTTGACAAGGATGAAACTAGCAGGATAAGTGATCATCAAAAATAGGGAACAGACATCTGCAAGTTTACAAAAATAAATAGGATAGAGAACATGGATCAGTCCCATAACTTGTCCAAAATCTTGTTGTACTACATAGTTATGAATCAAGGACATAGTTTACTCTCAAGCCAAGCAAGGGTTGGGAAAATAGTCTGAGACTAATCAAGATCTCTTTTTCCCAAGTTGTAAACATAATATTTTTCCTACTCCAGTTGTCCTGAATCCAACAAGCAGATTTACAAAATCAGTATTTATTGATAGAACTGTTTCTATTCTATCTATCAGTGTCAAATTGTGTGTGTATGTACTGCAGTATTCACTTATCTCCCTAAGGAGGTACGTGACCTACAAACGAAGTACCCCAAAATTTCTTAGAATTCTTGGTAATTATCAAAAATTTCCTGTAATGTCTTCAGACTTCCCAAAAATATCCTGCAGATATACCATTTAAATTCGTCCTGCTGCAGCTGAATTTATTCTGGCAATTTTCAACTTGCTTGGGTAATAATTTCTGTAATTTTTTGACCAACCAAAAGGCAATTTTGACAAACGAAAACTTTCCCACATTGAGTTTTACAAGGATTTGTAATTGTCAAAGGGTATTTCTTGTGATTGTTCTAGTAAAACTTGCAGCTTCATTGTTACTTATATTTCCTGTAATTCCTGTACACTAAAACAATATCACAAATCACTCGGGTTTGTCTAAGATCCTATTAGGTCCTCATATTTGCCACACTTGCTGTAATTTCCTGAAGGAGCAAGTATTGAAAGCACAAATTATACAAGTTTGTGAATGGGAGTCCTATAGAAACCACTTTTAAATCTTTTAAATTAACTTGTACATAAAGCAACACTTATCCATATATGGGCACATTCCTTTCCTTACAGTTTCAACCACAAACACAAGTTTTTTACAAAAAATGAAAAAGGTACCGAGAGAAGAATCGTAACCTCCAAAAATGTTAACAACAATGGCACAGACTGTTAGTTTCCTCTGACAATAGTAATTCATAGCTCGGCGTTGCCAATTATATTACGATATCAGAGACTGATTTTGTGTTCTTGTGAAAATTAGTCAATTTTTCAGAAAAAGTACGCCAATATGGCAACTTAGTTGGGGCGTGACGCATGTGCAAAATATCCACACCTTCTCTATGCAAATATCACATCCACCTGCGGCGCATCCCTTTTTACTGTAGTAGGGCCGCTATATCTCCTTATAGCTATATGACTTTAACCGATAATAAGAAACGGCCACCCGCGCTTCCACCGCGGAAATTTTTTGCATTAAGTCAGAATAACAGCATGACATGGCATTTGATCGATTCTTTTGTCTGCTCTTATTTCCCATACCAATCATTCAGAAAACCTGTTTCGAAGAGTATAAGTGGTGTCATTACTCGCACTGAACGAAATAAATTTGGTACACCGTCCATTAATATTTGGTTAAAAAAAATTAACAAAATGTAGAAACCAACTAAACCATAGTTTGTTATATTAACTTGCTTTAAACTAATGTAAACATTTTAATTATTTAATAATTAATTTCTTGTTATTCCATATCATCACTCCTGACCATAAATATTTACGTAACTGATGACAGAATACATTACTTGCTAAAATCGATTCCCTGTTTGACATTTTATAGACGTAATCGGTCACATGTTGCGCAATGTGCGTCTCAGTCGACAATTTTTTCCTTTATTGGTTATGTTTTAATATTAATGGTTCGCTTTAATTTTACTGCTTTCGTGTAAAAAATGTTCCAGATTGGAATGCTTGTAGCACTGGCACATCTTTTGTATTGCCCGTTTACCAAGGTTGAAGAAAGTTTTAACATCCAAGCAATACACGATATACTTTACCATAGATTTAATTTATCTCAGGTTAGCTAGACATTCGACGATTCAAATTAAATTTTTTATTACGTGCATTTTCAGTATGATCACTTCGAGTTTTCCGGAGTAGTTCCACGATCATTTATAGGTCCCGTTTTTATATCGATTCTGGTATATCCTATTATTTTCCTGCTACAGTGTCTACAAGTAAATAAATTCTACAGCCAGTATGTGGGTAAATATATGGGTTATTCAAACAAATAAAAGTGGAGATATCCTAACATCTTGTTTTAGTAAGAACAGCATTAGCAGTTTGTGTTGTGGGAAGCTTAAATCATTTATCTAAAACTTTGGAGAAACAATTTGGATCACGCTGGGTTCAGTGGTTTGCAGCTGTTACTGTTACACAAAGTCACTTTATATTTTATCTAAGTCGTCCATTGCCAAATATCTTTGCGCTTCCTTTAGGTAAGTGTATGCTAGAAAAATTGTATTTGTGGTAATTCTAAAAGCCTTAATTTTTTAGCATTACTAGCTTTCGATGGATGGTTTAGGAACTGTCACAAGAGTTTCATCTTATACTCTGGTGCTGCGATAATTATTTTTAGGGTTGAGTTGGCTTTGTTTTTGGGAATATTACTTTTACATGATCTAATTTATAAAAGAATCACTTTGAGAAGGTGGATTTTTCTAAAGTTTTAGTGAAAGCATATGAAAGTAAATGTTTGTAGGTTAATACAAATTGCTATTCCTGGAGGAATAGGATTTTTGATTTTAACTGTGGTAATAGATTCAATTTTTTGGAACAGATTTCTGTGGCCAGAGGGAGAAGTACTGTGGTACAATACCATTTTAAATAAGAGTAGCAATTGGGGTGTATCCTTTTATTTTTTATGTTAGTTAGAGCGAATCTTTTCTTTTGTAACATATTCCTTAACTATTCGTAGACGTCACCATTTTTGTGGTATTTCTACTCCGCGATTCCTAGGGGTTTGGCCGCCTCTACTTTTCTAGTACCTGTGGGATTTTATCTAGACCAAAGAGTTAGACAAGTAGTCATTCCAGTTTCAATTTTTGTACTTATGTACTCATTCCTTCCACACAAGGAATTGAGATTTATTATTTATGTGTTTCCTTGCTTAAATATTGCTGTAGCAACAGCATGCCATCGTATGTAAGTATCAAACACCCATTAATAGTAACATTTTGATAGCCTATTGGATAATGCAGTTTGTGTTACAGATGGGAGAATAGAAACAAGTCGCCTATTTACCATTTGTTGTCACTTGGCGTGGGGGGCCACTTAGCTGTAAATGTGATGTTTACTCTGTTCCTATTGAGCATATCAGCAAAAAATTATCCCGGTGGAACGGCTATTTCCCATTTTCACAGGCTTGCAAAAAATGATAACTTCATCAATGTACACATATCAAATTTGGCGGCACAGACTGGAGTAACTAGATTCACTCAAATCAATCCAAACTGGATGTAAGTATCTACATAGTATTTTTAATTTGGCAGCCCTGACAAAGCAAACATGACAACCACATTAGAAAATTAATTTTATTAAAAATAATATTATTTGCAAAACTTCTGGATTCCTGCTATGTCTGCTATTGATAAATTGAACTTCTTGACGTTTCGCCAATCAGCATGTTGGTGAAAAGTCAGCATGTTCGATTTATTAACAACTGACTCAGGAGGAATTCAGAAGCTTTATAAATAATATAACAGTGGTTTGTGGAAGTTTCTTTAAGGAATTCATAACAATATTTTTGGCTGTATTTTGAATACTCTTATTTTAATAAATCTACTGAAATAGTTTTCAGAGACTCAATTTGCACTAGATTTAGACAGAGAGTGTTAACAGAATAGTTTGATGTGTTGTTTACAATCATTTGTAATTGACATGGTAAGCTTAGAAATAATTAAAATGGAGTTGGCCAATGAAAGTAAACTTATAGCTCCAAGTAACAACCCAGAGGTATTTTTATTGTTGGAACTGTGAGCAAAGCTATGAAATAATAAGATAAGAACTATCCAAAAATATCTTGGGAGCTGATGATTTAAATTCATAATGTCTGCACAGTGGACTTTATAATCAATTCACACACCAATATCCACACACTTAACTTGTTTTTCCAAAATATTTAACGAGATGCTCAACATTTTGAGAGTGTCTCATCTTAATATAGCTTCATTACCATTACATATTATATGGCAAGTTCATGTGGAAGAAGATTACGATATAGTTGAGCTCTCTGAGACCAATTTAAAACCGCATATATAGTTGAAATTAAGAACTATTATTTTTATAGATGGGAGAGGAGAGGTCGCGAACCTGGTAAGGCAGGTTTTTATATCAAGAAAACCATAATACATGAAACTTTAGATTTATACCATGACGTGATTGAAAGTGTGTTTATAGGCGCCCAGTGTATTGATAAATTGGACGATATGCCTAGACCTTTTGCCACAAACTGATAACTTGATTTGTTTTGGATAGATAGATTTAAATTTATTTGATATAAATGAGGATGGAGTTCGCTTATACTTAGATCTCTTAGATTATTTGTTGGAGCTAGAGCAGATCATCCATGGACTGACTAGAGTACTAGAGAGTAAGTAAGTTAATAGATCACCAATTAGTTACATAAGAGATAAAGGTTCTTCACTGTTGATGAGAATTCTTTGGATCACAAATTGATTTTTGCGCGATGTGTGTGATGATGAGTGCGCGGAGGCGTCGAATTGAGTCAATTAATTAGGTACAGAGATTTTTAAAAACATAGATATAATTTATTTGGATAATTCCCTTGGCGTAATATATTTAACTTTAACTCTGTTGATGAGAAAGTGTCTTTATTGAGAACATTCTCTGGATGTTTATGCTCCTTTGAAGAAGTTAAAAAGAAACACTTACCTTGCATCACAGAAAATATTAAGTTTCTCATAAAATTTAGTCAAAAAGTCAAATTTAAGTACAAAACAAAATAAAAGTGAAAATCAGACCCCATATAGAGAGCTTAGAAACGTTACTAACAAGGTGATCCAGTATGAAGAAAAAGCATATATAGAACATTATCTAAACAGTAAAAACAGCAGGAGGATTTTGGAAATCTTCAATAATTTAAACGTTATAAAAAGATTTAAAAAAAAAAACGGAAGGATTCTTGACCAATTATATCGAGATTTAATAAACAAGTCTTTCATTCACTGTATTCCAATTTTAAATCAATATCATTACTGACTACTATAAGAGCTCTCTGTACGCATAAGAAAAATTTCAGTTTTTAGAATCGCAAATTGCACAATCTCACTCTATATTAACTTTTTCTGTTGCCCATTTTTATTAAAGTAAATCTGGCCTCTTGTAAATTTTTGCATCACCAATAAAATTTTTGTTCGTTAATAAACTGAGATATTGCATATTTATTTAATATAGAATAAGTTATGGCATATGAATATATAGCATTTGTTTTTAATTATTACTCACAAAAATTGAAAACTCATATACAGGCAATTAGTATATTATGCAACAAGTGCGGTAAACGGCATTTGACTCACTAGTTTATTTGACAAGAGCGGAGCGAGTGTTTAATTAACGAGTGACTTAAAGAGTTTACCGAACGTGTTGCGTATTACACTTTTTCTACGCTCGTTAGTTTTTGGATACATTTTCGCAAAACAACACGAATAAATTCACTAATATGACCGTCAGAATTGACAAACGTCAAAATTCAAAGCGTGGGAAATGTCTCCGAAAACATCCGTGCAGTAAAATCCCGGAAATGTCCGAAATGGCTCGCATTCGTGGGAAACGAAACTGACGGGGTAAAGTGACGCTTACCGCATGCTAGATCTGTGTGTAAATAGGTATTTTACAGACGGGAGTAGAACAACACTATTTCCGCGAACAAAAGTACGCTTGGTACTATCGTTCCAGGTCTCACTTTTCTGTGCTCTGTGGTAGAATATTTACTCTATCGTAATGTCAATAATAATTAGTTGGCGGGTTTTTACATGTATGCAGTTCTGTAAGGCATCAGTTTTTGTTTTTTTTATATAATTAAAATGTTAATCCAGAAATATGTATAATTAAATGAACGAGTTCTTACCACGAGAGAATCATAACACTCCGGGCATTGTATTAGTTAGAACCACATATAGCGAATGGATTTAGTGGTTAAAATATTTTTGGAAGCATCATTCAATTCGAGTTAGGTGTGTGGGGATTTCCAGTTTAAAAAGACTTTTTTTTATGACTATGCGTTTACTTGATGAAATTTTAGTTGATTGTTTATGAACTATAACATTATTTGCATATGACTTAACAAACAAAATAATTTACGGAAGACTTTTAAGAATGCTATGAACCCTGCAACTATATTAACTAATAAAAAAATATTTCAAATATTTTCAGATACAATAAAACAGAAAATTTGGAACCAGTTGATATGTTTCATTTCACCCATTTGATAGCAGAGGGTAAAAGTAAGTTTGATTCAAAATTAAAACCTTTCTCTGCCACTCATGATTTGATATACACCATTGAATCTTTCCATCAGATCTCTTTTAATTACATGAATGTACCACCAATGGTCATTAAAACCAAACCTGTCTTGTTTATTTTAAAACGGAGGGATGACTATAAGGATTTTTTAAATATACAGGGTATGCCAGTTGGAACTGATGATGAATTGTCAATGGCGGATTCAGCAGAAGGTGGTAACAATAAACAAAATTTGGTTTCATCTCAAGGTTCTGTTAAAGACAACATCAGACGAATTGTCAAGTCAGAAACAAATAAAGAATTTGTTGATATAGCAGAAATTGGCGCACAATCCAAAGATAATTTTAAGGCTTTCCAAAATTCAAAACCTCCACTTAATAATTTTGATAAATCTGATCAAATGACCGCTGAAGATTTGAAAGATTTTAAAAGAAAAAATGCTGTTCAAGAATCGGTAAAGGAAACAATTAAAAGAATTGTACAGTCTGAAAAAGAAACTATCCCAAAAGTAAATGCCAAGGAAGAAGTGCCAAAAAAAAATTTTGTTTACAGAGACAAAAATGGCATTGAAAATAATGAGAGAGATGAAAAGGAAAACACACTCATTATGCAGTTGAAAGGCAAAGAAGGGAGCTTTGAATTTACTAAACAAGAAACAGAAGATGAAGGTGATAAAGAGGATAAACATGTAAAAAAGGACATTAAGAAGCTTATCAGAAAATTTCAGAGAAAAAAGTTGGATTCTGCTATTTCTCAATATGAAAAACTACATGAAAGCAATAATTACAATGCTTTGAAAATAACAAATGGAGATATTTCATTAGCTGAAATGGATTCAAAACAATATGATGATCCATCAAAAACTGTGAAAAGTTTGTCAGAGAACAAATTTGATACAGATGTTCCAGAAAACAACCCTACTGAGGCCACAGGTAATTTTGGCAAAGAAATGAGAAATAATTGGATTGAAAATAGAGACTAACCCTTTAGGCTGTGGAGTATCTTTTTTTATATGTAAATATGTATATTAATAAACCTTTTTAAGTTAAATTATTGTATGGTTTTAAAGAGTATTTGTATAGTAATAGTACACTGCGACTATGTCCCAAGCAGCTAACTAAACTAAACAAAATAATTTAAATATTATATTTTAAATAAATTGACGACAATAATAAAAATTTACTGTTTTGGGAAAGCTAATTTGTAGACTGTATTAGCAGACATCCCCAAGCCAATAAATACCATAAGGTATGTTAGGTCCAGTAGAATTGTATCCCGAAAGCCACCCTTTAAGTGAACTGGAAGACCATCATCAACCTGAAATTTTTTCTGGATTTCCTTAAGCTTGTAGAATCGTGGATTTGGAACTTCTCCTTCAGTAGTAGCAGCTTTCCTGGCTACTTGTCTATAAGCTGCTTGAACGAGTCTCAGGTTTCTCTACAAGAATATTCATTGTTACCTGGGATTATGTAATCTAACATCAATTAAGAATTGAGTTTCTTTTTTTAAATTAATTGAATGTTTACTACATTCAGATACTCGAAAAATATCAACAAATCACCTGAACATTCATATTGCAGAAAAAATGTTACAATTTTCTTTGCAATTTGACACCTTGTCTTTATTTTTCTGCTTCCTATAGCATCATAGTAGGTTCCGATATTTCTTGTGTATATCACAGATGTTAATGAGATTGGTTAGTTTGCATCCGAAAATTTGACAAAAGTTAATTCATTTAACACAGGTCTTTATAAATTTGTGTTTTTTTTTTTTAATTGTAGTAAGACCAAATCGGCTTTGGCTATGAGACTGTGGTCAAATTTAATTTGATTTATCTGAGTGGCCGTTGTGCGTTACCATTTGTACACTTACATAAACCATGGTAACCATAGTGATAGTGATAAAAAGGGACGTACCAAGGATGTACAGGATGTTCATAAACGGAGTTTTTTAACAAAAAAAACTTATTTCGGAATGATAGATAGGGCAGAATCAACTTACATATCAAGGGCTCGATTTTTGAGAAGCATTTAATGGGTAACACCGCAGGGCGAAATCTTCACTAACAACCGAGATGTACTGCGTTTTCCAACTTTCGGCCCTTTTGAAAATTGTCCACAACTATTTTATTTATGATTTTTTTTAAACTTTCTTATTTTATATGGCAGTCATAATAGGCTATGGTATTAAAAAAATGCCGATGTCGAGCCCTTTTCAGCCATATAGATTTGTTGGTACCTGATGAAAAAAGGTGGACATATAGGACATTTTTTGTTTATGTATTAGTAGATTGTGCATATAGCTGCAAATGTGAATTAAGGACATAACTTTTATTCTTTATTGAATTTTGTGTTCTGTCACACATAATTTTAGTTACCAAACTAAAGCTATTAGGTCATTTAGCAATTAAAAATGTTCGAAAATTATGAAAGTCTGATATGATAAAGTGTTACATTTTGTCTAACGAAAAAATGCAGAGGAAGCCAATAAACTTTACTCCAATACATATCCAGAAAAGCTTCATGCTGTAATGTGTCAAAATCGCCGTTTTTTCTTTCAGTGTCGATTTGTCGATTTTTTTAATAAAAATCGAGCAGCGAATGGTAATATAAATATTTTGCGAACATGTATTGGTTCCATTTTTGGAAGGCTTGCCATTAATTCTTGGAAGGAGTATTTATTATCAGCAAGATTGTTGCTCCGCTCACAACGCACGAATTATAAGTGAATTTTTAAAAAAGAAGTGTTTGGACAATGTTGGATTGGAACTAGAGGCCCCATTGTGTGGCCTGCGAGATCATGTGATCTAACTCCGCGAGATTTTTTTATGGTCGGGATTAAAATATCTTATACGTAAAGATAGAATTTTCCAAATCAAAACAGTTAGAGGAAGTCACTCAAGAAGTGTTTGCTTCCGTTAATCTTAGAAAGTTAGTGAATAGTTGCTATTCAGTACGAAAAAAGGGCGTGGCGCTCAATTTGAACATTTATATATTAAATATTTTAATATAATTTTAATATTTATTGTTTTGTTTATTAGGTGAAAATGATTATAATTTTGTTTCCTAAATAATGAAAAATATAAACATTAAATATTAAAAATAATATCCAAAACTAAAATTAAAATATTAAATGGTTCTTATGTTTCGTGTTTTTCACTTATTTTAAATTGGCCTTATCTTTTCTAAAGTTCCAATGTTTATTAAATTAGTTTGTTTCTTATGTGTTGTCATTTATGCACGGCCTACCAATACATAAACAAAAAATGCTCTATATTTCCGCCTTTTTTCATCATAGATACCAACGTTTTAACTACTAAATGTTTCTCAAAAATCAAGCCCATGACATGTAAGTGCATAGGTTTTTCCTGTTAAAACACTCCAACTATGACCACTCTGTACAACGTGGTAAGCATAAGATTGTTGTGGTTATGTTTGTCTCTTGTCCTTCGTATAATTGGGAATTTATCAATTGACAAAGCGAAAAGAACATAAGAATAATTCTAGTAGCTCCAAATTCCAAATAAACACTATACGTCAATAAAATATTAGTTTCTATTCCATCCGTTTAACCTTTACGTATCTTTTTCTACTCCCCGTTCTTCATCTAAGCTTTTCTAATAATTCAATCGAGGGAACAAAGAAAGAAAAGGATGACTTTTGAAACTAGCTCAATGATTTTAATGGACTTGGCCAACTGAATTCTGTAAATAGCACTGCTTAACCCTATATTAAACCGCGGGGACGAGTTTTAAAAAAGACATGGGCGAATAAAAGCCATTCCGTAAGCACCACCAACGTAATGCGAATGGGTTTAGAGAAACTTGCCTTCTCTATCCTCTACGATATAATTTGTTAAGTAATCTCAATTTCATGTTGTCTATAGTTTATAAATACACGATCTATTTAATAAATTCTCTAATGATTTCTGTAACTGTTTGTAAATAAATGTATCATCATGTGGTTTGGATGAATATTCATTAGATGTTTCTGCTTTAATTAAGCATTGGACTTCAGAAGTAATGGAGTCATCGGAAGAGACGTTTTCTGAAGAACACAATAGTTTGCTGGTGGAATTGATTAGGTACAATTTACAAGCTAGTAAAAATCAATTTTACAAAATTGAAAGGCTCTAAACATTTACAGTTCGATATCAGCAAATGGAGAAAGTGCTGAAGTAGTACAGCAAGTAAAGGCAGCTCTACCATACTTGAAGACATATAATGTTGAAAGAGCTGAGCAACACATTATTAAACATGTTATGACTGTGATCAACAAAAATTTTGAGAAGGTGCAGCATGAACTGAACAATCTTATTTTAGATATACCTTATATTGAATTGTTGTAGATTTTTGAAGAAAACAAAACATTATTAGAAACAGCTGATGATGATTTCATAAGCGTTTTAATTAAGGCCAATATAAAGGTACACAAGTTTTGATATTCCTAAATATTTAAATAAATCAAGATATTTTCTGTTTCAGCTATCTATTGAACTAACCGAAATTGCAGATTTCATATTGAAATTTATTCTGCAAAATAGTAATATTAATTTGGTATTCATAGAGTCCATTATAAAAAGTATACCTTATTACGTCCAATTGTTTTGTCATCACTTCCAGACATGGTAAACCTTCGTATTAATGATATAGCATTTTTATAGATATATATAAATTTTTAGCCACGCTAGCTATAGAGATTCATTTGAGAAGGACATTGCTTCTCTTTTAGAAGTTATTCAAATACTTTATTCACACTTTTTGGAGATTCTAGAATCATGTGTCTATATAACTGATAATCATGGTGCCATATTGTTAAGTTCAAGTAAGTTTGTTGAATTTTAGGTATTGGTTTTCATGTTCCTTTTTAGCTCTGATTGTTTTATGCAAGCTGACTGAGATACTTTCCGATATTAACATTAATCTATTGGTGATGACTTTTAAAAATTTAGTGTCAATGAGCGAAAAATATTCTAATCATTTGGAAAATGTTATGGATCTTATTGTCCCCATTGATTGTATAACTGCTGAAATCCAGAAAAGATCAGTTTATTTATTAGAACATGTGGGTAACAAGGAAACAGATCATATATAAAACTACTAACCTGTATATAAGCGGAACAGAGATGTAACTTAATTTATTCAATGTAGAAAACTAGTCTTTCAATAGCATATCTCTTATAAATTCAGTTATTGCAATTTTTTAATTTTGGTTTTTTCCTCTGCTGCAATAGACTCAAATGTTCCGTTTAGGCCATTCATATATACACAGTATCTGATTCTATATTTGGTCTGTAACATATACCAGAGTGGCGCGACAGTGTATTATATACCCTTATTTAGCACAATTTCGAAAAATTCTTGAATTTGGGAAAAAAAAGAAAATGTTTCTGAAATCATGATTTCTTATTATCTCGTGTATCCTATCCACATCTTTATAATATAAAAATAGAACTTAAGGTGGTCAAATGTATTACTAAGAATTATTTATTAAATTTAAATTATTAAATTATCATGGTATTTTAAATGGATCAGGGAGTTGTATTTTATCATATACACCCATTGTCCCTGTACCAATCAGTTAAAGCTTCCCTATACCTATCATCATATTTATCCTTATCTTGTGATGCCTGACTAAAAAATAAAAGTGGTACGTTTACTTTTTAAATTTAAATAATCAATTTAAGACCCTATACTTACTTGAAAATTGATTTTTGTTACTGTGAAATGGAAAATTTTATTAATTCTTGTTTTAATTTGCTGAAAATAAGCTGCTTAAGAATAGTTACTTACATTAATTACTCAAAATCACGTCAAGATATACACATTTGAAATAAGCTTAAAATGCTCACTTAAAAAATATTACTAAATAATTAGTTGTTCAATAATCCTACTAATACCTTATTGAAAATATAGTTAAACATTTCTCTCGAACTTATAACTCAAATTTCAATACCACACCATCCCTACATCTACCTACCTACCAGCTACCTCTTGAAAAAGTTTCTTATTCTATTTCTTATTTCTTTGTCATAGACGGTTTATCCTTAATTTTATTTGAAATTTGCTATTTATGGGCCTATGGCAAATTAATGACAACAAAAAATACCAACATTTATTATATAGTAATAACAAAAACTTATTTTTGATGAAACAGTCAATTAAATCAATTCTTTAAATTAAAAATATAGAGGTACCACTTTTATTTTACAGTAAGAGGACCGAATATTTTACGAAAAAACTTCACTGGATAACTGCCATGATAGCTGGTATCTAACTCTAACACATGGTGTTCAATTTAAAAATTAGAGAAAAATTAGGACTTAAGACAAGACTTTGGAAATTATTTTGATACCACAAGAGGCGCGGATAGATATAGGAGTTAGTAGGAAAGCATGTTTTTTGGACTATTTTCTCTTTTTTCCCAATCAGTTGGCAACGTCACATAATTCAAAAATAATTCAAGATAAATATGGATTTAAAATATGTTTAAAATATACGTCTATCGATTTTATTCAAAAAAATATTTTTCGAAATTCTGATAATATATACTTCGTCACACTATTTCGCCACTCTGTACAAATATTACTTGTTGAATGTAATTATTTTAGGACGAGTCTTTTTGTTACCAAATAAAATATTTGGATTTTTTGTTTAAAATAGTAATGAAATTATGTGAAAATTTCTCCAGAAGTTTTAACGAGATGTCATTGGGCATTGCGTGCTTTTTTATAAAAACTCTAAAGTAAGCACTTCAACTTACTGAACTCTCACATATACCGTATGCTAAACAAAAACTTTCGGTTTTTTAGTTTTTCATTAGATTTTTACAAGTCTTCAAATTTGCCTAATGAAGCAGTACAATTGATTGAGCAGATACTGTGTGTAACATTAGAACAGTTTTTGCATCAAATATTGCTTATTCATGATATGTTTAAGGTAAGTTGTAAAATCTTGTTCCTCTGTATATTATATTTCATTCAGAATGTTCGTAGACCCAACTACAAAAAATATTTCATATTTCGGACCTGAATATCGTGTGCAAAAAATATCCGATGGGGTTATTGAGCTTCTTAAACATGAATCTCAAGATATCAGTTCTGGACTACAACATACCTCCAGAATTTACTTCAAACATGATCAGTTTAATTTTTTCTGCTCTAAATCAGTGTAAGTAAGAATACAGTTTCGAAATTCGTAATATTTATCTTATGTACTTGGCACACAGGTACTTGCTAGTTATCGAATGAAAGAGATTTTCCTTTTTTCTCATTTTTAACCGACTTCGTTCTGGAGATAAAAATGTGGCGCAAGCACAGCCCTTTAATTTTCTTAATTTTTGATGTTTATTTCGGAATACAAAATCCCAAATTGGTAAAAAGTATTTTTTTCAAGTGGAACGCTGTTTATTAAACAATATTATCACAGATAATCAAAAGCACTCTCAATGCATATAATTGTCCTGTACCTAAATTGGTATGGTTTTTGAAATAAAGCAGTTTTAAAACAAAATCTAACATATATTCATATATTCTGCAAGTGTAAAGTAACCATGAAATGAAATTACCTACCAGAATATTTGATAATAAACAGGGTATTCCAATTTAGGAAAATACTTTTTTCAATTTCTTGTTCGTCGCAGAATGGTATTACTCTACAGAATTTAAGATACTGGCACATTGCAGCCAAAATTTCAGATTGCTGAATATTCTTGTAATTTTAGATTTTAAGAGTTTTCTTGGGGAAAAAATTGTATTGTACGGGTAGTTTGTTTCGCTTTTAGGTTATAAAGATTTATTCTACAAGAGTTACAAGGAAGGCATATTTTCCAGCCTAGTAATAAATATTAGCGCCGCCATTTTAATCAGAGGGAACATTGGGAATGTAGAAATTTTGTTATTGAACAACTTGGTGCAAGAAAACCCGTTTGTTTCTTTATTGGTGTTGGATATCTATACACTGGTGTTGCGGTGACAAACTACAAAACATTCATTAAGTCAAATCCTTATTAATTGTATTATAGGAATATAAGTATAAATGACCTCAAGAATACTTTAGTTTTCCTATTGAGCTCTGTGAAAATGATGAATTTTGGAGTTTTTACGCACCGGCCCGAATCGATTTATTTTAAGGAACTGCTAATAAGGATTTTTAGTATGTTACCCATCACTTCCAAAGTGGAAATTATCGACACCATCAAACCGGAAACAAATTTGCAAATAGGATATTTTATGGGTGTTCGCAATTTTCTTTCATTTAAAAAAGTCTTAGGAAATATTGTTGAACCTGGAATCTTTGGAATTGAAGAGCAAAGTGTAAACCAAGAAGGATTTCTTCATGCGGTGAGTATTTCAAACAGATGGGAGAACCATGCGGTCAACCCATATTTGCTACTAGTTACATAGAGGGCTCTGCCTGTGCTGATAATACCAATAAGATCTGTCATTTCAAATCTTGCTGTACAGTACAGTCTGTCTATAATGATTTACAATATAAAAAATAAATTAAAAGAGGCCTAGATGTGAGGGCGTGAGTATTATAAAATTTGCAGAATTTAATCTTAATCTTGGCAGTTGTGTACCATTGAACACACCAGAGTAATAGATTTTTTACAAAGTGTGGCATCCAGGAATGACTAAATATTTATCGACATTCAGTCTATTTCGACAAAATGGCTTATGACAATTTTTGTATGCTTGTGTATACAAGAGCATGTCATATAAAAAATAACTTTCTTATATTAAAAATAGCTGTATCATAAAAAAAGGGAAGGGTACAACATTTTCTCATTTAGAATTATTTTCAATATCCTGTTCTTTAAAACTTTTAACCAGTTCAATGAATTATTATGCAGACTACCTATTTGTCAATTTCATATCTCGAAATGGATTCAACTAAGCTTTAATGCAAAGAAACTGAAACGGTCCCCTTTAAGTTTTGATCAATTAAATGTGAAAGTATTTAGTTTTTCGTATCGAATTAATTTTGTCGACATTGTCACTTTAATGTATGAGAAATATGTTCTATTGACTTCTGTTTTTGTAAAAAAAATCGGTTTTCTTAATAATTAGTGATAGTTAATGTATCTCAAGCTATCTTGCCTTGAGGAATTTCAATTTTTATCATACAAGGAGCCTCCTTGCGTGATGAATTTTTACCACTCTATTCCAGAACATCAAAGAGCTTTTAGAAAAAGAACTATACAATTATTTTTTCTATTTAGATTATTCCTTTCCGTGAAACCATTGAAATTTATTACTTGAGATAAAATTTTTCTTAAAAAATATATCCTTTTTTCTTTAAAATTTTTTCCATATATTTTAGAATGTATGTTGAATGTATCTTCTTCTCTTACCTGACATCAAAGTTAGGGCTAATGTCAACCACAAACTTTTTTAGGTACAAAATTTAAGTTTGCTGTGCACCACAGATCTAAGGAACAACACTATTGACCCGATTCAGTTGGCCTTTGCAATCGGTAAACTGTGGGAATTCGACAGTTCAGTTGAGAGACTGGTTCTGACAAACCACGCATCTAGAAGTTTCATTCGGGTCCTTATCAACTGCACCGCGGTGTACTGGAAGTATTTTTCTCAATCTCAGCTAAAGGTGGTGAGCAATTTGGGCGCTTCTTTAAATGGATATACAGAGTGTTATTAACATGACATCATATTATCTTATAAATAAATGGGGACACCACCTTGATATTGAATCGATATTTTGTCGGTTTCAACTCTGAGAGAAACCTTATCGTGCCCAACAGGGCATCTCAATGTCAGACTGACAATCGCGATACCTATCAAACTACCCATCGTTGCCAAATGATCGGAACATGTTTGCGTCAAAGTATTTCACATTAATTTCAATAAATAAGTTGCAAAACCTCTTCTAGTGTATTTATCTGGTAGTGATATATAGTACAATACCATTTATATGTTATTATGACTTGGATTATGTTTTGTTTACGATGTTATGGAAACGATTTCGATTCATTAGTAACAAAGGGCAAAAATTTTAGTTTTATATTTTTTTAATATTTATAGCACATTTTGCAACTCAGCTCATGTAATTTTATAATTTATCCATCCAAATGTCGTCGGAAACGTCGGTAACTTAACCCTCGTGAAACTATCAAGAATAAAAAATGTAAACAAATAAAATCCGCTTTTAGGGACACTGACTCACGAACTAACGAATAAAATTAGCCAAACGATCGTTGGTTGTTATTTAAAAATTTATTTAATATATAATATATACATATATAATAATTTAATTGAATAAAATCTTAGTTAATAAAAGAAGAGCATTAATTTGTGTTAATAGGTTCAAATGTATATTACTGTTAAGGTGTTAGTGAAGAAGTAAGTTTGAGTGACAACTTGCCGCACAGTCTACGTTCTAACGGACGAATCAACAACTAATAAAGTTTAAAAAGGGAGTCGCCAAACACCGCCATTAGAGAGCATTAGATCGAGAAATACTTATTTAGATGATTACTGTTAAAGTTATTCTTTGTGAACCAGAGTTTATTTGGGATTATTAGCGATACTACTACTATTTTGCAATTCAATCTAGAAACATGATTTATTGCCGTTTTCCCAACTGCTGCAAAATCGCGCTAAAACTAACTTTTTGCGATGCTGAAGGATGAGTCATTTTTCTTGTAATTTATCGTGATTGATTTTATATGATGTTTAAATTTGTTGCATAGTAATGGATAAGACTGTTTTTTGCTATTTAAATTTATGAAACTAGCAATGTTTGTACAAAAAATTAATACTAAAACTTTTGTCGTGTTTGCAGACAAAGTAATAGAAGACGAATTTTTTCATCGTTGGGCATATTCAAGTAACGGCGGCGAAATTTTGTTTACACTAATAATGGATTTTTTTGCAATTGTCTTAAAAAGTAATCGAAAACCCTTTTTAGGGTTAGTAGACAACATAGTCAGTCTGCCAAAAAAGTTCCTTTTTATTTAAAAATTTAAAGAACAAACCTTATTGCTTGGCTTATCGTTGTCATTATTTCATCCCGCCTCATGATCCGTGGGTATAAAACGATTGATACCCTATCTCTGGAGCATTTATTCTGGAATATCCTTATCATGAGATTTATGAAAAAATATTTTTTTCATAATACCCATGAGATTTATTCATTAAATTATCTGATGTCATTTTAATAACACCCTGTAAAGCAAAACGGAGATATACTTCAAGCAAATAATGTTTACGTGTACGTCATTAACTGTCATTTTATTTTATTTTCGCACAAAATGGTGTGATATGATCTACTAAACTTATACAACCAAAGCAAAACGATCGCAAAAAATAAACACCGTCAATAATTAATCGCGTAAGTTCGAACGTAGTGTTAGGTATTTGTTCACAGACGTACAGACCTGTGAAGAAATATAGACTCATACCTATTTAAAGATTTCGTTGAAGAGCAATCGAATATTACTGAAAATAGGGTTGGTACACACAAATAAAAGTGTCAATATATTAGTTTTATTTTTTATTTAATAATCGTGAAAATCTAAAATAGCCTACCATTTATACATTTATGCAGTGAAAAATCATAAACTCACTGATTATATTTATCCCCCTTTATTTTTTATGATGTTTATTAGTCTTTTAGGCATGCTAATTAACTGCTTAAGTGTATTAATTGAAATTTTGGCCCATGTGGATCGCAGTCTTTGAGTTTTTCGACATTTTTTTTTTTGCTTGTTTTGACGTTCACTATCGGATTTATTTATATTGGGATTAACTGCTGGCCATTCCAATAACTGGATACCAAGGTCATGAAACCACTGTTTTGTAGTGGCAGCTACATGGAAAATTATGTTTTCGTCTTCAGTCAGCGTAATGAATGGTAGAAGGTAATCACGTAACGTTGCCTGATAACTAACAGCCGTCATACGCCCATCGATAATATTTTTTCTATCAAATCTCAAATCATGTCAATCGGGATCATCAAGCTTGAATTTCTTGTCATCACTAAATATAATGTTGCCAAAAGTCATCTTTTGTTACATATTTTTCTGCAAACTAAAATCGATTCAATTTATATTGTGTTTTCAAGAGTGGTTTACTATGACATTTTTGATATTTGAAATGTTTTGATTCAGCTGTCAGATAATATCTACGCAACAGTGCTGTCGATGATACCCCGGTAAGGAAGAAAACCGACGAGGACCCCCTGAAAGTTTTTTTTACCATAGTTTCGATTCCAAACGTAAAAAAAAATGTCCGCTATAGCTTTTTGTGTTTTTTCGCAGTTTGCTAAGTTAGGAATTCGCTGTTTTTCGATTGCAATTAATGCGGCATATTACAAGACAAAACAAAACTGGACAGATAAACCGATTATATTAAGTGATACTTCTTGATATTAACTTCCAAAATACATCTTGCATTTAAAAAGTCTTGCATACGATTGAGTTTGTAAATATTCACAGTTTAACTCGTCCCGCTCGAGACGAATTAGCGGCGTCTTAGCGTTAAGGTCAAATAAAATAAAACCAAGTTCATACAGCAGTCGCGCCTATTTTACTCTAAACATCCATTTATATGCTCGTGACGTTTGTGTAATAAAATATTGAAATTATTATACATATATATATATATATATATATATATATATATATATATATATATATATATATATATATATATATATATATATATATATATATATATATATATATATATATATATATATATATATATATATATATATATATATATATATATATATATATATATTTGGGTCTATATTTTTCACGGTCTGTACATTTCTCTGTTAATAATTGAACTCCAATTTGGTTAGCGTGGTTTTTGTTTTTGTCAATTTTTTTTTGCTTATTGTGAATTAGCCTAAAAACAGTTGAGTTGAAAACGACAGAGGAATTTAATTGGCCGTATCATCGATATATCGATCGAACGATTTTGGTGCCAGAATATATTGCTTTGGCAAAGCATTTGATTTGAGGCGTACTGTTGTGACATGCACGCAAAGATTATTTGATTCAAGTATCCATCGTTTTTGTTTTACGTTTGGAGTTTGTTATTGGTTTTTTAGATAATTAATCAGCTTAAAGTTCTTAGCGCCCTAGAAGAATATAAAGTCAGTATTCTCGAAACCTTTGAAAAAGTATCAGTAGATTCGATCCTATCAAACATTGTCTTCGCAGGGGATTTTGTTAAAGTTAACCAGGAACTGCTAAATTCGGGAAGCGTCCTTTTGCGCGAAATGACACTGGACATGCTATTCCAACGTTTCTCCACTCGCCGATCGGTTTTGGAAAACATATTTAAATCGTTCAGTGAAAAGTCGATGGTAGATATTCAATGTTACTTTCAACAAATACCCAATGACACTGTAAATTATGAAGGCATTACACGAGCATCTTATGGGCATGTATGTCTCACATGGTACAATAATCCTCGTTGTAAGTTATTTAATGCTCAGCATTATAATGTTACGTTATCTGATAGAAACGGCATAGATACATTTCCCGATAGACCAAAATTTCATTATTCGTTAAGCAATCGAACCTGTGTTAGTACTTTTAAACATATGAGCAAAGAGGACATTGTGGAGGTCGAAGACTGCGAGGCGGACGATACCATTCAGCGCCTGAAGAGTGATGTCAAATGCCTATCGAAAATTGTCAAGACTGAAAAATTGACCCCAAAAAATGTTGCCGATTTAAAAATTGTTTTGAGTCGGTTATCGTCATTAATTTAAATTGTCACTGTGTAATAAATTATTTTGTTTGTACCCCATATTTAAGTTTATTTTTATACTCTTTTATTTAATTAATAAATAATTGAGTGTTTCCGCTACTAATAGACCCCTAAAATATGCAACCTACCTACAAAAAGAAACAGCCACACATCCGAAAAAGCGTATGGACGCAATGCGGATATTTTAAAGACAACAATAAAAATCTCCTTAAAGAAACTGTTAAAATGTTACTCACCGGGTGCGAGGTGAAATCACCTCTGTTCCCAGTGAAACCCATGTAGCTACTAGACATATAGAGGCCCTGCCTATGCTGGCAGAAACTCATGAAATAACAATGTATTTTTTTTTTGAGAAGGTCCATTCAAGGAGTGCATGCGCGAAATTTCAAATTTCGTTTTTAACTAACGGCAGCTCTATTGACAAATTTTGACGTAGAACCCAAAAGACCTTGCGGCCTTTTAAGGCAGTATTTTCTCAAAATATGTGGAAATCCTATTAAATTTTGAGAAAAAAAAGGAATTAGGGTCTGGAAAAGCAGTGCAGAATTGCAACACCCACGTCGGCGTCAGTCTAATTCTGTAATTAATTTGGAATTTTTATTCTTCAAACCTTGTAAATACGATGCAATTTCTACATGTATTTTTTATGTAAGCTATTTTTTTTTTATAAATCGGTGCAAAGCGGTAGTTTTCATAAACTCATCAAACATCTAAGTGAAAAAATGGCCAAGAAGCACCTCCTATAGAGAGTAATTGATAAGGGGTATTTCTCATGCTTGTTCTAGTAAAAGTTCAACTTGTAGCTTAATTGCTTTCTTATATTTCCTGTAGTAGACATATTACAAAGAACAAAGTAGTGAAAGCACAAATTATACAAGTTTATGAGTATGGCATGGAAGATATTGACACCAAAAATGAAAACAGAAATGGCACATTCATCAATTTTTACCGTAGCAGGGCACTATATTATCTTATAGCTATATGGTGGAATCTAATCATCTGTCAACTATAGCTGAAAAGGCACTTAGAGGATAACAGAAGACTTCGACTTTCCATAATTTTATTTCGCTACATAGCGCACCTTGCACTATTACGTTACGTTTTTAAACCAACCAATTAAAATCGATTGGGTTCATCAAATACGACGGTTTAATTATATTTCAGCGCTGTACGGTTTGCCTTTTCGACTGATTGATTAGGGAACGGCGCTACGCTTTTTGCGATTGTATTCTCCAATCTTAAACCTTTGTAATTTGGAAATGGGTGTTTTGTAGAAGGCGAAGCATTATTAATTGCAAAACATGTAGTTTAAATTGCTATGACCTACATTGATAAAGATGCAGATCACATATTTAAGGTTAAACGGAATATTTTATAATCAACCCACCAGTCAGTTTTTTTTTAGAATTATCCGTGGGAAATATCTCCGAAAATATCCGATTGCTCCCTAACCCGTGCAGTAAAATCCCGGAAATGTCGGAAATGGCTCGGAGCCGTGTGAAACGAAACTGACGTGTAAAAAGACGTTTCCCGAACGGTCGATCGGTGTGTAATTAGGCATTTTACAGAGAGTACAAATTGTCAACAGTAGATTCCACTTAAACATAGTTCTAATCAAATCGATGAAATAAAATTCTACCACAACCTCATAGGCGAAAATAATTTGTAAAGTTTGGTTTTGTAATTATAACTACATTTTATTAACGGAGAAAAAAGGATGCTTTGCGAATAAAGAGAGTTTTGGTAAAATAATGAACAAAATTTAAAATCCTTTATGGTTATTAAAAATGAAAAAAATATTTATGCTTTATCTTAAAAGTTCGGTAGTAGATATCTTTATACATTATTTTGGCAAAATTGAATTAAATCTTTTTAGGTAGGTGACGCCTAATTAGATGATCAACCAATCAAAGATGATTAAATTAAATAAAAAAACAATCGTCTATATGCGCCAGAAATTTAAGATTTATCTATGCCTTAGACACGTGCCACTATAACTAACCAAAACTAAGCTCTTAATTCTCTTACAGAAACTAATCCATTCTGTGCCTAATATGATGTTATACTTAAACTAACCTTAGGAGTCTGTGTTGAAAAATAAAGGGGTTTGGTATTTATCAATTGGATAGTTTGCAAAGTCAATTGAAACTTTTTTTTGCAATATGAATGTTCAAGTGAGTTGTTATTTTTGAAGTAAATCATTATAGTGAATATTCGATTAATTCTAAAAAGCTCTATTTTTAATTTAAAGGTTAAATTACATAATCTCAACAAGCGATATTTTTGTAGAGGAACCTGAGACTCATTCATGCAGTTTATAGACAAGTGGCCAGGAACGCTGCTACCGCTGAAGGAGAAGTTCCAAATCCACGATTCTACAAGCTTAAGGAAATCCAGAAAAAATTTCAGGTTGATGATGGTCTTCCAGTTCATTTAAAGGGTGGCTTTCGTGATGTAGTTTTACTGAGGCTAACATACCTATTGGTATTTATTGGTTTGGGAATGTCCGGTAATACAGTCTACAAACTAGCTTTCCCCAGACGTTGATTCATATTTATGATGGTAGTCTGCAGTTTATTGAAAATATAATATTAGAATTGTTTTGTGTAGTTCATTTAGTAACTATTCAAGATTGTTTGGATGTATTGGATTAAGTTTAATATTGATTAAAGCAACAATTACTTTTTGAAACCACACAATATATTAATAAAAAAAAATTAATAATATACATATATACTTACATATAAAAAACAAGTCTCCGTTTTCAATCCAATTATGTCCCGTTTTTTTGGCAAAATTGCAGGTGAGCCCAGCATGAGAACATCTATCAAATTTGTTGATGGAATAATAGCTTTTCACAGGTGTCTTTTCCGTCATCTTCATCTTCTGTTCTGTGCTTTTTAAATGCCTAATGAGCGTGTTTTCCCCTTTTTCTCATTATTTTCAATGACACCTATGTTTCTGTAGACTACGCTTTTTGCCACTTCCTTTAACTGACTAAAAGACTACTTCATTCTCGGCGGGTTTAAACCAATACATAAAAATTTTAGTAAATATTTTCTATTTTGGGTTGCACTTCTAAAAAATTAAATTTCAAGACCAATTAGTACATTATGCGACAAGTGTGGTAATTGGCATTTGATTGACGAGTCTATTTGGCACGAGCGGAGCGAGTGTTTAATGAACGAGTGACTTAAAAAGTTTACCAAAGGTGTTGCATACTATGTTTTTTCTGCGATCATTAATTTTTTGGTACATTTTTGCAAAACTAACACGAATGCATTCACTGACATGACCGTCAGAATTGACAAATGTCAAAGTTCTAGACGTGTTTGGAAAAATGTCCGAAAACATCCGATTCCTTACGTGGTAAAGTGACGCTTCCCGCACGGTAGATCGGTGTATAATTAGTTATTTTACAGAAGGTAGTAGAAAAACGAAAACAATTTTGGCAGATCACTATCAAATTGACAAATTTTCAAATGTTTATACCTAATTTCAATGTAATGTAATAACCTGAAAGGTTAAATTCTGGGAAGCAGGTTTTACTCAAATGCACTGAAAAACGACTACTTGTATCTAACAATTTAATAATTAACAAAAATACATAGGTTAAACTACTGCTTATCTCTTAATATCTACATCACACATCCACAAAAAAATAAAATCTTAAAATTATGCATTCTTCACAAGTATAAGTGACATTCAGTGAAACGCTTTTAACTTTTTTGATCTTCTTTGTTGTGCTGGTCCTTCTAAATCTGAAGTTTCACTTTCGGTTTCATTATAAAGCACTTCTGCTTTTAATCCAAGATCTGTGTCAAATATACCTGTCGATTTTGCTTTTTCCAGTGTACGAACTAAAAAAAAAACAGTTAAGTTTTTCAAAATTTCACAATGACACTAATTTTTCATACTTTGGGCTTCTAAGAGACTATTTTGCCTTTTAAGATCTTCAATGTCTTGCTGATGAGAACTGTTTTTCTTCCTCATAAAAAGGATATATTCCGCAGCTTTTTTCAAAATTTGGGCTCGGCTTGCCTAAAATATTGAATGACCTCATTGCTTCATTATCTGGTCAAAACAAAGTAATTTAAGAGATAAAGGGTTTACAGACCGACCTACCACTTTTTCGCCGTTAAGAGCTGGCACTGAATCACGTAAACTGCTGAAACTGTCCTTAATATGGTCTCTGCGTTTGCGTTCTAATGCATTATGATGAGCCCTTTTTTCTGCCTACAACATATTTACAATAAATTCTCAGCAAAAATCACCGGGCATAAATTTAATACCACCTGAGAGTAATATTGACTTCCTGAAGATTGTCTAGGAGTTGGTTGTCGAGAATCTGAATCCTCACCATCCTACAAATTCAGGTAAAGTACAATTTATTAAAAAAAAACGTTATAAGAACATACATCGCTTTCAACATCAACATCTCGGTCATCATCGCTCATTGTTGAAAGAGTTTTTGTGTACCCAGAAAGTCAAATTATAACCAGCCCCTTTTTGGTGCATACATTAATTCAAAATAAAACTTCTGTTTACTCAAAGCTCATACAACCCCTACGACAATCAACTGTTTCAATTTGGCCATGAAGAGAAATCTTTTCTGTAAGGAAACTCCAACGCTAGTTAACCTCACAATGTCAGAATATATGTCACGTGGTTAATTTTAGACACAGACAACAGATATCAAAGTTCGCCTTTTTAACTCAAACGTCATTTCTTGTATTTTTTGTCTCCTACTTTTATAATAGTTCAAGTTTTAGGCGAATGAAATATTGTATTTTAATTTCACGTGATATGATTATTCCTTAGCCAAATAGGCGCGGCGATATTAACACGTTATAAAAAGGAATAGTGTATTCTCTCCTCTCCTTTCTCTCTCTCTCTCTCTCTCTCTCTCTCTCTCTCTCTCTCTCTCTCTCTCTTGTGGTTTGTTTTGAATCACTATGTTCGTCATTTAGGACTTCTTCTCTGGAAAAGAACCGAAAATCCTCGACGAAAGTTAATAATGGGCGAATGATCACAGCAGTCTTGCCCAACTGTATTAGTCAAACGCAATATTGTACTGAATTAAATTGGATTCTGGTGGAGCATTGCACATGGCGGTTAAACCTCCGCTTGCTCCCTGCAGAATCCGTTTCGTCCCAAAAACCTTGATATCCGCCTTTTGTCGTGTGATTCTGTTTCGGAAGTCTTTGGTGATTGTTTTTAAGTGTTTAAGTACTATAAGCGGGGGAGACCGGTTTTTTTGGTATTTGTCAAAGAACAAATGTTGGTGAAATTTTTCTTTTATGGGTTGAACGTCTCCCTCGCTGGAGAAGAACCGAAAATACTCGACGGAAGTCGGCAATGAGCGTTGATCACAGCAGTCTCTCTCTCTCTCTCTCTCTCTCTCTCTCTCTCTCTCTCTCTCCCTCTCCTTTCTTTATTTGTTCTGTGCTGGTCAGATTTGTTAGTGTTAGATGTATTTTAGCTACAACATTTCGTCAAAAGTGCATAAGCATCTGAAATTATTGCATATTCGATTTCAATGTACACGTGTTTGTAAGTGTTTTAAAGTTATTGAACTCTTTGCACTTTAACAATGATGGCTGGTAGATTAAATATAACCGCTCCAAGTGGAGTGGCCGACAACACGTTAGGTTTGTCTTGGCACGATTCTGCTTGGATTCCCATTTTAAACACTTCTAATGTTATGGACTATTTTTCTCAGAGCTCCAACCCGTTTTTTGATAGGACATGCAATAATGAAATAGTTAAAATGCAAAGGCTCAACCAGGACCAACTGCAGTAAGTTCATTACTTCATTGAAGAAAATCTACCGTATACATTTATCAATTGTAGGAATATGACTGGGTTAGAATATGTTCTACTTCATGTTCAAGAACCTATTTTATACGTCATAAGGAAGCAACATAGACACAGTCCACAGCAAGTGACACCACTGTCAGATTATTATATTATGGCAGGCATTGTTTATCAAGCACCCGATATTGGTAGTGTCTTAAACTCCAGGCTGGTAAGTTTTTATTTAATTTCTTTGTATTAATTTCCAAAGTAAAATATTAAGCTTTCAGCTGTTCATCATTTACAGTCTTCATTTGAAGAAGCGTCAAGTTTTTCTAGATATCATCCAAGTAAAGGTTACTATTGGGATTTCAAATCACAAAGGTCAGCTGTGGATAAAGTTAAAGCAGTAGAAAAAGAAAAACCAAAAGAAGAGTCAAGTTCTCTTTTCCAAAGACAGAGGGTCGATATGCTTTTGGGCGAGTTAATTAAGAAGTTCCCACTACCAGCTCCTCAACCAAAGGTAGCCGTGGTAGTAACTGTAAAAAGTGATAGTGAAAATGGTAATTTGGAGAGTAAGGAAAAAGTGGAGGTGAAGCAAGAAAAGATTAAACCACCTGCAGATAAAAAACCCAGACTAAATTAAATACTTAAATTGAATAAGGTTTAATTTGACAGTATTAGTTTACTTGTTCTCTATAAATAAATTATAATTTAATCGTAATTAGATTTTATTTAGGTAAATATTTCCCTCCATTCATTGTCATATTTTCTAAATGTTCAATTGAGTTGAGTAACAATTTCATGGCCACCAATGGCAAATATACCATTCGCAATGCGGAAAGATTAAATATTTTGACATTGGAACATGATATGTCGTTTGAAGGGGTTTTGAATCATCTTTCAGAATAGTGGATAATATATAGGATGTGCCATTTGAAAAATGAAATTGTAATTATTTTCGTTTCCACAGCCGTTACCATACTTTAAATGTCCGTGTGTAACACAGACCTTTGCCAACTTTATAAATATAGCTGTAATTAACATTTATTTGGAGCTATGGTTTAATCTAAAAATAGGAAAAAAAAAATCCTTGTTTATGTAACCCATCAAATATTCAGAAGGGTCTTACATTTAAACACTACACCTGCCTAAAAAATAAAGGTACAATGTAGTAATATAATAACTCTGATAAAAAGTGCAATTTATTGTGTATCTAATATCACGCATTTGCTTACTGTTGTAGTAGTATTAAATAGATTTATATCACATTTTAGAATTATTTTGTTAGCTTCATGTAACCATCTGGTGCAAGGTCATATATTGAAGAGTGAAGAGTATACAATAAAATATTTTTTTTATCTCTTATTTTTTAGCAATTCTAGGAAATGAAAATTGTATATAACTATCTTAATCTGACCATTCCAAATTCTATTTAAAAACTATATGTAATAAAAGACTATATGTTATCGGTTTTGATATCTTCGAAGCCTTTGAACTTGAATTTTATACAGGCTTTATTTATAAATTTCTCATAATGCTGACTCTACCTTATGCTATACTTCTTCTATGACCATTAGTTTTTGGTTACATTTTTGCAAAAAGCTCATATACATTACCTGAGTGACGTGTGACGTGCCCGTCAGAATTGATAAGCGTCAAAATAACGCGCGAAGTGGCGACAGTGTTTAATAACTTTGTCGTTTTAAAGTGCCGCTTTGCGTGCTCCTGATAAGAGTATAATTGGGTTTTTAGGGTGTGGAGTCGAAAAACACATTTTAAAATTATTATATTTCCTTTCTGTTTTATTTGTCAGTAACATATGTTCACAGTTTTAGTCAATTTGCATGTTTACTTTTTTGTGAGACAAGTGTTAGATTTGGCTTTGCGATTTTCTGCTGTCAAAAAAAATGGAACAAAGAATTTGCATAAAATTTTGTGTAAAAAATAGACAAAACAAAGTAGCAAAACGCTTGAAATCTTGACAACGGCATATGGTGAATCTATTTTGAGCAGAAAAAATGTATATAAGTGGTCCAAGATGTTGCAAGATGGTCAAGAAGGTGCTGATGATGAACCTCGCTTAGGATGCCGCAGCATGTCAACCCTACTGATAAAAGGGTTGAAGAAGTGAAACAAATGGTGTTGAAAAATCGTCGAATCACTACTAGAGAAGTGGCTGAATGAAGTCGGCATCCCTATTGGCTCGTGCCATGCAATTTTTTTTTGAAATTTTGGGCATGAGATGTGTAGCAGAAAAAATTGTTCCGAAACTGCTTAATTAACATCGCTTAAGAGTTGTTAAATGACGTCAATGATGATCCTGATATTCTCAAAAAGGTCATAGCTGGTGACGAATCATGGGTTGCGACGTCGAAACCAAAGCCCAGTCATCTCAATGGAAGAACTCACAATCGCCAAGACCGGAATTGTAGAAAAACAATTCATCGATTTTGCATCACTATAATGCACCTGCTCACTCATCGTTGCTTGTGTCTAACTTTTTGTTCAAAAACAAAACCACAGTCATGCCTCAGCCACCATATTTACCGGATATGGCACACCACGATTTTTTCCTGTTCCCAAAACTCAAGTAACCCACGAAAGGAAGGAGGTTTTGAATGATTGAGGAGATAAAGAAAAAATCGCTGGAAGAACTCAAGGCTATACCAGTGTTTACCAGAAGTGCTTCGAGGTTTGGAAAAAACATTGACACAAGTGTATTATATCTGTGGGAGATTACTTTATTTACGTTAGTTTTGATAAGTAAATAAATACTTTTTTATAAAATTTAAAAGTCGGCTTACTTTTTGAACACACCTCGTATATAAAAAACCAACAAATGAATATCGGGCGTATCGGACAAAATTAGGGCGACTGCTTAAAATTTGTTTTTTTTTTTTTTTGCTGAAACTATAAAGTAAATGGAACGCTGGATTTATCAACAACTTCCAAACATGTTTTTTGTTTGCTTATTTGAATTTTTTTAAAGAATGTGATTCCTTATCAATATTTTTTGAGCTTAACATATAATTTCTAAAAAAATATTATTAAAACGACAGGTTTATTTTCTGTTCGCTGGTTGAGTGTAATTCATTGAAGATAAAGTTTTTCGGTACAGCCTAATAGTGCAAGATGCCTCCTAGCATACATTATTCTATTAATCTGAAAGAAAAAAATTATAGAGGCCTATAAAGCTGGAATACCACAAAAAAACAATAAAATAACAATTCAGAGTGATAAAACAAGTTTCAAAAATTTTTTTGGCGCCGTAGAAGGGTTAGGAACTTGAAGCGAGGGGCAAGAAAAAGAAAAACTACGAAGTAAGAAGATCGGAGAATTAAAATTATTATTCAGAGCTGTCCACTGTTATCTGCAAGTCAGATTTTACTAAAATTGGCTAGAGAAAAATTTGTCTTCGATAATTGTCCAGCGTCGTTTGGCGGAAGCTGGACTTCCTGGAAGAAGACCAGCAAAAAACCGTTCCGTCAAAAAAAAAATCGAGATGCTGGTCCGTTGTTTGGTACTTGCCATTTAAATTGGACGGCCAAGGATTAGAGAAAGGTATTTAGTATATTCATTAAAAGTTGTTTATTTCTCATAGCAATATATCTTCAGAGGCTGCGCGTCTATGTCACTTGTATGTAGGATATGTCTCTTGTCGGTTTACAAACTTGTGCAAACATGAAGATGAAAATTGCAACTCTTGCGATAGAATACACATAGATCACCAAAACACTTTTTGTTCAGTTGCGACAAAGCAAGTAATAACTTCATTTTGGTTTCAATAAAGTTATTAAAAAAATGCTTTTCTCGAAAATTCGCTTTGATTCGCATTCGATTTTCGTATTGGTTTTGTTTGCGTTTAATTTTTGCTACGTTAAAGCGATTTATTTTTGAAAACACGCACTTAATTTTTTTTAGGATGCTTAACATAGAGGACAATATTTTAAAAGCGAAAAAAAAAAAATCTCTAAAAACCTCATAACAATTTATTAGCACTAATCGCGTCCGATAATTAGAGGCTGCAAACTGAAAACATGGTTTATACCGATTTTTGCAAACGTTGCAATGAAATTTCAATGACTTTTTATGAACTTTTCGAACTTCTTTATGTGGAAGGTGGTCTTTTGACTAGCACAGTAGCCCTTATCGGTAGCTGCTTCAATGCGTAGACCAAAAGATTTGATTCATATCAAACTTTGGTTGAAAGATTTACAAATAACAGGTTGCAGACATCCTGGAAAGCGATTGAGGGTTGACCGGCCATTTCCAAAGAGTTTGCTTACGTAACTTATTGGATTCTTTTCCAAAAACTTAAGTGCTTCGAAAGTCATGGGATTTCAAAGAGACATATCTGATTTTATATGTAGCGAGGCTTCTAAGACGGTAAAAGTGAAAATCCAACTTCTACGTCGAGGTGGTTTCGAGCAACTGTCCCAAATTAATATCCGATCTTCCTGAATCACACATTTCTACAAAATCTCTGTCCTTATACCTAAGGATTTTTTATATCGCACTACCCAAAAGTGTATCAAACGAATGATTTTGAGTAATTCATTGTTCAGTATTGCTGATCGGAGAACTTAAACTGGGATGATCTTCTCAACCCGAAATAGTTTCAAAGTTAAAATATTTAGAGTTGCTTACCTAAATTGATTTTGCGGTCCTTTCACTATAACCGCGCATCATTATGGGTGCAAAAACTACCAAAGCATATGTTTCCTTATTTATTTGTTATGTCGTGAAAGCAGTACACTTCGAGTTAGACTCGCCGAAGCGTTTCTTGTTGCTTTGCGGCGTTTTATCGCTAGGAAAGGACTTTGCTGCCGTTTTCCGTAAAAGACGCATCTACATAGAGTAATCGGGAATCAAATCCTTATATACAAAAAGCTAAATACTGTGTTAATTGAAATAGAGGTCTGCGCTTTAAGTACCAGCCACCGATCTAGCGGTTTTAACACCTGGACAGTTTCTCAAGCTACCCCTCTCCCAGATTTCCAGATTTTCTACTGTTACTAATTTTTTTTGTTCTTAAGGAGTTTTCATTGTTTTGCAATATACGTATAATGTATGTTTTTCTTATAACCTGGTATACTGCAGCTTGCAATTTCCTTACTGCTCCAAGTTTTGCATGCGAACCCAAAATCCTATTTTACTGAATTTTAATAAGTAAGCGAGAACCGCAGAAGAATACTTCATTGATAGCCATTGTATCGAACCTTGTGATTTGCGGACCCAAACAAGTGACGTTTTTTGTCCTGCACGCCCGACTTCTCCCTATAAGGTAAGTCAGGTTAATTACCTACGTACAGTTCACTTGTCCCCATCCCACGTTTTAGAATGACTACCTATAATGCTCTTTTCCTTTCTAGGGGTATTAATTGTATGGTAACTGTATTTGAGCTTAGATAAATAATTTGGAAAAGCGGGATAGTCCGACGCAGGGTTCCCCTTTGATTGAGCGGTTCTTCGGATGCCGGACTCTCAAATCCAATAATATGACAGACCTGTTCCCACTATCTGGACCACAAGATATTGAGCCACGACTTTCGACAGGGAACGATCAGTAGGGGATACACTTATTCCAGAAAGCAGACATGATGACCGAGCAGTAGATTAGGTTCTTCTGTCTGTGGAGCAAGTCAACCGCTAGTAAAATGACTTTGGAAGGAAAATTCTTTATCGAGACAGTTTCCGAGAAACACGCAGAGCCAGAACTAAAGGGAGACAAGGGTCAGGTCAAAACCCAGAAACGTCAGGCGACCAGACAAAGGCCCCTAAAGAAGGCCAATAATAGGGACAATCTTCAAGGCGGCATTGATAGCAGTTAAAACCACACTCGCATCTGAGCTGTATCTCCAAGATCAACTCAAGGTCGATGCGGCGATTGAAAAGTTTTCGCAGGCTCGTCAAATTTGAAAGTCGTAGAAAGTGTACCATATGCAAAAAGTCTTTTTCAAAATTAGGCGTCCAATATAATAATTCCCAATTCTGTTACTAAGATAAGAAAATTATACTTTTTCGAAAAAAATAATTTAGAAAGTTTTGTAGCAATCCAAATACAGATCCGAAGAGCCCCTTTAACTTAAAATACCCACCCAAAGGTAACCTCACAATGCTATTCGGCTTTTTGCTCATAAACCGTAACTTTCACGAGAACATAAGTTCTATAACATTCTTCACTCTACTCATATAATGTTATATAATATGTATAATATAATAATTTTTGCGAATATTATCATGGGAATTATTAGAATAAACCAAACTGAACAGAATCGAAATGAAAGGACGATTTCTTCACTATAATATTATAATTTTTATATATTTGTGCTTCTGTCATTTGACCTCGTTTCCACACCACCCTTCAGTTAGAGTACTCGGCTCGTGTTTTGTTAAAGTGTTAATTACTTGCTGACAATTAAAGCACTTTGTTGAGTTGAATAAGAGCAGAAAAATTGATGTTGGAGATGGCGCTTGACTCGTATCCACTGGCACCAGAATTTTTTTAAATATTCTATTCATCGTTCTGTCTATGGTGTTTCAATTTATCAAAATTTAGGATAGGTGAGGTAAATGCAAACTTTTAGTCTTCCAATTGGACATAATTTTATTGAAAGAGACCAAATTAAACGTAAACATTTTATTTCACAACAAAACTTGAATCCACATGTGAATGTATCTTATGTATAAACATTTACCAGTCAACGAAAAAAACTATGATATTATGAGATTCCATAAAATGATGACATTAATTATCATCGCTACCTATCTGTATCTTTCTCGTAATAGATATTTTATTTTATATTATATTTAAATTCATTTGAATTCCGAGTAAAGATTTTAATTTATTTACATGACCGAATCTGCTTTATTCGTGTGAAATGGTCCTCATGCCTTACACAACCGAAGCAAATTCGTTGAAGATAGTTACTATATTAAATTATTAGTCCTTGGTTGTACGTTTTTTAAAAATATTTTACAAGAATTTATTTATATCACTTAGTAGTGTTCTTTGTCACTATCACATTGCTTTTTCGTAGATTTCACCCTATCGCATAGCTGCCATCAGCGTCGTCAAGAGAAGAATAATCACTTGACAGGCCACGCACATGGCGCAGGATTTCCTCATAAGTATTGCGTCGACGTTGTCACCTGCAACATAAAAAATACAATTAGACTACGCTCTGTTTCATAATGCGAGAGAGTTATCAATTATTATTATATATGATTGGTGGTCTCAGCCGTATTCCATAGGCGTAGTATTGTAGGCATGATGATTGTCGAGGGTCTCGAGAATTATAGTTACGTTCCAGCAGTTGTTGGCAAAGTTCGTTTTTAAAAATGGCTCGTGTTTCTGAATTTATAGAGAAAAAAATGACATTACTTTAAATCATAAACATTTTAGAAAGACATGTTGAAAAAAAAGGTGCTAGCGATTGAAAATTTGAATAAACCTATTGTACTAAAATTTGTTGTCTTCGAAATCCCTTCAAAACTAGATAAAAGGGTACTTCGCCTTCCGCCGTATCACTATGCGGGCGCAAATGAAAGAGTTTGTAGCAAGGCATATCACGACTTGTAAGAGGGAATAAAGACAGTGGATTGTAAATAATGGATTAAATAAGAAGAAAGAATGTGAGAAGCTGATGGCGTGCTAGGTAACACTGTAGAGCCCCTTATTATTTCTCTGGGCTTCAACGACTATAGTTCATCTAAATATGGTGACTGAAATTTACAAATGAAGGTTTTTTGTAAAGTGTATATGTATTGTGTATAATTATTATTATATTAATTATTCTAATGCAATAAACTACCTGTATTAACGCCGCTGTCACATTACTTAATCACAAATAGGAGCTCCGACTTTAGCCTAAAACTGAATTAAAAAGTGTGGTGTTTTTTCTACGGAGTTTGTGCAAATACTTCGAAAAAAAATCCAGACAAGGTATTTTTGGTGCTGCCGTGAAATTTAGTGCAGAACAAAAAAATGTTTTGTTGTACCAAAAAAAGCTTACAAATAATAAAATAAAACTTTCTGTATATTATAGCATCTTTGGATACCACATGAAAAATAAACGTAAATAACATTTAAGATACATTTTTTAAAATAATTTAAATTTTGTTAAAATATAATATTTATGGTATTTAAGCTGCAGTAAAGTGTAACCACAGACCATATTTTAAATCTTAATTACTTAAAAATACCACTCTCTCTCTCTCTCGCTCCCCCCTCTCACCCGCCCTCTCTCTCCGCCCTTCTCTTTCTCTCCCTCAGCCTATCTCTCTCACTCACTCTCTTTTTTTCTAATAATAACTTATGCCTACTAAATTTGTTTTATTGCTTGTGTTCAAGCTAGGGGCAGAGAAGCATAGACAGTTAGGCTTTCAAAGTTCAGAATTATTATATAAATAAAGGAATTTACAACGACAATAATTAAATTTTACACATAGAAAATTTATAACTAATAAGACCCATGAGGATGAGATTGAGGATATTTCGCTGCTCATGGGGCTGCTATCTGCCAAGACTCTAAATTTTCGTCTGTAGAAAAGTTGCCATTCATTGAAAAAGTTGAATTGCTTGGAATAGATTCATAAAACAATTTTTGGAATTTCATATGGTTCGTTATTATTGTTTTGGTTAATTAACCAGCTTAGCTTTAGATAAAAAAGAATATAGAAAATAGTAAAAAATAATAAGCAGAAATGAGCATTTAAATTTTTAAAAATGGTTGCTAGACCGCATAATTTATTACTACTTACCCTCAGAAACGAATACGTATATTGAGGCGGATTCTGTGTTCGAAGCGGAGCAAGTGTAATTTCCGGAATCTCCGTCTGTGGTGTCGCGGATTGTCAATCGACTTTGAGTTCTTATGCCGGGGGTGGTTTCTACGAAAATTCCGCCACGGGCAGTATCGTAGTTGATCATGCGATCGTTATGGTACCAAAACACGTATTGCGGCGGTGTGGGGCTCTGAAAAAATAGAATCGGTTTTCATGCTTTTATGATTTATAGGAGTACACGTGAGTAGCTGTACAATACGTAATAGATTAAGCGAATACGAGCAAGAGTGGCACTAATAATGCCTCTTCCCACAAAGCACATCATGTGGCCCGTTTGTCAGAGAAAATGTAAATTTAACTATTAACTATTGGGCTTATGTTTTGCTTACTGACGCGACCATGTTTGGTATTTTTGCTTCTTATCGATGTATATCAGCTGACAGACTAGATTGTGAACGATATTCAGAATATAATATGTGATTTAACTCCAATTTTCGTGGAGGGTCTATTATGGTGTGAGGAGGCATTTTATGAAACGGCCTCACAGAATTAGCTGTAGGGAGTGGATGAGCAATGACTGCTATATATACGAGACATTTTAGAAACATATATTGCCACATTCGAGTCATATATTGGAGAGGGTTCATCTTAATGCATATGTGGCAAGAATTGTATTTAAATACCTAGAAGAGGTTCGACTAGAAGTTTTAGATTGTCATGCTGTAAGTCCGGATATGAATCCTATAGAGAACGTCTATTATTATTGCATATTTTCTTTCAACATTATAGTTAATTCAACAATTTTGTGTATAACTTTGCGCATAATCAAGTTGGAGAATTGTTTGATGCGATTTTTTGAAAAAAAAAAACAATATTAACCATCACAGTATTTTTGCTTCCATCAAAGAAAACGTTTGATTAATTTCATACAACAGAGAGTTTTTGAGGTCAGAGTGGAGTGGAATGTAAAGATTGCCAGGCGAATAAGAAAACGCAGTAAGCCAAATAAATAATTAATTATAACATTTCATTGGAACACTCAAAAATTCAAAAACTTTTCTCCAAAATCTTCACCTAACCTCAAGCCGTCTGTATCTTGTAGAAAACGGGAACTTGAGTGATTATAAGTACCAATAGAGGTGTTCAAAAATTGCAATAACATGCTCCGAATAATAAAGCAACTTTAATGAGTCAGTTTTAGAGAAAAAACATTGATAGAAATGTGCTTATCGCTTCAAATTCGGTAATTATAATAATAATTCATTGGTTATGAAGTCAGCGCTTCTGCCAGCTAGTAGCCGCAAAAGCAGCCAAACAATTTCTTCTTATAAAATTTATTAATTGCAATGAAAAATTATTCGGCCAAAAGCTCTACTGTCCTTAGGCGGTAACGTAGAAATGGAATAATTTAGTATTAGTTATTTCAAAACCTGATTAACTTGATTGAAATTACTTTTTATGAAACTTCTAGATTCCTCCTGCGGCGCTTTTTGTTGAGTCGAACTAGCTAACGTTTCGCCAATCATCTTGTTGACTTCTTCAGAGCTAACTGAAATTGACTGATTGGCGAAACGTTAGCTAGTTCGACTCAACAAAAACCCATGCAGGGAGAATCTAGAAGTTTTATAAAAAGTATTACAGTAGCCTGTGAAAGTTTCTTTGAAAAATTGACTGAAATTGTATTAAAAGTTCATTTGAAATTTTTTCATTAGTAGAGCCAAAAAAAAAGTGTTTTATGTGCAAAACTTTATTCCAAATTGGATTTTTTTAATTTTTATTATTCAATTAATTAATAATTAAATTCTAGGCTCCCTCGAGTTTTATTTGTGAAAAAAACTCTCTTCCAGTCATCCATGGTTCAGTGTGCATGATCTCTAGCGAATCTGAATCTGCGTGATTCCTGATCTACAGTAAGTAAGTAAGTAAATAGCAGTTTTGAGTTAAAGTTCGCTAACGATATACCCATTTTACAACCTTTTATGGTTTTGACTTCGGAATTAGTTTAAGACCCGCCTGTTATAAAGCGGATTGGACCATTCTTTTCAGCACGTGCACCACAAGCCAGGGTCGTATTTAAGATGTTAGCCGACAAGAACTGTGCCGTGCCGTGCCGTTTCTTTGATCAAATTGTTACATTAATTCATAAAAGTGTACTTTTTATAAATCTTCCTAAATCAGGTAGCTCGATTTCAAGTTGAACTTGCCCATTTCATCTCCTATAATAGAAACACATTAGAAAGCTTAAACTGAATTCCAATTTAAGGGTTGAACATAATGACTCTAAAATATTTTCCTAGGAAAGCAATGCAAAATCTTAGGTAGATAATGAATGTTTTGCCAGTCGAAACTTTGGAGTTATTTCTATTCCGCCTTGTGTCTGTAATTAGTAACTTAGCAACTTACTGTTATTCAATTGTTTTTCAAGAAACTCAGTTTAAGAAAAAATAACAACTCACCGAAATTTAGTTATGGGCAATAGAATTAATTAGAAATGGACTAATAATGAAGTACGGAAGTACGGTTATTGAGAAAGAGAAACCCTGGCGAGTTAGGAAAATTTACCAAAGTTAAATAATGGATTATGTCTTAAAAACGGTATATCGTTTACGAACTCTAATTACTTACTAATTACTACTACATATTTGTGGTTAGTCATCCCCGTTTCTTATTTTTTGGTTAGTAATTATTTTAAATCAATTTAATAATCGCTGCGGCTTACTAGCGTGCAAAGTCTGTTGCTTTTAATACGATTTCAAAAATATTAAAACTTTATATTCAAGATTTTGCAATCTTGCACGCGCGTAAGATGGCGTCAGCGGTCAACGTTGCAGTGTCTGGTGGAAGTCCGTGATATCGACTTTTTGCTTTCCAAAATCGCGGATCCAATTTAAAGTTCACATCAATCGCGCAATCCCTAACGGCAAACGTTTTTCATGAAAATAAAAACATTTGAAAGTCGGCCGCATCGCGGATCTGCCATGCCAGGGGGGTTTATGGTTTTACAACGTCGTCCGGACGTCGAACGAAAAACGTTATAGTTGCCGGACGCTTAATGAGCTAAGTTTAACGGGTCAGTTGCACAAACAGTCGTCCGTTTCCGGCCCGGAGAACGACTTCACTCGTAAATCAACTACAAAGACGCCGTGCACTTTCGTGAACCACTAAATTAGTTCAAAGGATTGCGTCGCTAACGAGCATTTAACAATGCTAAATTTTGCGTCTTTTTTTCGCAATTTCGGTAACTGCACTTTGAAAGCGGACCTGATGCTGAACTACGACGGAAATGGGTTTAGTTTTAGATATCAGGCAAGGAATTTAGATGTGATTGTAGTATGTACTAATAAACACAGGGTGGCGCAATACTGTGCAAAGAAGAATCTCCCTTATTTATACTCCGTTTCTTAATGTGAGAGAGTTACAAATCATTATGGAACTGCAAAATTTGGTCGTCTTAGCAGTATTCCATAGTCGTAGTATTGTACCTATGACGATTGTCAAGGGTCTCGAGAGGGACAGGTAGAAAACCTATCTGTGTCTTTGTCTTTAAAATAAGAATAATAATTGCTTTTAAGCAGTTGTAGGCAAAATTCGATCTTGAAAATGGCTGTTGTTTCGGAAGTTTTTGCTGTGAAACGCGTCCGTAAAACTGCGCTTTCTAAAAATGTGTTCAAAGCTCTTTGTCACCACACCAGGATGCAAAAACTCTGTTTGGTGTTTGTAGCCAACTATATGGAATTCGCAATATGACTGGAGTTTGTTATTCAACAATATATCCACTTGTGTAAGAGGATAAACGCGGCCCCATCCGGTCACTAAACAGAAGTGAAGGAAGAAAAGAAAGTATAATAAATGAGGATGAAAAGACTAAGATCAGAATCATACATTCGTTTTACTCAAAAAAAAAACTAAATTCCTTTAACAAAATAATGTCTGAAATGGAAAAGGATGAAGGACGAAAAAAAAAAACAAAACAGAAAGTCACTTTTAATAGAGAAAGATAAAGACGAAATTATCTGCTGGCGGGGCGATATTTGACAGCAGGAGATTTATTATCTAGCGGAAATTTGGGTAAATGAAGGATTTACCGGATATATAGGCATGATTTCATCGAAGAAAAGCACTATCGGGAAAAGGTAAAGGATTAATAATTTCTCATATTGGTAGCGAAAATAGATTCTTCTACTCACTTTACCACGTGAGTTTCTTGTAACACGGATCCGAGCCTCTTCCGACATTTCCGGCATATTACCGCAGAGGTTTGAGAACAATCGGATGTTTTCGGATATTTTACCGCACGGCTTGAATTTTGGCGTATGTCAATTCTGACTGTCATGTCAGTAATAGTATATTATGCAACAAGTGCGGTAAACGGCATTTGACTCACGAGTTCATTTGACACTAGCGGAGCAAGTGTTTAATAAACGAGTGAGTTAAAAAGTTTACCGAACGTGTTGCATACTATACTTTTTCTACGACCGTTAGTTTTTGGATACATTTCTGTAAAACAACACGAATACTGACGTGGTAAAGTGACGCTTCCCGCACGCTAGATCGGTGGGTAATTAGGTATTTTACAGACGGGAGTAGAGAAATATATTCGTGTCGTTTTGCAAAAATGTGCCAAAAAACTAACTGTCGTAGAAAAATAATAGTAAGGAACACGTTCGGTAAACTTTTTAAGTCAACTAGTGAGTCAAATGCAGTTTACCGCACTTGTTCCATAATATACCATTGTCTGTGGTGGCATACTAGCCTTTAAATCAAACCGGATCGGAGAAATGGATGCATCACGATGTTTTTGAAGACTACTTCCAGCAAATATTTATTTTTCGTGGGTCTGCTATAATCATATAATTCCACTCAACAAAAGCCGAAAACATACCCACGGCTTGTTCGAAAAAAAAAGACTTCATTCATTGGATCACTTTAAGTAAGAAGCAAATGACATCTTTTATTGACTTAATTTAAATATGAAGCAATTCCAGAGAAAGACATGCTGAAAAAGCAGCTACTGGAATTGTTAATTTGATTAAACGTACGAAATTTGTTATCGACGAAACCGCTAAAAGCAAAATATAACTTCGCCTTCCGCCATATCACTGTGAATTAAACCCAATAGAAAAGTAAAAGGGTTTCTAGCAAGCCATAAAACCACTTTTAAGATGAGGGAAGTTGAATCTCTCTTCCAAA